TTACAGGGGAATCTATGATGCCAAGGAATCTGAGGTGGTGCGAAATGGTTTTCGCAACCATCCACAGTATGTGCCGCGTTTGCATTGCTTAGGGGCTCTTTTCTGGGGGGAACTGAGTACTGGCTTATGTTTGTGAGGTTTCACAAACCATCTACCCAACCTCCAGACCATCCAACTGGGTCATGGGTCTGTTCGTGCTGCGCCTTGCAAATGGCCTGCCAGACAATGGAAGTGGTGGACCCGGGAGATGAAAGAAGGAGTGGTTGACGTCTCCGCAACAATGTGTGCTAAACTGTATCTATTGCTTGGCTCAACTTAAGCTTGCGCTCAATTGGACAAAATGTGAATGTCTCCGAAATAGGGCTGCTTTCCCAAATTTGACTTCCCAAAAGGTGCCCCCTCTGCCCCCAGCCGCAAAAATAGTCACTACGTGCCCATGGCCCCCCCAAAAAAAAAGACAACAAGAAGAACACACATCAAGTCTGCATGCCCCCCCCCCCCCAAAAAAAAAGAGAAAAGAACAAGCAAAAAGGAACAGAAAAAGAGAAACACACATGAAGTCTGACCCTCAGAACCGCTCCCCCCTCTTGGCGTCGGTCTTCAAGGTCCTCACCTTGCCCACGGGCATGTCGGTGCCGCAGCTGCCAAACCCCAGCCGCTCCCTCGACCAAACGGGCCGTCGGGTGGTTCTCGGGCGCGCCTGGAACAAGAAGACGCAACGTGGACACATGGCTGTGGGATAGGTGAATTCACCACCCATTTCAGGCTTTATTTTAGTGGGGATTGGGATGTTCACTGGGGGTACGGGCTTTTGACCCATGGCCACATGGGCGTGGCGCAAAGTAGGACTCGAACCATGTTGGACCCATGAACATGGGCGGTTTCCTTTTGGTGTCCACTTTGTTCAAGCAAGTGAACAGGTGTCTAACAGGTTGTTGGTACCCCATTTGAGATGGCTTAAAAGGGAGTTCAAAGGGGGGTCCCTTCGTTTTGAGGGTTGTCCGATTTGGAGACAACCCACATGGTTGTGGAAAACTCGGGTTTAGGAAAGCATCTCTGTGATACCAAGGGATGCCCCTTTAGATCCCTTTGATATCAGAGAGTTTGATGGCCGACATTGGCATCATGGGTTTGCCATTTAGAAGGAATGCTCTGGACCGGGGGGTGTGTTTGTTCTTTTTCCATGTCGATTGCTTAATCGCCCCAGATGGGATAGTCTCAAACGAGGGGGTTAGTTCAGAAACGGGTGCTGCTGTTTCCCCTTTTCTTTTTTGGTCTCAACAACCGTTGCCCTCAAGAAACAAAAATACCCCTGGATGGTTCATTGGTTTCCGTTTAGTTTGTCTTTGAGACCCCAAAAGGGTAGGCTTAAAGAATGACACCCCCCCCCCCCACCTTATGGCCTGAACGCTTGGGGGTTGCCGTCCCAAAACTGGGAAATGGGAACCCAGGATTTGCTTGAGCCGTTGATTTTGATGGAAGGGGTTCCGTCTTTGTACTGAACCCAAGTGGATCCTTTGGGGACTGTGAGAACCTGGCGATTTTGGTGTCGGAACCAAGGCTTTGGGTCGGGCCAGTTTCTGGGGCCTCTCTTCAATCCAACTCATTGCCACTTGGGTCCAACTTGTTCGCAGCTGACACCATTGGTGTCTCTCTCTGTTTTGTTTATTTGTTTAGATGAAAGGAAACAAGGGGCGCCAAAATAGAAACAAGATCACGCACAGACACCTCGATACAAGCCGACATGGAGTCTTAGGGTTCATTTGGGCTCCCTCCCCCTGCCCTCCCCACATGAGAAACCAACATAGAAGCCCACCAAACGGGAGACGCCTTCGAGCCGTTTTTCGCCTTTCGACTCATTTAGGTGGGGTTAGGGCGAGCGGGTCCACTGCGGGGATCGGCATTGGCGGCTCGGATGAATTGGAGGTGTGTGTGTGTGTGAGTGTGTGTGTGTGTGTGTGTGTTTCTTCCATTTGCTTAAGTTATATTTTTCCCCTGTTGGTTTTGAAGGGAATCGATTTCACTACTGGACATATTTTGATTTTTTCCAGGGGGCTTAAGCAAATGGCGGGTTTGTTTTTGTCATTGAGGGTACCCTTTTTGGTTTCAAAGTGAAGCCAAAAGGAACACATTTTTTTGGGGGGGGTTCCCCTGCTTTAACATTTTAAGAAGCACACACACACACAAACAGATGGGCTTTTCCAGGAGCTAAGTGGTTCGGGGATCCCTAGGATTTTCAATGGGGGAAACCCCTTCGAAAATGCGAGGAAAACTGGGTGGGTTTACAGAACTCCCCGCCGATCAAAATAACTACCCGTGTGGCTTCCAGCATTTAACCTCTGGTGCCACTGTTATGAGGAAACCCTCTTGGCATGATGTTTTTAAGCTCTCAGTGTCAGCCATCCGGCCCCAAAAAGCCCTTTGGTTTTTTAGTGTTTCGTGGTCGGTCGTTTCCGAATTTCACCCACTAAAAGTTAAAAACTTTGAACGAGGGATCTCATCGCAGCCCAGCAAGGATGATGAAACCATACAAGGTGCCCTGAAAGGTTTCCTGCAGGTTTGCTTTGGCAAGGCTTACCAAGGCCCTTCTTGCCAAGCGGCCCCCCTTCCTGTACTTCCATTTGCTGAAACGAACATTTTTTGCTCCCTGTTGGTTTTCAAGGGAATCTATCACTACTGGACATATTTTTTTCCAGGGGGCTTAAGCAGGCAGTGTATGATCTCTCGAAAGGAGGAAATGCGCAGAGAGACGTGGCAAAGGCAAACCCCACTTTTAACGCCCCCCATGGAAGCCCTGACTAGGGTGACACGGGTCCATTTTGGTGGACACTATTTTGAGGGGTTCTCCAGTCACATTCTAGGATGTCACTTTAATGGACCCAGTTTTTGTCGGGATGTTTTGGGGCGAGGGGGGGGTGGGGTGGGGAGCAGTTTTTGTTCCCTACTCGGGCTTGTGCACAAAGAGACTCAGACTTGTTCTCCGGGGAACCTTTGCAACTGCATTGGGTGTCCAGCTGGAACAAGAAGTGACAGAAAAAGAATATGCGGACCCTCGCACCAACCACAGCTCACGTCTTTTATACGGGTATCGAGGAAACCATACGCCAAAGATGGGTGAGAGCGGGGGTTGCCCCATTTTGGGGGGGTCAAGCGCCCTCTTTGACCTACTTTCAGGGTCCTTGCGCACTTTGACGGCGGCTTAGTTTGGGCACCCTCAACAACATGCCGCGAAGCTCCACTTTCCAAAGCGGGTTTGTATTCAAAACAACAACAGCCACTTGGCAGTGGGGTTTCATAAAAGCCCATGATATATATATATATAGATATGCTCACAAATGTAGTTCATGGGTGGGGGTGGGGGTGGGTTGACCGTATATATATATATAATACATATACATATATATATATATATATTATAAATAAATATATATATATATACATATATATATATATGTATGTTAAACAACGAAACAACAACCCAAACTGGCTGTATATCAATCCAGTTGCGCGCAAATGACCTGCAGCGCACCGAACACCTCCGGCTTCTCGAGGCTCCCTGAAGCCGGCGGCCGGCTTCGAGTGCTCGGGGGCGCCTCGGCTCGAGATATTTCTTTAAAAGATGGACGGCTCATGTGTTTTTCCTCTGGCGTTTTTCTCCCCCTTTATCATTCTTCTCTTTTTTTTTATTACCAAAATGTATTTAACAAAAATAAGAATACAAATAAAAACAACACAAATATATGGTGCCCTGGGACGCTTCGCCTTTCCGGTGTGGTCGCATGTGGGGAGAGGTTTCTCGCCTTTTTCCTTGGTTCCAGTTGCGTTTCAGGTTGTTCGATTCCTTTCCGGGTTAGAACGGAACCTGTCACTGGACATATGTTTACCAGTTGTTGTCGTTTTCTCTTCTCCTGGTTGTACTTGCCGGTGCTCAGCAGGCAGGGAATGAGACATGGAATGAACCTGCAGATTCCAACTTAAAGGACATCAAGTCGGGCATGATTTTATAGGGGTCATTCCACGTCACTGGACATATGTTTACCAGTTGTTGTCGTTTTCTCTTCCCCTGGTTTTACTTGCTGGCGCAGATAGGCAGGGAATGAGACAGGGAATGACCCCCAATGCAATCCTCCCCGATTTGGTTTCCTTTAAGTTGGGAATCCCCAGGTTCATTCCGTGTCTCATTCCCTGCCTGCTGATCACCGGCAAGCCTGCTCTCCCCTAGGGTTCCTTGCTTGCCTCCATGAACAGAACGGCAAGGGCCCAGTTTAGATGACCATAGGTAAACACGGGTGGTTATATTCGGCCCCATTGTATTGATGTTTGAACCCAAGGCTTTCTTTTTGCTCTGTACGGTGGGAACCCCCCTCAAAGTGAGCCCTGCAAATAAGTTTGCAAAGAGGGTACTTGGCCCCCCACCTCACACATCTGCTTCCCCTAAACTAGTTACATGTTTCTCACAATTGTTGTTTTATGATCCCGAAGGGACCCCCCTGAACCCCGCGATTCCCCTTGGATGGGTTTTTGGGCAAAGCATGGGTATGTGTCAAAAGTGGGGAACCCCTAGAACGGGTGGGTTCCTTTTTGTTTCCCTCTAATCCACCCCAAAGGCGTACCGACTCAAACAAAATTCTAACCTAGATGGGTGTGTTTTTTCAGGGGACCCCCAAAGTGGCTTTGGTTTTCCTTTTAGCTTCCACTTTAACAAAAACACGCGCGCAAAAGAGACTTTTTCCAAGACATTTGTTTTTCCATCCAACGCTGAGCGCGACATGTTAGCGACAGGATCGTTTTCAGGACTACAAAGTGTTGGATTGCAGGTATGCCACACTTGTGTCAAGGCTGGCGAAGGACACCCTCTGGTAAATTGAAGATTGGGCCTCAGGTCAAAAAGGGCAAAACCGCCTTCCTATGTTCATCTAGGTTACAAACTGCTCGCGTGGAGTTCTCCCTGGTTGTGTCCTGTATGAAGCATTTCGCCGGCTCATGTTCACGCGGGGAGCTGAGGAAAAGATCCTCCAGGATGCCATTCTCGAGAGGATCCAAAGGACTGACAGCTCGAGCGAGGCTTTAGGTGGGCGGATAACAGGGGTCCCTATATGTTCCGTTTTTGTGGTCTTACACATTACCTTCTTTGGCCCATGAAAGGTGAGTATCCCTTGGTGGGGTGATGCTTTAAGGGGCAATGTAGGGAGCCCTGGATGAATCCAAAAAGGGGGGCGGGATTGGGCGGTAGCCCGGCCCTCAAAGGGGGACTTTGGCCAGACAGGCTCGGGGTGGTCCAGGGCGGCTCCAGGGTGCCAGTTGTGGTGGAAACCGTCTTGGACTAGTCGGAAAGTCGGATTGGGGGGGAGCATCTCCTTTATTGAGGGTACCCTGTTTAGGTTGGAACACTGGAGGACAAACCCTGATTTTAGGGATCTCCTACTTCAAGACAGACCCATATAGTTGGTGGCTGCTTATCCCATTCACCCCTGAGCTTAACGGTGTCTGGGTGGTGGAACAGACATGTTGGAGACTGGCTGCACTGTTCTTTGCCATGCTTTTGTCATTTTTGTTTTGGCCTCTTTTTGGTTCTGTTCATGTTCCGTGTGGCTTGGCTTTTTGCGAAGCCAAGGATTGGACCAGACGAATCCCCCGGTCCTTTGCGGGGCAACGCGCAACGCGTCGCGTTGCACGTCTTGTCAGGACGGGCGCCAGCTTCACCCCTGAGGCGGTCGCCAGGCGGGACGCCTTGGGGACTGTTGGCACCGGGTTTCGGGCCGCATGCTGTTGGCGCGCAACGGGGGGGGGGGGGGGTGGTGTTCATGAGTTTCCACCCACCAGCCAGGAACTTTTGGTGGTTTTTTGAGCTCTCCAAAAGGGGTCTGATTCCTCACTAAACTCAGGGAGAAGCATCACCCCTATTAATAAACTGGGGTTGATTAATCTGAGTATCTGGGGTCAACATTAGTCATATGGATGCACGGATGCATTAGCTTGGCATCCATGCTGGTGATCTAGGTGAGCAAGTGGTCCAGGTGACAATCTACTCCCCGAGCCCACCCAATTTGGACGACCTCGAACGTGGTGCCAAAACGGAAATGGCCCCAGCCAAACGGGTGAGGACTTTTGGCCTGCTCCCGTAAAGAATCCGCCTAAGTCAGAGCACGTTTAAAAGGGGCCGAACCCTTTTGTCTGGAACAGTCCAACCCGGGCCAACTCTGGACAAGTCCAACCCTCTGTACTGTGAATCAGAACTCCGGGATTTGGTGGTCTATGTTGCTGGTCCAACTTGGCATCCACGGTCCGCCTTTTTTTTCTGTTTTTCTCCGACACCCCTTTTGGTGGTCTATGCTGTGACGGCGGCTCGAGGCTCCTGGCGTATGACCTGAACTCTGTGTCCTGCCAGATCCTCGAGCTATGGCAGCAGGTGGGGGCTTTGTCAATTGGCGCATGCTGCCGATGGGCGCGCCAAGCTTCCCGGGGGGGGGGGAAGGGGCGGACTTTGGCATTTTTCTAGGGGTACCTTCCATTTTCATTCTTTCCAGGGATCCTGCTTTCTAGAAAAAAAAACGGACACCCAGGGAAAATGGCCGGTTCTGGAAAAGAACGATGGTTGAAAAGAATGGGGAGTCAACCTGTAAAATGTTGGTGTTTGTTCAAGGCGACGCCAAAAGAAAGCGACCCAAGTTGCGTGGTTTCATCATGCCTTTCATTTCGCGAGGTTGACATGGGCGACCTGGGATGAAATCGTGTTTGGTTGGTCCAGCTGCTGACTTTTCTTCAAATACCATCCAAGTCTGACAATACTTCTGACTTGATTTGGTTGGGTTCGGAGACACTCCCAAAGGACGCCGACCATTGGGGTCCGTCTCCTCCTTTTGAGACAAGCCCACTACGGATGCTTGCTCGAGCCCCAATTCGGGGCCTGGGTTCCGCTTCCCCTCAAAACGGAGGGATTCCCACTGTTACGGTTTGGCTCCCTTCTCGTTCGGGCGCGTTTTTTTCGATGCACCTTTGGATGGGTTTACCAGGGCACCAAAATGAGAACCGACATCCATTTTGGGGGTCCCTGCATTTTGACACATGGCGATAAGGCTTGAGTCCAGATCCAAGTTCTTTTCAAGAGGACGCCTAGGCCTGCCATCTTTTAAATTTTAAGCAAAATATTCAGGTGTCCCTTGTTTTCCTCCCACACAAAAACACACCAAGCCAGCAAGGGGCCCAAAGGGTGGTGCCGACCTCTGGTGCTCCCGGCACTTTGAGGACTCGGCGGAGATCTCTGGCGTACGGGGAAAAGGACAACGCGTTTCCAAAGTCGAATTGGGGCCTCAAACTGAAAACGGTATTACTGCCATGCTTTTCTACACCATGGCCGGAAGTGTCTTTCTCCTTGCGTGCGACGTCAGCCGGGGCGCAAAGACGATTGGCCCCACGATGCTCGAGGAGGTTGTGTTGTCGCAGAACGGGCACAGCCTCTCTCTGTCGGCTCTGAGCAAGTATGGACGGTATCTTGAGGTCGGAGCCCTTCCAGGTTTCACATGTCTCTCACCTAAAGCGCTTTCAAGCGTTCAAGAGTCAAAGGCGCAGATCGGCGAGCAATTCTCCCCGCTGGCTGGAAGGATGCTCCTGCGACAAGCCAAAATTACCCCAAAATTACCGACCTTCAGAAAGAGATGGTGGTGAAGGACCGTGTCCTCAAGAGCTTTGAGGGTGGATTGACTGGAGCTCAGTGCTCTGAGTGATTCTTTGGGTCGAGCCGCCTGTACCATGGTAGCCGATTGATGTCGACCTCTAGATTTTAAGTTGTGGTGGACCGGCCTTACCTAACCATGGTCAACCAACCTGCACGGCCGAAGAACCGCAGCTGGAAAGCAAAAGGCCAAAGCCCAAAGGGGCTGGATGGGGGTGCCCCTATTTTGCATTTGTGTTTTTCAGCACCACCTTATAGAGGGAGGCTGATTAAGCAGAAGGCTTTGCGCCGTGCAACTTTCTTAGAGGTGCAGCTGGCCAAGCCGGGAACAACACAAAAGTTTAAAGGTGACCTAGAAGACACGAATGCTAGTTGAACAATTCAAGGGAGAAGCCGCTGCTGAACAATGGAGCTGGCAAACCAAGTTGCCAGACGGCCTGTTTGCGGGGTTCCCTTTGTTTCCTTAGGATCCGAAGAAAAAAAGGAAAAACTGTCCGATCCAAAAATGAATAGGTATATATGTATATATGCTCACGCCCCCCCCCACGAACTGCACTTGGGTGACGTGACCACATACATATATATATATAGGTATACACATGGCTGTCAAAAATAGATACCCCAAATGGCTTGCCCTGGTAACTGGAACCAAGGAGTAAAACCTCCGCTTGTGGTTCAATTTTGACCCACAACCACATACAGTGAATGGACGAAATCCTGCACCACCCTAACAAACCCTGGAATGGTGATCTCCCTGCAAATTCCAAAAATGGTTTCCTATGGTTTCAAAGCGGTGTAAGATTCTGTCCACAGTATCACCGCCAGCTGCTGAACATGCTCTCCTTCGGGTACCGGGAGATCGCCTCGATGCTGCGCACCCAGTGGGAGGAGCGGATCATCGACCAGCCGGGGAGCCTGGCACGTGGGTGCACCTTACTGCCCAATGTGGTTCTTTTAGAAGGGGACACCGTTCATACATAAATACGTGTACATATATAGATATACATATATATGTATATATTCACGAAGAAGTGTTAAACTTGGAGCAACTATATACCTATTTACCTGATGTGATGAACCTGTGAAGTGAAGCGCAGTTGTTTTCTTCTGGGCAATGATGTCCTGTCTACTGTAGCTGTACTAAGGCAGGTCTGTACATAGGCTCAAGGCCTTGAGATGTATGGGCAGCGGATGTAGCCCAACTGTAACGCTAGAGAAAGCATGTAGTGTTTAACACGCCTCCTCGGGATAATGTTGTATACATTCCCCTGAAATGTTGAAAATGGATGTTGCCACTGCACAAAAGATGTGTACCAAGCTGTGCAACTTCCTTGTGGGTCGTGGTGGCAAAAAGCAGGTGCAAAACAGTTGCTGTTTCAAGCAAATGTTGTATCCAGCTGTGCGACTGTGCCACTCATGTGAACCGCCAAAAGTGTGAGCATCAAATGGACTGGTGTTGTAGATCATGTACTCCCAAAATGGCCGCCTCATGTTGGCCTGCAGCCCAGTGCAATCGCCATTCAAACTGTTGTATTCCTCTGCAGTACAAGCGATGTGCAAAACACCGTTTGTACCTGTGGTCTTCTCGATGTGCCACTCCATGATGTTGCGCGCCTCCTTGCTGTTGACGCAATTGATGTTGTGAAATCTCACAGATATCAGCGATGTAAACAAGTGCGTGCCGTATCGCCTTCCGGTGTGCTCATCTGATGCAGCAGGCGCTGTCAAGGCCTACATGTCCATTGGCCCGATGTATCAGGAAGGGCTTACCTCACTGATGTAAAAGGTAAAAAGGGTGCAAACCCATGTTTGACATGTAGCTTGCAGAAGAACCGTTGTAAGGGGGTTGTAACCCCCAGAAAAGATGTACCATGGCTCCGGATTTCCTAAGTGAAACTAAGTTGTGGCGCTTTGACTTTCGTTGTAGACAAGGAAAGGTGACGTGTGCAACTGTTGTTTAACAAGCGGTGCTGACTACTGTACTTACTGGTGTGAAACTGTCGTGATGGCCTCACAGGCCAACTGTGTACATGTGCTTGTTGAGAGTGTCGCAGCTGAATGTGGTTTGCTTTCTTTGATGTACCTTCTTGCATCGTGATTGATTTAGCTGCTCTGCTCTCTGTGTGTATCCTGATGTTGGTGCGTACTTCAAATGCTTCCCTGATGAAGTTGCTGATGTAGAGGCTCTCCTGTGCTGCTGACCAATTGCGTACAGCTCTGACTCTGCTGATGAAAGTGCTATTGTTGCTTGTGTTCTGCTTCCATAAGTGTATTGCTGCTCCGAAGACGTGTGTCACAAATCCTGTTGTGCTCTTCCTTGTTGTCTCGCATGATGCCCAGTTGGCATCTGTGCGTGTGTCAATGTTGAGTGGAATTCGCGTGTCCTGTATCTGTATCTTTGGTCGCAGGTTGTGTCGCAAGTACCTTGTGCCTTTAAGGTACCTTATCATGTGTTTGAGCTTCTTGTTGTCAAACTGTGTTGGTGCTTGTAGTGATCTTGCTAGTTCCTTTGCTCCATAGCTGATGTCTGGTCGTGTGTATGCTAGCCATAGTACCTTGCCACCAAGCCGCCTGTATTGCTTGTGCTGCTGTTCGTGGTCGAGCGGTGCTTCATCTTCTGCTGTACCTCTCATGTGTGACACTCCTGGTGATGGTGCTGGGTCGCATGTAGTTGTCAACGATGTAGTTGCCTTTGTGTGAAATGTTCCTGCCAAGGCAATGTATTGTTGTGCCTACATTGAGGTTGCTTGTGTGTCTCAGCAGTGCTTCTTTCTGTATTCTGCTGAACAGTGTGTCAATGATGCTCTGTACTCCTGTAAATAGGAGGTCGTCTACACAGATCATGATGTAGACCTGGCAGTGACATTGCTTTCTGTTTTGCAGCTTACAAGTTCAAGTGTAACTGTGAGGATGTGTGCTATGTGGTCTTGCCGCCACATTATGTGTCTGTTTGCTTCATTTTAGAACTCGTGCGGCGGTCTCATTACCAAGTTGTATGAGATTGCTGCTGCATGTAGAAATGCAAAACTGACATCTCCTGTACGGATTGACCAGTTGTACACAAGTGCCATTGTGAGGAGTACCCTCAGCGTGCAAAACAGTGGTGTGCTTGCAAAGAGTAGGTCATGGTCTGTAGCGGGTTCTGTGTAGCCCTTTGCTACTGTTCGTGCTCGTGCTTCGTTGTGGGTTGGTTTAAGAACCCGTCTTGATTTAATGATGTTTGCTCGTTGTTCTGGTGTCATTGTGTTGCCATCAATCTCTGTAAAGACTGATTGGTCTTTCATTTGTTGTACTTCTTTCTTCATGCCTTGTGAAACGAGTGGTGGATTGTAGTCCTGATTTGTGCAAACAGTGTTCTGTGCGCTCGCCCTACTCCTCCTTGTGATTGTGAGCTGTATGCTCCTGAGTTCCTTGTCGCGATGTTGCCATTCTTGTTTGCCACTGCTGTGATCAGTGCCTGTAGTTGTGTGACCGCATAGTTGAAGAGTATCCTCTTGTTGGTCGGCCATGATCATCCCTGATTGGATGTCAATTGCTGTGAGGCTCGTTGCTGTCATCAAAGCCCTTGCTTTTGACGGGCACGCGTGCAACTGGCGCGTGTGCAACTTTCCAAGTGGGAGCTTTTGTGTCCAGAGCTGAAAAGCGCGCGCGCTGGCCTCCTTTAACTTGGAGTGTGCCGCGGCATTTGCCCGTGGACCCACCGCTGAGCAAGTACAAGTTGTTCGCCCACACATGCCAGAAGGCGTGGAATGCTGATATGGCGGTCAAGGAGAATGGCAGTGGCGCTGGCTGGGTGTAATTTCTCGCCTAACAGGATTTTAACTCAACCTCCCCCTGCAGTGCAAGAAAGGCGCTCAGCATTGTCATCTGCTGCGAGGTCGTGGCAATACACAAGCTTCCTCCGGTGTGTCGGAGCTTTGCACAAGCTGCCTGGCCAGTGCCAGTGTTGACAACGCTGGCTCTACTTGTTGGTGATTGCTTTTGGGCCACTCCGACTCCGACCTCACAGACGCCGTGGTGTAGGGGAGGTGGCGTGTCTTTGCGAGATGACCGGGTTCCACAAGAAGCACCTGTGCTCTGCTAGGGGTGATCCTCGGATGCCGGCTCATGTGCCAGGGAACCGTCAGATCGACGATAGTCGGAAGTTCAGGTGGTGAACGACGGCAGGGTGCAAGAGCAGGTGTTGCAAACTTGTGTGCGTGCTTGGCTTGAAGTTACTGCCTGATTGTAGTGTCATCTCTTCCCGCATTGAGGGGGATCCCCGACACGGTCCCGCCGGCGCAGGTCACCCACAAAGCAGAACAGAAGATAGACAAGTGTTGGAAACGAGCACGGCGGTCCAAAGCTTGGGCGCATGTGGCGCTAACCTGCGTCCTCGGCTGGCGTCAGACTGCGGCGTCAGGCGTCAGCCAGGAATGTGGCGTCAAGGAATGTGGAGTCGGAGTGCGGTGTCAGCCGGGAATGCGGCGGCAGGGAGGAATGTGGCGTCAGGGAATGTGGCGTCGGAATGCGGCCTCAGCCAAGAATGCGGCGTCAGCCGGGAATGTGGCGTCAGGGAATGTGGCGTCGGAGTGCGCTAGGAATGTGGCGTCAGGGAATGAATGTGGCTTCGGAATGCGGCCTCAGCCAAGAATGCGGCGTCAGCCGGGAATGTGGCGTCAGGGAATGTGGCTTCGGAGTGCGGCGTCACCCAGGAATGCGGCGTGAGGGGTGCATGTGCACAATGCGGCGTCAGCCAAAAATATTGCGCCAGAGAATGTGGCGTCGGAATGTGGTGTCAGCCGGGAGTGCGGGGTCAGCAGAATGTGGCTTCGCGTCAGAATGCGAATTCAGCGTCAGGTGGGAAAGCGCTGGCCCTTTTGCGGCCGCCCTGTAATTTTGAGTTGTCTCCATGACTATCGCCTTTTGCTCACATGCCCATTGGCCAGGAAACTCTTAGCATCCCTTCGCTGAGGTGGTCCGTGTCCATTGTGCGAGAGAAGATGAGCCCAAACTTGGCGGAGCCGGAGAACAAAGCCATAGGCCGAGCACGCGGGCGCGCGTTCTGTTTCTGCCGAAGGGGTTTTGCTGTAGATGGAGGAATCCACTTCGCGCCATTGGTTCAGAAACCCTGAAATGGTTCGATTCCCCGGTAAATACCAAGAAGCAATAGTTTCAGTCATGAATTCCAAGTGGTCCGGGGCAGCTTTCAGGGAGGGTGCCACGGATCTGCTGTTGGGGATGCCACCTGTGCTTTTTGCCGCTGAAGGGCGGCTCGTATCATTGTCACACCAAGGGCTGACCTTTTTCGTATGAAAGACTTGTGTGTTTCCACCCTTAGCAAGCAAAAATTCACCTTTGCACGCGGAGGCGTGTGGCCCAATTGTGGATGCGCCTGGGGAACTAGATGGTGAGTGAAACCTACGGGGTTTAACAAGGGGTTTGCTGGGCCCTTTTTGGTATCGAAAGTGGCGGCAGGGTCCAAAAGAGGCTGTCTTTTTGACACTGCCGGGAAAAGGGTCTTGTAACTTTGGGGTGGCGGGCGGTTTTCGCAGAGTCCCTTACAGTTGAAACTTGGGCTGCCAGTCAGAGGTTTAGATCTTGCCGCTTTGATATGGGTTTGCTGGGATTTTGAGGGAAATCCTTTCAAGGTGTTCAAGGAAGTCAAAAGAATGGAATCCATATTTTGGACACATGCATCCAGCAGCCCTGCTAAACCTGCCCTGCCCAGTCCGATTTGTTTTGCTTGGCAGGCGGACCGCTGAATTCAGGGCTGGAACGGTGCTTTGCGCATTTCAACGCCTGTAGCCAGAAAACCAACATGCTTTCCCGACTTATTCCGTGTTGCCAAACGTGAGTGTGGTCACCTCGCAGAAGGGCTTTTCAGAGGCCACCAAGCATCACCGGTATTGGAGGGGTTCGCGTCCCAACCTTCGTGCAACCTCCGCAGGCGAGGCGCACAACGCGGCATCGGCAGCTTGGAATCGGAAGGGATGGCAGGGGCAGAGACCTTTTCCAAAAGAAGGGGGCGACTACCGATACTAGAACCATATGGGTATGGATCAAGATTAAAGCACAAGAAAACCGCATGTTCTAGTCCTTGTTTCAATTTACCACAGTTCCAGATTGGGCACCCATTTTTGACCCAGACCCACAAATGTGGAACAAGGGTACGTACCTTGTTCAGGAGTTTTAAAGGGACGCGACAGGGACATCAGAAACATTTGTTGAAGGTTCCCCTTTTGATAAAAACAATTGAAGGTAGATGGAGCACTTTTCCATGTTGGTTTAGTCACCCCCTTTACTTACCCAAACGAACGGAATTGTGCCACGTACATTCACCCTGGTGTAGAACTTCCCCCATGTCACATGGAGTGTTGGGGCCACTGACTGTCATTTCAAGGAAACATGCTTTAAAGTGACAAAGTAGTCATCGGGATGGCCTTTTGGTTGGTATCACAGACAGGGACAATTTCACACATGTTTGTAGCCATAGCAAGGAGGGCCAAGGGAAGGTGTTGATCTTTGACGGTCCTTCGGCCCGAATTCACTGCTAGTCACCAGTTGGCTGCCATGGCTTTCGTGGTTACGGCTTGTCAGTGTATCCGAACCTTTGAACCGAGTGCTGTCAGATCCCTCCCATGTTTTTCCTTCGTGGCTTTTGCCCTTCCTGACTCTGAAAGCTTTCGATCGACTCCACCTTCGGATCACATGGAGGAAGCTCCATCGCTTAGTCCCCCCTTCGAACTTTCCCTTTTCGGAACCAGCAGTGTCCGCTAAAATGGCAACTTTTAAGGGAGAACTCCAGTGATCCCCGTTGGTGTCCCTCCGGAGTTTGCCCATCTTCTACCCTTGCGCCTTTTATTTTGGGAAGAACCATGAAAAAGGCGAGGGCGTATTTTTTGGGGGTTTTCAAAGAGAGGAGGGCCTATCCAGGGCTTCCCCACACCTCATGAGCTGATCCCCCAAAGCAGAACAAATATGTTTTCTTTGATGTTCAAAACATAGAGTGTTTGTGTTATCTCCATCTTTGCTTCGCTGTTTGAAGCGGCAGCGAGATCGCCACCGTGATTCAGGCTGCTTTCTTGTAGATCGGCGAAGCACACCAATCGGTGCTGATCTTTTGCGCAACTCAAAGCGCAACTCAAAGTATGGGAGAACTCCCCCGCCGATTTTGATGGGTGCGATGGATAACACGCAACGAATGCAACTGGAAGATTTGGACCACTCCACTTCCCTTGGACCGGGATTGAAGGGGACGCTGTTGGAATGTGGATTCCGCCCTTCTTTTTTTTGGCGGTTTTTTTGGGGGTAAGGGTGAAACCCTTCAGACTCAAGGAACCAAAACAGGGTGCCCTTTTTTCACATCGGAAATCCACTGGGCCTCTAACCGGGACTGAGCCCTTCCACCCTAGGTCCCCCAGTAGTGCCTTTCTCTCCCCGTTTAAAAAATAGGAAAAGAAGTTCCCCTACTAAAATAGACCACAAAAAAAAAAGGTACTCTTGTTCTAACCTCTCAAATCTGGAGGACCTAGCACCAAGCTCGTTAAGATCCACCGAGGAGAACTTGCGGCGCACCGTGAAGCCGCGAGTGCCGGAGTTGGCCTCCATCGAGGTCCGAGCACTTCGGGTTGGGATGGTTGGGATCCAGAAGGGTTGAAGCAGAAGTGTTGACCCCCGAAAAAATCAACCGCCTTATTAAAGGTGGGGGGTGGGGGCCCTCCAAAAGTGGTCTGAATCCCCACTAAAACCAAAAACACCCCCATATTAATAAACAGGGGTTGATTAATAGGGGGTGTTCATTAAGTGCCCTTTTTGGTTTCTTTGGTTTAAGAATAGAGGGCGATCCCTGGTTTGCCTGGTGGTTCAATCAAGTGCCATCTGTTTTCCCAAAAAGGACACCTATAGGTTGAAGACTTGGTGGAAACTCCTTCCATTGGCTGAAACGATGTTGAAGTAATTTCCATTTGCTGAACTTCCATGTGCTCCACTTCCATTTGCTGAAATCCAGAAACTCCATTGGCTGAAATGAATATTTTATGAAGTTGGTATTGGAGAGGGAATCGATTTCACTACCTGAAATGTCTGTGTCTTTCCCAGGGGGCTTAAGCAGAAGAAGCAGAGGAAACCTGTGAAACAGCTACCATACCTCCCACCGTGGGAGTTTGCTGTTAGCTCAACTCTGCTGCAAAACAGTCAACAATTGCGAACAAAATAGGGAACCTCGAACACGGTCTTCAGTTTCCCTTTGGCTTCCCTTGCAAACCCCGCAAAGGGTACCCTCAAGAGACACCCATTCTGTTGAAACCTGAGTGTAGAGTGTTCTTATTTGGGGGAATGCAATCAAGTAGGCTGGACAAGGCAAGAACAGGGAAATTCAAGATCTTTGTCAAGTTCTAAAGGCTATACTAGTTGCCCTGCCTCCCACAAACATGGCACCTGACAGAGTATCCATTGAAGAGGACATTGATCTTCCAGGGACTGTCTAAGTGTCTCTTGTTCAGCCACTCTTCTTGAAGTAAGTACGCACCCACATTTCAAAACCAACCTATGTAGGCTATGTGCATCACGAATCTTCACTTCACTTCACGTCATTTCACTCGTGTTTGCTTGATGTCCTCTTGAGGCGGGAATCCCCACCGTTCCTTGTCCTGCGCAGGACACCAGTCTCCTGCCGCCCATAGAGCAGCGGCCGGTGCTCTTCGACCAGCGCTGCGGCGGTCTGGGCACGGAGCGGGGTTGCGGGGATCGAGAGCCACGGATCGAGCGAGGATGGGCCATGCAGGTGCTCAGCCATTGGGAGGATTGTTTTATTGAGTGCTTGCAGATACCATAGTAGATAAGACAGGCACCTTGAGTTTATCAACCTCTAATGTACCCGGAGAATGGTTGTTTTACTTGCTTTACCCGATGCTTCCAGGCAACCCGGTAGAGGTAGCCCAAGGGAAGCCATGACGCACAACCTAGAGGCAAGAAGCCCGATCGCTTCCCCTTTTGGTGGCTCTGGAACTGGGTTTGCGGAATTCGAGTCCCCGCCATTTCGGGTTTGAATCTTCATGGCTTGGAGTCACGGGAGTTTATCGGTGAGGGATCCAGTCCAAAGAGTTCGTCGGAGGTTCAGCCCCCCGGAACTAAAGACGTGAACCGCCCCACTCGGGAAATGGGTTTCATATGCCCAGTCAAGAAGCCCCAGAGCGCACAGAATGGAAACTGGTAAACAAGAGGCATTTGCACCACTTGTCGCGAACCACTTACTCCCCCATGGAACCCGGAAAGCCAGAACCGGAGTGCTCGTGTTTTTCGTCCTTGTTTCTTTTCTCGCACAACCTCTGCTACAATGACCCCCCAAAATTTGGGGGGGGGGGTGTTGCTTCCGCCCCTCACTTTCGCCGGAAACGCTCCCGGTGTTGGGGGGAAATTCCCGCGACGGACGGGGGAAAACGTCCCGAGACGTCGCTTTTGGAGGACCTCACGGCCTCAGCGCCGCACCCGAGTTTGTGGGAGCCGCGGGTGCCCTCGGCCGCTTCGACCGGGAGAGGTGTCGCAGGTGGGGAGAGGTTTTGGCGCCGTGTTTTCCTTGGTTCCATTTGGCTTTCAGGTTGTTTGTTTCCTTTCCTGTGGGTTAAAACGGAACCTGTCTCTGGACATATGTTTGCCAGCTGTTGTCGTTTTCTTTTCCCCTGGTTTTTCTTGCAGTCGCTTTCCCATTTGCTGAAATGACGAGTTTCTATTGTTATCATTTTTTTCCAGGGGTTGAAAAAGCACATGGAAGTGGTGTTGTGAACAAGGAATGGGCCGAGGTGTCCGAAAAACGGAGCTTCCGGCAGGGTCGAAAGGACTCGAGCTGTTTGGCAGTTGAGTCCTTTCCGTGGTTTCCTTGATCAATTTACCTGGTTTTGTAGGTAAGCAAGGGCTTGCCACCCTTTGCAAACCCCAAGGAAATCGCTGAACTGGGATTGACTGGGATGGCTGCAAGTTGCGGACAGTCGCCATGTACCACTTGGAGTCCTGCGCCTTAGCAAAGGTTGCACTTGAGGTTTCTGGTTGCAAGTCTCCTTCCGATGTCACCGGAGATTTGGCGGCAAACCAAGCGCGACCCGGGAAGGTCGCTGACTTGGGGATTCCCTTTTTTCAACTTGCAAAGTATGGTGTGTGAAGAAGGTTGCTAAGAAGCTCGAACCCCGAGAGGAGTTCTTGGATTCCTCTTGCAGGTGTATCAGGGTTCTCTATAACACATCACCGCCTCAAAGTTTTTGAAAGCCGCTTCCTTCAAATAAGGCGATGCTCACTTCCTGAGGTCATGAACTTTAAACTTTTTGGGAAGACCATTTTACTGGTAAATATAGGGGTTGGACTTTTTTTGGGCCATCCACTCAGCCAGTGAGGATGTTTAAGGGCCAACATCGGGAAGTCTTTGAGTTGGCCGACTTTTGATTTGTCCTCGGACAGCTTCCCGATCTTTTCCCGTGGCCATTTCTACGTTTACAACGGGCACCGTTACCTAGCAGAAGCGGACATGTTTGTTGACGCTTTAGAAAGTCCGGGCTCAAAGGGAGCGGGGGTGAAAGGGAGCGGGGGTGGCCTTTGCATGCCTTAAAGATTGCAAGTAAACCAACCACAAACCACAAAAGCATGGGAGCACGGCCGAACGTGGAGGATCGGTTTCCAAGCAGTTTGAGCATATTTGGGGCAACCGCTGGCAAGGGGCACCGCCAAAAGATCAGACATGAATTCAAATGGGTCCCGGAAAAGCGGGCATGCATCCCTTTCTGCTTCTACCTACTCCCCAGCGAAATCATGGACATTTATTCTTGTGTCCGCACCAAACTTGGATGTCAAGGGTCCTCAATTCAAATTCAAGTGGGGCGTGAAGGACGGCTCTGGCGATCCCAAAGGCAAATGAGAAACCCACTTGCTCAAAACCCGGGTAGAAAAAGAAGGAGGGACAATCCCAACCACAGATAGGGGCGAATGTCTGCCCTGGTGGTTATTCTTTGCACTACTTGTAGACCATTTGACTTGCTGGTTCTCAGCAGTGAATGAGAAATGGAATGACCCCATTTCACCCATCCCCGATTTCGTTTCCTTTTTAAGGGAATCCCCAGAACCGGTTCATTCAGCCAACACCCGCTCTCGGAAGATTCCCTACCTATCGCACCAGCAAGTTGAAGGAAGTTACCGGGTTTATATCCCCAAAATTGCCGGTCATTTTCTTTGCATTGGTTGTACATGGGTTTTGATGAGTCATTTAAAGCCAATGCAAGTTGCATTTTATGACACTTAATACTTAATGTCGGGCACAACAGTGTTAATAATGGTTGTTGTTTTTCAGTTTCCACAAGTACCGTTAAAAACCGGGAAAACACATTTGCCAAGGCCCCGAAGCAGTACCGCGGCGTGCACCTCTTTGTGCTGTGCCACGGCTTCCAGGGGCGCCTCGGCATGTGGCCGGCCAGTCGAATAGCCCTGTGCGCAAGAAATAGGGAAGTGCTCGTGACGCTCACAGGTACCCGGTAAGCATGAATGGTTTTTGCTTGTCATTGCTTTTGTTGAGGGGGGGCACCTTAAAGCAACCCCGTGGCGATGAACTTTGGCGCTTGGAACGCCATCCCCCGATGTAAGTTAACATCCCCCCCTCCCCATTTTCTTTCGCGGGCATGCTCAGACTGAACACCATACATGTTTCCAGACCAAAGGAAGCCCGCATGTTTTTTGTTGGGGTAATCGTTTTGGGTCGATGGAGCCCTGTTGGGGTCCTTTCCTGCAAGCAGGGTCAGGGGGGGCTTCGGAGATGTTCGGGGTGTAACGGCTTCAGGAGGGCCAGAAGATTGCCCGCCCAAGGGCGGACGCCTACTCAGAAGCTTTGTGCAACTGTTGGGCTTTTCATTTCCCTTGAGGAGAATGAGACAAAGATCCCTTTTCCCGAAATTGGGAAAGGTGCAAAAAGAGCCTGGTGCCTCTTGCTCAAATCAAGTTGCACTGTTAGAGGTTGCTAGAGCCGTTACACGGGGAAGATGCCCGGCAAGTTGGACGAGCAGGTTACATAAGAGATTGCCAATCTAGTGAATTCGCGCGTGAAGGAAGGAAAGAAAGGAAAGCTCGACAAGTTTCCATGACTGGACCGTGGGTCAGCGTGGTCTATGTGCAACATCTGGGGGCTTTCTTGCGGCGCGCGGGCGCGCGCGCCTCTCTGTGCCGTTCGCCGTGGTCGATGTCCAAAATCTGCGGGAAAGGGGGGCAAGATCACGCGGAGGCTGCGACTGGGTGATGTTTCACGGTTTCAAGGGGACATACAGCAATGTTACTCCTTAGCCTGCTCCTAACAGAGGGCCAAGCCGTTGTGGAAAATGGCCGATGAAATGGCCTTTTCAGTTGTCTCCTGGCCCGTTACAAGGCATTGCCAGACTTGGCTTGCCTTCCCAACCTTGTGCCTTCTTTGGTGTTCAACCAGCAAAACGCCTTACTTTTGGCATAGCCCCGGTCGGATCCGTCTGGTCAAGAAATTGGAGCTAGGTTTCTGGTACGGGCCAACTTCCTAGTGTTGATCCAGTATGGAAGCACCCCTGTTACCATCCGAACCGCTTCCACTTTGCCAACGATCCAAATTTGGACTTACCAGTCCGATAGACTCGGAAGAGCAGCCTGGAGGACCCTTGTGGAACTTGTTTTCAGGATTATTTTTGAACATTTTGTTGGCCCAAAGGTGCGTTTCCCTTGAGTTGGGGGGGGCGATGATGCTTGTTTCCCGGTTTTCCAAAACGAGAGACTTTCCCTGGCGCTTCTCGGACAGAGAGACATCCATGTTGTCGAAATGGGCATAACTTCCCCGCAGAAGGCACCCTCAAACCGAGCCATTTCCCTTCAAAGGAACCCTTCCGGTTCATTCCTAAAACCCTTGTTGATTCATTGCTGAGAACCACTTCACATTTGCAGGTTGGGTTTTTGGGTTCTCTTCATTCTCAACTAGTCGGGGGGGGGGGGGGGGCTGCAAAAACCAAACAGTTTGTTGCTACCATACCGTTCGGGTTGCGACCAGACCGGAGCACCAGGAACTCCTTTGACATGCGCCTCATGAAGAACAACATCGCCCTGCTGTACCCGGACGCCATCTTCCTCTGCTCGCAGTCCAACGAGGCAGAAGGTTTTTTTGTTGGGTCATTTTTTTGGGGGGGGAGGGGGGAGTTTTTTTCTGGGGGAGGTTGTTCTTGTTTGGTTTGTTTTTGGTGAGTTTTGCGTTTTTCTTTTTCCTTTTCTGTTCTTCTTTTTCTTTGGTTCTTCTTTTTTCCGGAAGTTAGCCTCACCCCTTTGGGGGGGGGGTCAACCTTTGTTTTTTCTTTTTTTTTGGGGGGGGGGATCAAAAATCAACCATTAATCTTCCATTTTCTGAAGCAGATATGATTTTGTTTGCTTACCAGAGGGTCCATGCTAAGGGGACATGTTAAAGGAAAACGTGGGTTGCACACTTACTGGACATATTTACCCATCAGGGACGCAATCGCACATGGAGTTATTAGCATGCCAGTGGTGCCCTTTGCAGTGTCCAGCATGCCAGATGGTTTTCGTGGTTTCGCTTGTAGTGCCCCACAGGCTAGGAAGATCGAAAACTCGCCTTATATGGATGGTTTCCTCTTGGCTTCCCTTTAAACTTCAGCCAAATGCCGCAGGTTTCCAGAAGCAAGATGATTCTCTTGCGATGATTTATTTTGTCAAAGTACCCAGCCGCATTCTAAGTATTTGGCCCTGGCATGCATAGGGTACTCGCAACTTTGTGATATGCATGAAATCCCCTCTGAGGTGATACCACCGTGGCCTTTGGGTAGGGTTGCAACCAGGAAGGCTGTGGATGCGCATTTTGACTTGCTAAATCAAATGGTTGGAGGTTGAGTCTTAGTGGTTGTGCGGGACGATGCAATACAGGGGTGTGTCTTTTTTAAGGAGCCGCCCAAAAAAGGCCAACCCTGCGAAAAAGACGCCCAATGGTTCTGTGGCCAATTGGTTCTGTTGCCAAGGGGACCTACTCACCTCGGTAGGTGGCTCAGGCAACCAACTGCCTTGGGGTTGAACACGTTCCAAAGGGGATGTCATTTAACCATACGGGCGGCTCATCGTCTTTTGGAGTTGGTGCCACTTTCTCCGTGATCTTAAGAGGAACCCCGCCATTTTGTCCCTAGGGACCTGCCAGGCATTCCTCGTTCCAAGCAGACCTCGAAGCCTTACCCTGACACTTTCCCAATTGGACGCAGGGCTGTGGGAAATTGGGTTTTAGATTGCCACCTTCTGTGACAAGGAATTCTCGTTGACGAGAAAGTCGTCAAACGGAAATTCCCAGACGGGAGTTTCTCAAAGTGGAACCTTTGGGCTGGTCGTTAAAGGGAAGCCAACAGGAAACCAGCGAATTTAGGGACCACTATTTTGGGAAACCATGTATGTAATGGTTTTCAAGGAACCCATCATTAGACCCAGAAGGAGTTGTTGACCACAGCACAGCGAACCCACTCGTTGCTCCCGGGGGGTAGGGGGGGGGGATCACAGAAAGATGTATGTTCCACAGAAATGTTTAGTTAGGCGCAACCAGAAATCGGAAGGACAACACGGAGGGTGACTTCGAAGAGATGGGCATTCGATTGGCGCAGGAGGCGGCAGTTGGGGGGGGGGGTCCATGCATGGTTTTGGAAGAACAAATCCTGTGTGTTTCTTCCCCAAATGGCCCGTTTCCATTTGGCCCCCCGGAAACAAGAATCCAAGAGGGGTGCACCATTTTGGGACTTTTTCGTGGACGCAAAACGTCGGGGGAAGAAAAAGAACGGGAGCGGTGCAGAAGGCAGCGGCAAGAAAGGGTTCCCTGGGGCTCTGAATCACTCCCTCATCCCTGGTGCTGATTGAGAGCCACAGCAAGGGGGCATGAGCCTTGAATGGTCCTTAAGGCCGCTAATAGTCACTAGTCACTCGTCACTAGTCCTTGCAACAACTCAAACAGGATTAGGGTGGCGTCTCCCCTTATGGCTCGGAATCAGGCGACATAAACAAATAGGTTTTGGCCATTCAATCAGTTTAAACATTGGACTCATTGAACGATTCTTCTTTGAGCCGACAAATTCTTCGTAGTCTATCGGCTGTGGGTCAAAACGTGGTTCAATTTTGACCCATACAATCATCCAACTTTCCTACATGGGGGTTGATCAACATGCCTGGCCCCTATCTTTTCCCATCTAGTGGGACACATCCTCTTTTTGTGTGGTTTTCCCGATGGTTATCCCGCGCAAACAGGACCTTTTGATCAACCCTTAATGCCCTCGGGGAAGTGCCGAAACTTTTTTTGCGTCTGCTGTGAGTCAAGGCCACGTTGATTCCGTTGATTCCGCACACTGGAATCACTAGGCTTCCCAACCGTCAACTGAGAAGCTGCAAGCTGTTTTCCTGACTTGGGTATGGGTCAAAATAAAACCCTGGGGGACCGCAGGTTTTAGTCCATGTGTCCATTTGCCAGGGTTCCATTTTGGGTACCTATTTTTGACCCACAGCCACTTTCCGCCAACCTCTGAGCCTCCATTTGGAAAAAGGAATTTGATCTGGGAACCATCACACCTGCTGCCAAACACTCTTTGAGGTTGCTTTGGCCGGATTCCAGCTGTTGAGTGAGTGGTTTAAACGTCATAGGATTTGGTTACCCCGTTTGACTCCTTAAGGCTTTTCAGGTGGCCAACTTCATCTGCGACTGGTGCCCGGGTTCTGCACTGGGCCGTCTGAGCTTCATCGCCCACTCCATCGGCAGCTTGGCGTTCAGGGACGAGCACTCGCACCAAGCATATGTTTTTTTTTTTTGAGGCCACCGTGTTTTGGTTGTCTTTAGCGGGAAACCAACAGGATCCTTGTGGCAAGTTCCCAAAGAGAAGTGGTGTGTGAATGGACCAACTAAAACCAAGCAGTGTGTTCCCAAATCCCTTGAGAAGCGTCTGTGGGAAGTCCTTCCAGTGATACTGTGGATGGTTTCCAGTTGTTGCTGGTTTACATATGCCAGTAACTCAGTATTTATGGGGTTTCATCTATTACAAAACTGGTGCAGGACTCCTGTATTTCCCCCAATATTCCTGTATATCTGGGCTTGCCCACGTTGCCTTGTCAAAAGCAGTGATGTTGAAAACCAACAGGGGTCTCCTTCCAAAGGGAGCTTCCTCTCATTCGGGTCTTCGGCTTCCATGTGCGTTTGCACTGTATGTTGCGTTTCATCTGGTTTTTATCCAACTTAGAGATACACCGCGGATGTTTTCTTGGACTTTTTTTGAACCATCGCTCAAGCCAAAAGCCGAGGCGGCCTGATCGTGCGCTCGGCGATCCCTCACCTTCAGGATCGGGGAGTCTGAAATCAAAGCATTCGCGTAAGCTCAACAAAACAAGTCACGGCCCGGCGCCTGGAAGCGATTGTTGCCCAGACGAACATGGAAGCTGCCAGGACCCCTTCTGGGAGCTTCCATGTCAGTCTGAGGGAGCATGTAAAAGCTCTGCAAGTCGGGGGTGATGCTCCAGCTTGGCGAAAATGCCGTTGCCGCGATGCTGTCGAGCCAGACAGCTCGTGGGCGTACGTCACAAATGCCATGTTTCAACGTGACCGGCCAGTGATCCGGAAAAGTTGGACAAGAAAGCACGAGCAAAAACCATAACTGTTTCCAAGCCTGCCGTCTCTGCCCCCTACGACCGCCAAAGACCGTCAGACAAAGGGCGACCCTACGTGGCCTTCTTTCGAGCCGCAAAATGACACCCGCATCCAGAAACGGCTGTATGGGCGAGTCTCAAAATGGGGAACCCCCCACAAAATCTGGCGGCCTTTCTTTTGGCTTCCCTTTAAAACCACAAAATTGGCAACCCCTACAAAAACACGCGTCCCCGATTCGAAGCGCCCCTCGGCTGCGCCGAAAGCACCGCGAATCGGATCCAAAATGGGCGGTCCCCAGGTGTCCGGTTCTCCAGGTGGTTTTCATTCTTTCGTTGGCTCAGTGGTTGGGTTTTCATTTCACCCATAAGTCAAACTTTTGGCAGGGGATCTGAGGACAGCCCAACAAAGTGAGAAAAGTGTTTGGCCACATCTAGTGTGACTTTTTGGATGAATGCGGCCGTACGAATCAGGGGCGGCTCCCCTTTCAGGAAGGATATTATCTACCTTTCTGGGTCTTGATTGGATTCTGGGGTCATTATTTTGATTGTTTCTGGGGATTATCAAAGTCAGAAGATGGAATCGGTTGTTTCCCTCTAACCCCCCACTGAACGGGGGCGACTTATGGTACAATAATTTTAGGCCAGTGACCCTGCCACTAATTAGCGTGCATTCCGTCAGCGGTCCTGGTTTGGACCAGTTTCCTTTGAAAGGGACCCCCTGTCAAGTTCCATGTGAAAAGGTGGGAGGGCAGATGGTTTCCAAATTCCTTCGGAGGACTTCAAGGACAAGATGTTCACGATCTTGACCTTCTCCTCCCCGCACGCGGGCCGCCGTGGCAGCAGCCAAAACAGCGTTCTGGGTGTACCCTTTGGTGCATTTTGCCAAAGGATGTTAGGACTTTATAACTTTTTGCCAACTAATGGGTTTTCCATTAAACCACTAAAAGTTAGTCACTTTTAGCAGGGGAGCAGAAAGCAACCAAGTACCCGCCGGGCTAAAAGGCCATTCCGTGCGGAGCGTGTGGTTTGAACCAATGTTGACCCCGGATGAGTAGGCCGTTCCTTCCCATTCATATGGGATCCCTCCAAAAATGATGATTCCCCACTAAACCCAGGGACCCCCCGCCCCCCCATGATTGATCCGGGGTCAACATGACTCAAAGGGATAGCCACTTCGCATCACAGAGGATGTCGTTTTCCTGAGCCATATCCCTGGAAAGACAAGGGCACCCTGAAAGCAAGTTCCCTATGCTCTGCCTTTTGGTCTCAAACAGGATTTGCATTTTGGAATGGCCTTGGCACTGGAAAAGCCGCCGCGCCGGGACCAACTGACCAAATTTTTGTGGGTTGCAGCTCGACGGGAAAGACACGTGGCTCTCCCATGAAGGTTTCTAGCATTCCACACTTTGTGGGCTTCTGAATCCTGTGAAGTAGGGGCAAAAAAAAAGACCACACGCTTTTGGGCTGGTTCCCTGCACACCTATTGCCGCTCGCCCGGGCCCGAGGTTACTTCATGAAGAACATCAGCCTCTTCCATTTGGGCCTGAAGGCTGTGCTGCGGTCGATGCGCAGACCTGTCAGTGGGACATGTTCAACGGCCAAGAAACGGGTTCGGATCGCTTGCGCAGAGGACAATGCGTGTTGAATCGGAAAGGAACCCATGTGCCAAAACTCGTTTGTCATCCAGGCTAGCCACAAGTCACACTGTGCAACCAGACGGAGTGCGTTGAACGGAGGTGCACTTGGTTCTCTACAGAGGTATCTTAGAATCCTGGTGTTCCAATTCGTGCCATTCCGATTTGGTCAGGGCCAGGGGCGGAGGTGGTATTTTGGTGAACGGCTTGGTCATGCAACCTGGGCAGATAGGGGCGGGATCCGCTAGGTAACATACAGCCAACTAGCTGATCCCGAACCAAAGAGCTGTGATGGGGTCGCAAAAGGCTTCGAGTCTTCGCACCCTCAGAGAACTGCAAGATTTGTCCACCCCCGAGAATCCGAGTTTCATGACTTCAGATTCGTTTATTTTGGGCATCCGGCAAACTGTTCGGCTTTTTGGTAAACTGCAGCCCATTCGACTTGATTCGGCTGGGGCGCAACATGGACCTCCTTGAGCCTTGGCGTGTTTCCTCAGGTCGGTTTCCTTTGGGGGTTTCCCTTCAACCGACCAACAGAGGGTCCGAATCGAGGAACCCCCCAAACATTGCAACCCATGCCACGAAGAGTAGCGGGTAAGTTTGCTGTTTCTCTGCCCTCTTGGTGTTCCTTATTTTTTAATGAGCCCATGTGGATTTGTCCATTTTTTCCTTGCGTTGACTAGTGCTGTATTCTTGGGGGGTCCCCTAACATGTACATTTTAGAGGACCAAACAAAGGGCACATAGCCCAAGCTGCCCTCCTGGGTACCCTTATGCCAAGCCTCTTGATATTTCTTTTTTTCTTGAGCCCCATTTCGATTCCCACTTTTTCTTTTTGCCTACCCTGCTCTTTGCAATTTTTCCTTTCAAGAGCCAAACGTGGATTTCTCCAAAGATGCACATTGGGGGTCCAACATGTACATGACCAAGAGGCACATGGAGGAAGCTTCCCTCCTGCCGCCCAGCGCCAAGCCTTGCGCGCCAAGCCTTGCGCGCCAAGCCTTGCGCGCCAAGCGCGCGAGGTGCTGCAGAGCTGGCGGGGCTCCCAGTGCCTCACCCAGCTCTCCATGGCCGACGCGGAGGACCCACGGCAGACCATGATCTACAAGCCCCTCGGCCCGGGAAGCGCGAGGATTTTTCGGAAATTTGCGACGTCGAAGTCCTCACCTTTTTGACTAAAGACAAGAAACACCAAGGGCAGCCACCAAGATGTAGGGTGTTCCTCGTGTTTTGTTGGATTTGAAAGGGAATCTGCCTCACCCGTTTAAGTTTTTGTTTCTTCTCCCCCGTGTTCTCTTGGTTTTGAAAGATTCTGCTGAAATATGTGTTTGTTGTTTGTGGTAGGGAAACCAAGGGACAACAGGAGCCCCGCTTGTTTGCCCCAAGAGCTGAAAAAGCTTTGGGTTCTCTGCTTGGCTGGCGGCCCGTGATGGGAACCCAGGAAGAGGAAGAGATTGACATGTCAGTGGGGACCCTGGTGGATGTTTTGATTTGTGTCCACCAGCCAGTTTTTGAGGTGGCTCAATGAAAACGCCGTAGCCATAAAACTTAAAACTCTGGTTGGTTTTGTTTGGGGGGTGTCGCATAGGAGGGATCCGGCTCATTCTTTCTTTCTTTATTTTGGGGGGGATGTCCTCCCTATTCATCCACCGTTGAGAATTAGCAGCCTAGGTTCCCGCTAACTGACTGACTTGGCCAAAGACCAACGTAGGTTCTCCCACCACGACCAAGGCTGAGCCAAACTCCCGGCTTCGAGCTGCTCGGAGCGAAAAGGCGGCGAAGGCGAAAAGGGGCCCACAGTTCGAGCCGGGTGAAGGGTTTGGGGACTTGACCTGGCTTTCGGGGAACAAAACCCCCCCTCCACAACACCAAGCCACCAAGTGGGTTTGCTGAGGTCTGGATCCTCCACGAAACCACCCAGCCACCGATTTTTTTCGGCTCCGAAGCAAGTGGCAAGCTGAAAGGTCAGTCGGGAAGGCCTCGAAGGTCTGGGGAACTGGATCTGAGATTTGCTTCCTTTTGGACGAGCTGAGACTTGTCTCAATCCCCGGGTTTCGAAACCAAAAGAACACAGATTTGCGTTTGGTTTTTTCCATCCGATCATTGCGAAAGGCGAATCCGATCTACACTTCCGAACAATGTGAGGTGCATGAAGGAAAGCAACATGCTCGAGCCCATTTCAGCAGGTACCTGAAGATAAAGGCACCGGCAAATTCCCGGCGAACACATGTTTAACATTCACGGCTTGCTTCCCCTCTTTGAGGGTAGCCCACATTTGTCTGAGTGAGGACTGTAAATTGTTGGGGAAGGCCAAGCCAAACCGAACGTTTGGGGCCTGCTTTTTTCGTTTGGGGCCTGTTTTCTTTTTTTTTCTTTTTTTTTTTTTATAAGCCAATCTACTCAAGTGAGCTTGTCCACTCATCGGTGGTACGGGCCTGAGATGTGTCACCTACTTCCAGCATGTGAGACTCTTGAAAGGCAGAGGCACCAACCCCCCCCCCCCCCAACGGACCGGAGATTTTCCAGACCGGAGCTGCACAAAACTTGCCGAATGAGAACCGGAATCCTTATAAGCCGTCAACTGGTGATTTCCCTTTAAGGGGACTGGGTTCATTCCCACATTCCCGATCGCACCAGCCAGTAATCTGATCAGTAATGTCCAGTAAAGTACTTTTAGGGCGCTACCCCAAAAAATACGGGAGCTCCCCCTTTTGGGAGGTCCGTTTTGGTGCTGACTGGACCGAGGTACTTCCAGAACGTGGTGCTGGTCTCCTGCCCCAGCGACAGCTACGGGCCCTTCGACTCCGCGAGGGCTCGGACCCGCGAGACATCGATCGCTTTTTTCTTCTCGGCGACTGGTGACCGGTCAAAACGGCAAAGGCCGTTCCCCCGTTCCCCCGGCATGTTGGGGGGGTTTCCCAGAAACGGGTCCCTATTAAAGGCCAGTAAACGGATTTTCACTTTAGGGGAGAGCCACCAAACTCCTACGTAGGTCATGGAATTATTTGGCTCGTCTTTTTTTGGAGTTGGTACCCCTTTCTGAACTGTTTTACAGGGAGAGCAACGTGAAACCACCAATTTTGGAGGTTCCCACACACACACACAGAGCCCATTGCGCACAACCAGTTGACTCGAGTCTATAAGTGGTCCAACATGGGGCTCCCCCCGAACTGCCGAAAGCCACATAAGTTCTGGTTGTCTTTTCCTTATCTTTTGTTTGTGTTAGGTCTCTTTTTCTTCGCAATTGGTCCCAGTAGTGCCCTTTCTCACCCTTTTTTGGGGGAGGGTTCCCCTGCTAAACTAGACTACAGAAGAAAGTGGGTACCAAAACCTCCCAAATCTGGAGGACCTAGTCGCAATTGGCACCCCCCAAACGGGTTTTTCAGTTTCAGTTTCGTGCCATCGGCCAGGTCCAGATCGGCAGCATGCTGGGCATGCACACGGCGCAGGAGGCCTACGCTGAGATCGTGCAGAACCTCTGGAAAAACGCTCCCCGGACCCGAAGAACGGGGAGCTTTTTTTCCCTGCGCACCCGCCAGCACAAAAATGGTTGGACCCCACAATGGCGCAAGAGGCAGCGGTTTCCCTTCAAAGGTTTCCCTTGAAAGGGTTGTTAGTTAGTTTCCCCGTGAAACCGACTAACCTGATTTCTGTGGCCTCAAAAAGACACGCCAAATGGTGATGTGTGTGTTCCCCAGCTGAAAGCTTTGGGTCGATAGTGGCTTGATGAGTTTCCGTGCCAAGGTGAAGCCTGAGAGGGTCTTCAGATTCGACGTGAACTTCCACATCCCGGCATCCCGGCTGAAATGGGGCAAGCTGAGGCGACATTTTGCTTTTTCCTTTTCTCTGAACTCTTAGGTTTTCTACTTGGGGACCAGGTGACTTTGTTTTCTGAACTGTTAGGTTTTCTAAGTGGGAAGTGGCCACTGGCAAAATCTGCGGTTTGCCCTTGCTCTTTCATTTGGAGCCATCCCCACTTGGCTACGATTTTAGCAGGGAACCTCCAAGGATTTAGTGCGGGGTCCCCTGATTCTCCACAAATTGGAACAAGCTCGGCTAGTACGACCGATCCATGAAGGTCCTTTGCCTGGTATTTCCAGTTTGCGAGTCATGGTGATTTCAGCAGATGGTTTCGACAACCTGCGACACGAAGTGCTTTTGATCATTACAGCGGCTGGGTGTGGCTCTTCATGTTGATAGAGACTTGTCGAGATGACATTTGTCCGGATTGGTTTGGGAAGTGTGCAGAGGGAAGCAAAAAGCGGACCAGTTGTAGGGGACACGCACGAGCTTTCCTGCGAATTGAGGAGAACAACCTCGCTCCTTGGCAGCACTTGGCGAGAATGGTGTCATCTGAGGGGGATCACCCCTCTCAAGGGATGATCAAATGATGGAAACTGGCAATGGGGCATGCTCTAGATGGGGCAAACATCATCCAAAAACGAGGATGTTGGCAAGCTCCCTTGTGGACGGGCAACCTCCACCAATAAGACCGGACGAAACCCTACGAATACCACCACCTACCACCTACCAACTGGTGTGAAGCGGATTTTGTCCATGCACCGTATCGCTGGTTCCCAAGATTAAAGGGCGCATAACGGATCAAAGGAAGCAGGCGATCCAGAAATCCGATCCCAAGTTGTGTGCGTTGGAGGTGGGAATCTCCTTGAATGGTCTTGTGGATCCAATAAACAGCTGTTGTTGTTTCTTGGCATGTTTGTCAAGTCTGTATGCTTTGTGGAAAGCTGCAAAGAGCAAGTTTCTTGCTAACTTAGCAAAGGTTGGAAGGGTTGATTGAGATGGTCCGCTTCTACAGTGACTCCTCTGCAAACATTTGTCAATATACCTCTCTCTCCTGATCTCTGCATGTGATGGAGAGTGACGCGAGCAGTAGTTGGTCCTGGAGTCCCTATGAGACCCAAGAGGTTTTGGGAATTGGGCCCAAGCGGTCGGAACGCAAAATTTAAACGCACGATATCCAGACGTGATGCAAGCATTGGCAGGGCTGTGCACCGGAGACGCTCCGAATCGGGATCGCGGGTTTTGTCATAGGCTGTGTTACCCGTATCTCCAATTCCGTAGGTTTTCAGGGTTTTGGTTTAGAGGGGGGTTCGATTTAACCCACTAAAACTGTTAGCAGGGAATGTGAGGACAGCCCAGCACTTCTATCATCAAGTGCTCAAGGTGAAAGCCGGGGTTCAGCCAACGCTTCCCGCTTGGCAATTCACATGTCATAACAGGACACCTTCATCGGACGAGCTGCGCACATCCAATTCCTGGAGTGCCAGCCTGTGATGAGGCCGGACTGGCTCCCGACTTGTGGCCGACTGTTTGAGGCTTATCTGGGAGCTCTTTTGAAGGGAAATCAAACCTACTTGCTTTAGGGCCCCCCTACTTTTGAGAGACCACTCTCGTTTGGGCAAAAAGGAAGTGTCAACGCAGGCAGGGTTCCGGTTTCGGCCGCGACAAGACTTGGGCGTCAGGCGGTGGCCCGGTCACACCCCCGTTTTCTTGAACAGCTCAACCCGCGACTTAAAACGTGGAAACCACTGTTTGCCTTCCCTTGTGGCTCGGTTCATTGGCTGAAAAGGTCTCCAGATCAAAGCGATCTTCCTTTAGGGGTCATGTCCGAAGGGGAAAGATCAGGCAGGCTTAGGATTTTATTAGGCTTCTTTACTTTGCAATAAATTGTTCTTAACGGTTTTTTAGGGTTCCTTGGTTCCTTGCTTTTCCGTTTTTTTTCTTTGGGTTCCTTACCGTTGCTTTGGCCTTCTGCTGGTTCCTTCTTCCCCTGGGGCCTGCAGGGCTCCGCAGGTTTTTCAATGAAGGCGTTCATGCTTGGACTCTGATCCGAGCCGGGTGCTTTGTCGACTCCTTCGAGTGATTGATGTTAGGCTGGCACAAGTTAACCCTGAATGTTTGAGGAAGTTCCCATTGCTTGGGATTCGGTCAAGGGTTCGAAGGATTCTCTTCTGGATTCCCTGGTCTTCTGTTTCCCAATTTTTTGGGGTTCTGCTCTTTTTTTCCAGTTCCCCAAGGTCTCTGAGAGCTTGGGTGTCTTCTGACTTTCAACCTGAACGCCACATGTCGGATGGGGGCGGCCTTGTAGCAGGCACCTGTCGGGCTTCCTGTGGCTGGACGCTCCGATCATAGTTGGATGGACAAAATGCTGCAGCAGTTGGGATGAAACAAAAACCCTGAGAAGACTGAGATATGCAACCTATACCAACTGGTGCGAAGTGGATTTTTGCATCCACAGTATGACTCCATAAAACCGCGTGTGATGTTCTAAGGGGACACCAATCGACAACTCTGGAGGAAACCAGTCCACTTTGAAGATGAACATCGGAGGTGAGGACACCTGGAGGTGTTTTTTTTGAGGATACCCTTTGTGAGGTTGGTTGAAAGAGAAATCAGTAGGACACCGTTGCCAATTGGAACTTCCTTATCTTGCTGGTTCTCAGCCGGGAACGAGGGAATGCCCCCTATAAACCATCTCTTGTGGTTTCCTTCAAGGAAATCCTTGGGTTCATTCCCGACCCCCTGGGTCATTCCCTACTGAGCACCAGCAAGTTATGAGACAAGCTCACCTCGGATCCGATCGCAGGATGATTATCCACAACTTCAGCTTCCTGTTCCGCTGATCGGGCCGCGGGTTTCAGGGCATCCAGGCTCTCGAGTCGCGGGGGGGGGGGGGGGTCTGTACCCGCTGTCCAAGGTGGCTCAGCCAGCTTTCCAACATCTGGGGTCTCCTCTTAGCTGCTTGAATATGAGTGTTTCCTCAAATGAGGGACTCCTCCAGGTGGATTGGTTTCCTCTTGGCCCCACATGGTTCCCTATTGCGAGACGGACCCATATGAGCAAGAATGTCTGAACGTATTTGTCCATGGACGATTTCAGCCTTGGGCCGGAACATGGTTCGGCTTAGGTGAACGATCCTGCACACGCCCATCCTTGGAAAACCGGGTACCCTAAACGTTTGCTTTTTGTCAGTTGCCCAAAGCCGACCTTTTAAGGTCTAACTTTCTTTCCAGGTCCTTTGGGCAAGCGAGTTTTGGGTATCCATTTTCAAAATCAAGCAACCCCACAATGCTGGGCAAGCTTGTTCAAGGATCGGGGATATTCACGGGGCCCTTCGTTCATGGAGATCCTGGCAGTGCAAGGCTGGTTTGCAATCCTTCTCCACGGCTTGCTGACCAAGGGACGGTCATGTACCAAGGAAAGCCACTTGTTGGGGGGTTTTCCTTTTCGAATTCAACCAACCCGAACAGGTGCCCCATATTTTCACGTTGGCTCAAGCAAGATTGAGAGTGTGTTGGACGCAAATTGAATGCCTTTTCATGTTGGGAGTAATTGACATGTCGGTACACTTTTTGGGGGAGGGTTCAAGGGGAAGAAACCAAAGGGAACAAAGCAGCATTTAAAGGCCTGGCTATCAGGCGATCTGGACAAACGCAAGGCTGGGTCCTGAAAGTAACACTGGAGTGATCCTTCAGATGTTGGTGAACATTGGGTCCGACCCCCAAACACATGGTTAGTCTGTGACCCCCCCCCAACTCGTTCTGACAACCCCCAAAGTGTCACTGGTGCTGACCCCATCTATCAACAAGATGACTCAAATAACCCCGGTTGATGCGTGTGCGCCCATCGCGGTCTGTCAGGCCTGCCAAAGAAAGGTCCGTGAGAGCCAACTGCGCATGTTTTTCGCATGTCTCGAAATGGTGTGCCGGCCCTGGCCTTTGAGTTTCCAGCCACCGTGTCCAGTGCCGGCACGGACCGGAAGACTCTTCATGTTTCCCCCCCCCCCCCCGCTTTTTTCCCCTTTTCGAGCTCACTTGGTAACAAAACGAGCTTACCATGATGAAGGTCCTTCATTCGGAGATTTTTCGCGTGCTGTGTATGGGGTTATTTGGCGTTGGGTCAAAACCCTCTACCCCTGGTGAATATCAAAGTAGCTGGCAAATGGATGTTCATCCACCCCAAAATGGCTCGCCATAGGTTCTGCAACCCATGGCCACTTGTTGTTGTTTTTTTTTTTTGCGGAGTGTTCCCCTGGCCAGATGTTGGGACACATTGGGAGCCTTGAAGCTGAGCTCTTGCAAATTCCAGACAGCCAGGGCCGGAGGAATCTTGCAAGATGCAAGATGCAATTGGGTCAAGGTACCCGTTGCAGGGAAGCAGGAGACAAAAAATTGGACGGGGGGGGGGGGAGGGGGGGCGCAGGACGATTGTGGGAGTTGTTTTTCTTTTGAAAGTACCCCTTGGGCTTGAATCAAAAGAGACAGGGGACAAGATCAAGACATTGGGTTTGCATTGTAGGACCAAGTATCTCCTAAAAAATTGAACCGGCCCATCCGCTTTGCTTTGGAGGGAGCCCACAAACCAGCTCGGAGGAACCTTGGAGGGTTTCATGGCGAGGGTTGCCCATGGGGCTCAGGTTTTCCTTTGCTGGGTGGGTCTCTGCCATCCAATTCCTTAGGTTTTTGGGTGTTTAGGTGGTTTAGTGGTTTCCACTACACTAAAAGTTAAGTTTTTGGCTGGAGATCTGACGACTGCCCAGGTTGGTTTCCTGAAGTTGGTCCAAATCGGGAAACTTGTGGCATCTTTGGAGCAAGCCCGGTTGATCGATTTATGGTGTCCAGCGGTTTTTAGTTGCTTGATCACAGCCGTTCACCTAAGGTGTTCTTTGGCGATTTCTACCCTTTCAACCATTGTCCAACCATGATCATGTGAGGTTTGGTCAAACTGCCCCGTAGAGTATGGTTCATTCCTCTTGGGCAAACGTTCGTACTTTTCTTGCTGGCACTCAGTAGGGAATGAGTTTTGCCAATGAACCTAGGGATTCCCTTAAGGGACGGTTTATAGGGTCATTCCCTCATTCCCCACTGAGAACCAATTGAAGCCAAATCTTGGCGTCAAGGGCAACAAAAGGGGTCCCATAGACTCCATGTGGCCCTCGCTAGGCGTTTTTCTTGGGATTCGACCCTATGTGGAGTTTCCCCTTAATGTAAACTACCGGCCCAAAAGCTGGTGCCCCGCTTTTCCCCGAGAAAATCCCTCTGAAGGTTTGTCCTCTTTTCTTTTGGCGCGCAGGACTTGGTCATCAACCCGCTGGGTGCAGGGCCCTTCCAGTTAGCCGCCGGCCCCAGCCGATGGATTCCCAGTCGCCCTTGACCGCGCAAGCGCGCGGCTCCGGAAAGGAAAGGCTTGAAGCCAAACGGGTTTTGTCACCTACCACAATGGCAACCAACTCGGAGCCCAGATGTTCGCTCTTCTTTTCTGCTGACAACCCCAAGCCTCTGGGTCAAGCAACCTTGGGGCCTTCTGAGAGCCAACCTTCCGCCCCCAAGTAAGGCAATTTTTCGCCCAACGAGTTGGAGAACCTATCCAACCAGACTGAGTTTGTAAGTCCGAGCCCCAAAAATTGGCTTGGAGTTTCGTGGTTCCGCATTCCAAGCCCAGTTCACAGGGCTCCAAGCCACCCAGCTCTTCCTTTTTCTTCTTCTTTTTTTATTAGGTGTTTTTTTTTTCTCGGGGGTCAACTCCAACTCCCAAGCCGCCACCTCGACGCTGGCCGCGGACCCGCTGGGTCCGAGCGGAGCGTTGTGAGGCCAAGGCGTTGGAGGAGCGCCAGGCCAAGCAGCTGGAGGACTTGGACCGCGTGGACAGGCGGCCGGCATGCAACTGTCCGTCGTGTCGGGGGGCGGGAGTCGGGGGGGGGAACAGGGGGAGACGGGTTTTTGTATGTTGCTTGTTTCCGTTTTTTTGTTTGTTTTAAGCATTGGGTTGGATTTTTATGAAAGCCCAAATTAAATTGGGTTTCTTCCTTCGCTTCTTTTTGGGTGGGGGGGGGGGGGGTCGGGGGATGAGGGGGGGGGGACCCTCAAGATTCTTGGGTGTGTGTGCGTGTGTGTGGGTGGGGGGGGGGGGGGTCTTTTTAAAGATCTACCAAGAGAAGGGTCGTCGGATTGGTCGACGGCATCAAGTTGGAGAGATGAAAAGGCCGCGGGCAAGCGATTCACGAGTCCGAGTGGCGCGGTGGACGCCTGGAAGTTGATCCTCTTGGACCGAAATTCCTTCAGCTGGGCGGAGGGAAGGTGAGCCGGATGTTCCATCCATGAAGTCTTTGGCGCAGCCATAAAGTGCTGCAGTAAACTTTACATTTCTTCAGTTTCTTCTCAATCCCGAACGAAAACTAGGTCCCTAGTGCCCTGTTACCCTTTATTGGGGGAGGGTTCCCCTACTAAAAGGGACTACAGAGAAAAGTTGGTACCCTTTTTCTAACCTCTCTACTGGAGAACCTAGAAACCAACCAGATTTCAAGAGGGCAGACGGGAAGCCCCCTAGACTAAACACCAAACCAAAGCGCACAACTTGGGAGGTGGAACCAAGGAAATCCGAAAGAAAGCCAACGGCAAGGTGATAACTGGGTCTGTGTTTTTGTGAGGGTAGCCTTGTTTGGATTGCGTATATATGAAAACAACAACTCGAACATTTGCGGGTTGGCCCTAGCTGTTGAATTTTGAGCCACACCCAGTTGGCTACGAACTTCAACAGGCAACCACCTCAAAAGGTTGAGTGAGTGAGGGCTCCATGCTTCTCCACGAAGACCAATGGTCGATTTTTGAGCCTCAGCCGGGTGTGTGCTTTCTCCTTCAGGCGTTGGACCCACCAACAAATGGCGCACCGGCCTTCCTCTTGGTTTCCTTTTCTGAACCACACCCAAACAAGGGGCACCAACTCCAAAGCCGCAACCAAATGGCTGTGGGTCAAAAATGGGTACCCAAAATAGAAGCCTGGTAAATGGAACCAAGGACTCAAATCTGCGGTCCGATTCCTGGTGCTGGGGTCCCGGACGTTTATTTTCTCCGAGCGCAGGCTCTGGGAGTTCCGGTTGTGCGTGGAGATGCTGCGGGACTGCCTGGACTCTTACAACCGCCACGGCCCGGGTCTCGGAAACTCGGAAACTCGGGTACCCACGTTTCACAGCACACCCAAGGGGGAAAAGCTAAGAAATGCATGCCCTCTCGTTCTTTTTTGGGCAATTTCCGAAAAAAAAAATCAACAATCTAAGAAATGCATGCCCTCTTGAAAAACATATTGGCAATTTGGTTTCGGAATTCCCTCTTGAAAAGAATAGGTCATTCTGTCCTCTTGGACAAATATTGGCAATAAGCATACCCTCTTGCGACAAAAATAGGTCATTCTGTCCTCTTGGAAGCATATTCGTATTTTCCGGGAAAAAAGTCTAAGAAATGCATACCCTCTTGAAACAAATTGCAGGTTGGTAAATTTCGTTCCGGAATTTTCCCATAGTCCTTCCGTGCGTGGTTGCACGGCTTGGATCCGGGTGCTGCGGGCCAGGCGAGCGTGATATGCTGAGCACGGCGGAGGAGACCCTGTCCACGGCCGAGGAGTCTCGGACTTGGGTGCGGCCCGGGCTTCGGGGATATGGCTGTGGGTCAAAACCAATGGTACCATTTGGGGGTAGGTGAATGCACCACCCATTTTAGAACCTATTCTAGTGGGGATTGGGATGTTCACTGGGGTACCGATTTGGCTTTTGACCCATGGCCATATCTGGTGAAAAAAAGGGGTAGACAACCCCCCTGGTTGCAGCTTGGCGGTTCCCGTGATTTAGTAGTGGGAATGGGACCCCCAGTATTTCGACCGCGATGAGGTCCTTTCTGGTTAAATTAGATAGACATCCTGTAAGCACCAAGATGAGGCCAGCCATGTTGGAAGACTCTTTGGTCATTTCAAAAAGTGTTCTGGGCCCTGTTGGACTGGGATACAACAACCATCCCCGCGACAAAAAAACAGGTTTTGTAGGCTGTTTTTTTCTTTTTCTCTTTGTTCTGCCCGTCTATGATGAGAAACCCGCAAGCCACCCTTCAGACAAATCCCAAAAGGTTGGTAGATTCCTTTCGGACTCATTCTCCAAGCCACCGCTTGACATGGGATTTAAAGCAAAGAAGGTTTCCGTGATTGGGTATCTTTGTGATCGGTGTTTTTAGGACAGAAGGAGAACCCATTCCTGCGGTTCCCCCTTTGACACGTACCCAACTTGTTAGAACCCCCAACTTAAGCAAATACCCAAGCATGTGCACTAGGCATGAGTCAGAATCGTTCAATCGCCTTTCCAGGTAGAGGATTCGAATGATTTATGGACAGCCCTGTTGCAATGTGTCCTTCATTCCCCGTTGCGATCGTTTCAATGACATAGGGTTGCGTCCAAGCAGAAAGTACCGATCGGTTTGGACGCCAGCTGGCTTTCGAGAGCGACCACCTCAGGTTGCCAATTTACTGTACGGTGCATGCCAACTAGAAAGCAAATAAACCAACCGCACCCTTAACAAGACCATGGTAACACATGGAAGCTTAGAAGGTTTGCCTTGTGTTCCCTTGCCATATTGAGTTGGCATCAATGGGTTCATGGCATAGGCCTCACTTCGCTGAGGCGATCCCAAGACCTATCTAGAGGCCCTGGAGCTAAGTGGCTTTTCGGATATCTTATTTCCAGTTGAATAGTCATTTGTCCAGATCTCTCCATGTGACGGATTGTGACCCTAGCAGTTCAGGAGCTGTTACGCAGAGTCACCGAGCTGGCGGTGATGCAGGGCACTTCAGACTGACCGCCAGACCATTCGAGGAAGCCATTGCCGTTTTGGGGTTCTTCTCTCATTTTGGGACACATCCACATCTTGCGAGTGGGTAACAAAGAGCATGATCTCGGCAAATTGCAACGACGTGCTTCGATTTCACCCATGATGAAGATTTGTTCAATAGGGATCCTTCTTTTTGCGGTTCCACCCATGGGTGAATGAATTATTTGCCCAGATGAGACTACTTTGGAAATCGAGAAGCCCTCCAACCACATCGCAGACACCAGCCTCTGGTTTGGCCGCCTTGGTTTGGATCGGGGGTTTGGGATTTAGCTTTTGGAGCTCCGCTGGGTCCTGGCCCATACATCTAGCTTCAGGAAGTAAGAGACCTCATAGGACAGGTCCCTGGGTTCGCAAAGCCCAGTTGCCCAGTGGATGCCGAATTTCCTCATTTCTCCTTTTGTTGGAAGGGCTCCCCTTTAAACTCAAACCAACAAAAAAAGGGATGCCCTTCTTTTCCCATGGCCAGTGGGCAATCTGAGAAAACCAAGAGGCGGTGCTGCGGAACGCGCCTGGCAATTCGAATCGCCGCAGAGAGATTGGCGTGCCTGATTTGGCTGGTTGCTGAACTGGTTGCGGCGCCTTGGCAAAGGGCGGTTTTCCCGGGCGAAGGGCCGATTCAGCGATTCCTGGTCTTGCGCATTCTCTTTTGAAACATGCAAACAACTCGATGGACTTGAATCTTCATGAGCCTTCACAGATGGTTGGTGGACGTGAATCCTCATGTAAGTGCTGTCCACCAAAAAAACAGGACCCCGGTTACAACCCTGAAAGTTCCACTAGGCACAACGACTTGCTGATGAACATGAAACAAGGTTGCAACTGAACCAAAGGCTTCCCAATTCAAGTTCACTTTCCGGGTTCTCTACGGCAAGCCCATTTTTCCCGGCTCTCGGATCCCTCCCTTTCCGCACAACAACGAGGCGTCAAAACGGGCACGATCCTCCAAGTGCCTGAGGCACATCCAGTCCGATGAGGCCTTCTTGGATTCCATCAGCCGCTCGATTTGTTGTTTTTTTGCTTGACTTGGTGGTTCCAAGCCATTCGGTTCCTCAGCTTTTTAGGTTTGTAGTTGGTTTAGTGGTTGAGTTTCCATTTCAGCCACTCTGTCTTTTTGACTTTTAGCAGGGGATCAGTTCGGACAGCCCAGTAAAGAGCTGTCCGAGCAACCTTTCAACTTCAAAAAGCAGTAGCGATTTTCCGGTCCAATGTCTCATCTCAGGTTCTGGAGGTGTAACTCTAGATGTGTGTAGGACACATCCCTGTCCCCCAATTCATAAATGTATCGGAGAGGCATGCCTCCCAGTAAAGGGGCCCTCCCCTTCTTCCTTGTGGCTTCGTCACATTAAAGCCAACCAAAAGGGGGTACCCACAAAACAGACACACTCACGTGAGGTTTTATGGGATTTCCATCTTGTACTGGTTGCAGATGATGCCACCCAAACCTGTGTAGCACGCGCGCCAATGCCCCGGCCCCGTGTTTTTCTTTTGCGCGTATTTGAAAGCCCATTGTAGATACGTACTCCCATGAAGAATGATAGGAACTTGAAACAGGCCACATTTGCCGAAGGCGACGAATCGTTGTCTGGTGGACTTGCATGGTCCTTTTTTTTTTTTTTCGCGGCTCACGAATTGCTCAAAAAGAGCCGGGGACTCAGCTCATGGTTTCCATTTTCTTCGCGGGAGCCGTATCTGTCCGTGTCTCTCATGGGTTCATGCGCTCAGCCTCAGACAGCTGCGCGAGAGCAACTGTCTGAGGCGATACTCAAATGAACGTTCGGGTCCCGCCCATCACAAGCCACATCAGAAAGCAGAGGGTTTGCTGCGTCTGTTCCCTGGCTGACCCGTGCAGAACCCATAGCTACTGATTTTTGGGTATGCCCATGTGAGGCAGGTAGGATTGGCAAACGGCTGGCTCGGGAGGAATGAGAAGGTGGCTTCGGGACAGCCCAAGCTCCAACCAAAGACACAGATAAAGACCCAGTTGCCCAGTGGATTCCGCTATTTTTCCTTCCTTGTTTTTTCTCTTTTTTTAAACTCAAAAGACCAAAAAAGGATGCCCTTTTTCCCATGCCCGCTGGGCATCTGAGATGTTGATTGTGACTTATCGGAAGCGGCCCTTCTGGTCAGGTAACTCTTAGTTGGTGATTTGGATTGGCATATCAATACCAACACAGACACATTCACACACACAAGTTGTTGCTGTGCTTCTTGTATTTGGCCACCCCCAAACTCCCAAAACGTCGCGCACTCAGTGCTCAGAGACCCGGATTCTTTGGAACACCTCCAAACCGATTCGGATTCGGCTCCACACTACCCCTTTGAGCGGCTGGACCCCTTGGCGAACCGAGGCCAGGGTCCGCAAGGCTTGTTCCCACAAGACGACAGCGGCCTATTGATGCAGGCGCGCGGCTCCTTTCTTGGCGGGAACGCTTTTTGGGGTGGTTTAAAGGCAAACGAAAGGAGCAACCCTAGAATTTTGGGGAGATCTCCTACTTAGACACAGACTCAGAGGTTCCGTTACAGCAAGTTTCTTCCCATCTACCGCCGAAGACCCTTTTGGTAGACAAAATATGGACCGGAAATTGAGCAGTTTTCCTGTGTAGCCCAGATTTGCGCCAAGATTTCAGCATCACTCTCTGCTTGTCATTTTAAGATCATGCTCCTCTTAGTGTGGTGATTGGGAAAAATACATAGGAAACCCGTTGCGTCGCTCGCTTCGACACAAGCCGGGAACAGTTGAGGTACTTTGGAGCGGATTTGGATTTCAGGGAGGGGCCCGAGGGTTTCAAAGGGTTGCGCCCTTTTTCTTCCCCATGGCCACTGGGCATCTGAGGTTTGCCCAGTTGAACCAGAGATCTGCTTCCTTAAGCCGGGCCATGTCCAATCCGATTCCTCCCGAAGCGTTCCTGAAACGGGGCAACTTGCCCCACGCGCCACATGAACCGGCCAACCCGCGAAAAGGGCCCAGGCAGTTCGCGATGGCAGCGACCGGATCCATGTTGCCACTCTGACTCCCTCGATGAGGAAGTACAGCCAAGCATTGTTTTTCGCTTGTACTGGTAGATGGATGTGAGTTTTCTTGGCAGAGCCTGTGGTGGACATCATTTTGTGGGGATCATATCCACCAGCCACATTTGAGGTGGTCCGCAATCATTTTCCTCTGCTGAAGTCTTATAATTCGGCCAGTAACATCTGTTTGAGGGCGAGTAAATGAGTATGAAGGGCTACCTTGGGTTCTTGAATCCTGCACTTCAGCAAACCTGGTGCCGGGATCGCTTTCTTTTCCCACGCCGATCACCGACGCCCCCGATGTTTTTGACCTTCCATTTGCTGAAACGAATATATATATATATATATATTTGTTTTTTCTCCTGTTGGTTTAAAAGGGGATCTATCACTACTGGACAGATTTTAGCTCATTTTTGCCCGGGGGCGAAGAAGCCAATGCCAGTCTTTGTTGCAGGTGCTGCAGTCCCCCGACTTCCAGGAGAAAGGAGGCCAATTCGCTGCCGCCGCCGCTCTGGGAGGGGCGCGCGGCAGGTCCCCCAGCAATTGGTGGTTGGGTCCACCGGCCCAGCGCTTGGCGCAAATATTGGACCACCCCTTAAGGACGCTTCCAGCCAGTACCCTGGAACCGTTTCTTCTTTGGGGGAGGGGTCCCCTTCTAAAAGGGACTACGGGAAAAAGTTGGTACCCTTATTCCAACCTCTCTACTCGAGGACCTAGCCACTGATTTCTGGAATTCAAAGAGAAGCCGAAAGGAAATACCTAAGTAGCAGCGTCCTTGACTGGAAGGATTCCCGGAGTGACGCTTGGTGGACCCCCTTTTGGTGTGGTTGAAGGGAAATCAAAGCAAGCCAACCACTTTTCTAGGGGTTGATACCCAATTTGCAACCCTTCTTGTTCAGAACCCTTTGCCCTACTTCAAACCTTCACGGCCCGGTGCAAAAAGCGAAACCGGCCCGGTGGGAGGTCCAGTGGCATGCATGGTTCTTGTTGGGAAACATTGGACACATTTTTGCTCATGGTGGTTTAGTGGTGGAAATCCAAATCCACTTAACTGCTAAGACTTGAGAATGTTTGCTCTCCTTCCAACGTCAACCAAGCATGGGGCTTGTTCCTCTTTTGCTGGTTCGTTTTGTTGAAAGGGAAAGACGCCCCCAACACGGAGAAAGAGGGAGAGAGAGATCAAAGAGAGACAGAGAGAGAACAGATGTCACTGGGCCACTGAGGTTCGCCTTTTAGACTGGTGACGCTTTTGGGGTGCCACACGGGGCCCGAGTGGCTCGGGGCCCCAGTGGGATCGCCAGGCCTGACCCGGAGTTTGCTGTCCTCGAGGCCAGAGCAGGAGTTGCCTCAAGGGTGTTCCTGGCAGCATTTGTCTTGGTTTCTAAAAGCGCAGTAAATAGCAGCTGTTGAAGGGGGAATCCCAGTTTTTGTGATGGCAAGGGTGACTCTGTTGGATGGTTTTGTGACACGGGGGTGCTCTCTTTGGAGACACCCGTTCTTCTTGCGGGTTCGATCGGGAATGACCTCTGGGGTTGGTTTTGGGAATGAACCCTGGGTTCCCAAGCGAAACCAGCCAGTTTTGCGGAGCTGAAAGCTCCCAGATAAGTTCTGGAGTGTTCTGAGTGTGGCCTAGGGTTCTGAAAGGGTTGCAGGTTGCTGTTGGGCAGGCGACCTGGGCGTGTTTTTGGAGGGATGTCCCTTTCAAAATCAATCAACCCACAAAAGGGGCGTCCCAATTTTCAGGTTTGTCGGAGGGTGCCGCTTTCCAGCATCACCAAAAGGGGTGATCTTTTTCCTTTCTCCTATTGGGAGTCTTGGAAGCCCACCGAATGTACAGGAAATCTGCAGGAGTTGACGTTAAACCAGACACGTGTTTAACCATGAGAGGTGCATCCAACATCCACCGAAGGGTGCAGTTTGTTGGGAGACCCCCGACCCAACCATCCCCCTCCTTGGCTTTCAGAGAGGTTTGAATGGATCATACAGCTTCATTTTTCGATTCTGGGGTCTCTTAAAAGTGGGGCGCGGGCATTTTCAGGGGCCTGGCGCGGTTGCCTCTGCCCAACTTTTAGTTCGGGTAGTGAGGATGTCATCAGTTTAGGGCCCAGCCCTATGATCTGGACGCAGGAAAATGGAATTGGCCGGCTTTCAAAGTCTTCAGCAAGTGATCCGGGGATGTGCGTTTGACGAGCAAAAGAGCAAGTCTGCAGCCAGAGGGACCCGCCAGAGTCATTCCCAACATATTGGAAGGTCGGTCCAAGCGGAAGATGTTCGCGAGACTGGGGCCTTCCAAAAATTCTGAGATCGTGATCAGATCGCACGGATCGGGGCCCGCAACGTTGGTGCTTCGACGCCTTGACCGGGGCTGTTCCCTATTTCAGGTTCCAAGCCACCAAGCCGCAGGCTCATGATCTCTGGACTTCTGGAGTCCGTGGTCGGGGCCGGGACCCCGGCGAACTCCTTGGCTTGGTAAGCTCTCGGCTGCAAGAGAGAGACAGACTCAGTCCCAGTGTTGGCAACCATTTTGAGTCCAAAAGGTGATCACCTTTGATTTTGAGGTCCTTTCGGCAAGTGGGTAGATGGATGGATGGATGGATGGATGGATGGATGGATGGATGGATGGATGGATGGATGGATGGATGGATGGATGGATGGATGGATGGATGGATGGATGGATGGATGGATGAATGCACGGAGGGACGGATGCAACCAGTCACTTCTTGACCATTGTGGCTTACGTGTTTTTCCTGTTTGCGATTGGTGGTTTCCCTTGGCCGCCCAATGTTGACCCCGGAGAACGAAAAACGATGGATGGATGGATGGATGGATGGATGGATGGATGGATGGATGGATGGATGGATGAATGGATGGATGGATGGATGAATGAGGGACGGATGCAACCAGTCACTTCTTGACCATTGTGGCTTACGTGTTTTTCCTGTTTGCGATTGGTGGTTTCCCTTGGCCGCCCAATGTTGACCCCGAGAACGAAAAACGATGGATGGATGGATGGATGGATGGATGGATGGATGGATGGATGGATGGATGGATGGATGCACGGAGGGACGGATGCAACCAGTCACTTCTTGACCATTGTGGCTTACGTGTTTTTCCTGTTTGCGATTGGTGGTTTCCCTTGGCCGCCCAATGTTGACCCCGGAGAACGAAAAACGATGGATGGATGGATGGATGGATGGATGGATGGATGGATGGATGGATGGATGGATGGATGGATGGATGGATGGATGGATGGATGGATGGATGGATGGATGGATGGATGGATGGATGGATGGATGGATGGATGGATGGATGGATGGATGGATGGATGCACGGAGGGACGGATGCAACCAGTCACTTCTCGACCATTGTGGCTTACGTGTTTTTCCTGTTTGCGATTGGCCCAATGTTGACCCCGGAGAACGAAAAACGCGTGCTGTCCACAAGAGGGGAAACTCAACACCAGCAAAGAGCCTGAAACAAGACATACAACAGCCTCCCACCAAGCAAGGTTTAGCTAAAGCAAAGAAAACAAAAACGTCCTTTTTTGTTTGCTGCAAATTGGGAGTTGGGCCAAACCACACGACGAGAAAGATTTGTCCCCGAAGCGAGGAGCTCACGCGGTGGCGGTCGCACCCCAGCGAGGCAGACCTGGAGGCCAGCGGCGAGCGAGCGAGCGCGCGAGTGGGTCGGACAAGGTGGAGGTTGCCTGAAACTTGGGTCCCATCCAGTTCCGTGGCTGTTTGGTTGTTTTTCGTGGGGTTCCTTGGCTTTTTTTTGTTTTTCGTGGGGTTCCTTAGCGGTATTTTTGTTTTCCGTGGGGTTCCTTAGCTTGTTTTTATTTTTCGTGGGCTTCCTTAGCATTTTTTCTTTTTCGTGGGGTTCCTTAGCCTTTCTGTTGTGTTTTTCGTGGGGTTCCTTAGCTTTTTTTTTGGTTTGCGTGGGGTTCCTTAGCTTGTTATTTTTTGTTTTTCGTGGGGTTCCTTAGCCTTGTTTTGTTTTTCGCGGGGTTCCTTTTTTTTCTGCGTTGTTTTTCTTGCTCTTTTTATTCTTCTTTGTTTTTCTTCGTGGGGTTCCTTTGCTTTTTTTTCATGGGGTTCCTTAGCTTTTTAGTTTTTGTTTTTTTGTAGTGGGTTTATATAGTGGTGGAATTCCAATTGACCCGTGAGGGGATTCCATTTGAAGGTTCCTTTTCGTTTCAGTTGGTTGTAGTGGGGTTTAGTGGTGGGACTTTCTTTGACCCGCCAAAAGTGTTCGACTTTTAGCAAAGCATCCGGGCACCACATTCTTGAAGTACCTTAGTTGAAATTTTCAGGGGCCCCCCTGCTAGTTTCTCAAAGTGGTGGAAACGCCTCCTTTTGGTTGGCAGTTGAAGGGACAAAAGGAAAACCAAGCATTAGGGAAGCTTGGGGCTCCCACTAGACTCCAACCAGGTGCTGCTCTCCCAGGTTATGAGCAAACCTGACCAGGGTAAGGCCGCCGACCCCAGAGGGCCACTGCCTCACCCAGGGAAGGTCCCCTTCAGTCGTCTCTTGGTTTGTTGCGTTGCTCGCAGCCATCCCCTTAGCCTTTTAGATTTTTAGTGCTTGGTGATAGTGTCCATTTCACCCACTAGAACTCAAACTTTTAGCGGGGGATCTGAGGGCAGCCCAGGGTTTGTTGCGCGCAAAAGGACCCCACACCGTTTCCCGAGCTCCTTTGGGTCTGTCTCTTGTTTTTTCAGCATATTTGTCGGTTCGAAAGGGACACCGTAAGTTGGAAACCACCCCATTTTGGGGGGTCCGATTTGTAGGAAAAGACGTAGGTGGTCCTCGAGGCTGGCTTTTTGCGGCCGGTGTGTGGGGCGGCTTTCTTAGGTGGTTCAGGGAGTGTGTGTTGCGAGTCACCCGGGCTTTGAGAGGCCTGGAAGCGCTGGGACCGGACGTGCGAGCCCTGGGCGTTTTGTGAGGGGGGCGAAGCCAAAATTGGGATTGGACCCCATGTGGGTCTGTGCTTTTTTAGGGGACCCCAACAAGTGGTTATCCTTTTGGTTTCCCTTTACAACCAAACAAAAGGGGGCGTCCTAAAAAGAGACACGTCCATATTGCTGGTTTTCCTTTCGATTTCCCTTTGAGCAGACCTGAAAAGAGTACTATTTGAAAATTACGGGTTGGGATTGGTCATGCGAACCAAGACACTTTGCTAGGGGAAAACAACAACATGCAACACGACCGGCTGGCCAAATTCAGGGTCGCCTGGGTCTCAAGCTGAGCCCCCATCAAGAAGCCCAGAGCATCCATTGGAAGTGACATCTGTTGAATCTTTTAAAGCCTTCTCTTGTGGCCATGGGTACGGGCGAGCACTTGAGCCTCTCCAGGTGGAGAAGGTGGAGAGGGAGGGGTTTGGGGGAGAAGCCTTGAAGCTAAATGGGCCAATGTCATGACGCTGGCGGGAGCCCCCAAAGCTGAACAGCTTCATTCACTGCAGCTGCGATTTGAACGGTCCTCCGAAGCCCACTATCTACAAAAGGCCTGACGCTCAACATGCCCACCATGCCAAGAGACATGATCCAAACACAGCAGGCAATAGCATCCATTCAAACCTGTGCCACCGGCTGCCAAGCTTTTGGGACGGAAATGCCAGCCCCCGCAAAAGAAGCTGTTCTGCACAACACCACCTGCCAATGGCAGGTCGTGGCAACATGTGACGTGGTTCTTTCTTTTGAGGCAGCTTTTTTTAGGGGGTTAAAAGTGGGAAAACACATCTCAGAAGGTACCAAGGGACCCTCAGGGTTCTATGGCCTGCGGCGTTGTGCAGATTTTGCCCCGAGAGAGATTTGTTCCTCACATGTAACGCTACTACACAACCAGCCCGGTAGAACCAAGAAACCACTCCCTCAGAAACCAACACGGCGCCTGAATGCCAAACACAGCAACACTACACTAAAAGCAGCATATCAGAAAATGCTGTGTGAGTTGCAGTGTTGTGCATGTGTTCTGTCTTGAGAGTTCCATAACCCTGTGAGCATATCATTTGTCCCGAGTCTATGCCATTCGCCACCTGGGTATGGCTCAAAATTAAAAAGCAGGGGTTACGCAGGTTTTGGTCCATGTTTCCACTTACCAGGGTTCCATTCTGGTATCGGTTTTTTGAGCCGTGCGCCACCTGTCTCAACCTGGGCCGTCCGCAGCGACTGCCCGCCGCGCGCGATTCATTCGCCGAGGTACGAGCGCCTGGCCCGCCGCGTGGCGGCAGTGCAGCAGTCGCAGCAGGCGAAGAGCGCCCGAAGCTCAGAGGTCGTTTTTTTGTTTCTTCCTTGTTTTTATCATTTTTTTTTTTTGTGGGGGGGGGGGGGTCGGGTTTGGGGGGGCCAGCCCTACGGCCAGGTTTAAGGAACCCCCAAGTAGCTGAACCAAGTAAAAGCCAGGGAACGCGAAGGAAGCCTAGCTTGTACCTTGATGGTTTATGTCCGGAACAGTGAATATTCAGCGTTCTCTAGTGGATCTACTGTTGCCCGGTGCGTTGGGTCTTCATGGTGGGAAACCAGGGAAAGCCCCCATTCAAGCTGTAGACGTAGAGCACCTTGGTCACGAAGATCAGAAAACTGCGTAGCCTACACCCCAACCAAACACGGATCCCCATTTTGGCCTGGTGTATTTTGGTATGTGCCAAAACCAGCTCCCCCCCCCCAAAAAAAAGAGAGAAAGAAACGAAAAGTGGTTTCCCTTTGGCTTCCTTTAAAAAGGGTACCCTTGAGAAACACGGCGATTTCGGGGGGATCCTCCGCGCGACATTTTCTGAGAGTTAGGCGCCTGGTGGCGACAGCCTCTGGCGGTGCATGGAGGCCAGCACCTCGCGAATCCGCGAAGCGACCGGATCTGGCCTTTGGGATGTTTACGAGTTTGCGTGTGGTTTCGTCGAGGTCACTCTAAGCCATCAAATTACGACAAAAAGGACACGGTTTCAAACCAGGTCGGGGCTCCAAACTTCCTAATTTGACACGTGCCCACGCCAGTGTACTGGGAACAGACTCACAAGCTGTATTGATTCATTACACTTGCCCCGCCTTTCCTGGGATCTTGTTTGATATTATTTTGCATTTGAAGGTCCTCTGAATAGGGACCAGCAGAATTCAAGAGGTTCCGAGAGGTTCTGGGGAATCAACTTTTGCTTGTGGATACTCCTTGGCATCTAAAAGTATTGTTGGTACGCAAACACCACACATCCTGAAGCCATCCAACAACCAACGAGTTTTGTTTGTTTCTTCTTTCAAGTTTTCATCTTTTCCATTTGTTTCCCCTTCCCCCCCCGGTGTCTTCACGCTTCGTCTGGTTTCTTCTTTGGTCAGATCCGCAGATCGGGAAGCCACGGGTCACATCCGCAGGTTTTGGACCCGGCGGCGCCTTTGCGGGAGGAGACCGTGGAGTGCCGACGCCTTTGGGGGGGGGGAGCTTGGGTGAAGACATGCGCGGCGCGCGGCTCAAATTCAACCCAGAAGCCGGCTGCAAACAGCAGCTTTCTTCGTCTTTTGCAAGGTGTCATTTTTCGGAAATCCCATTTGTTTGAGCCACGACCAGTTGGGCTTCTTCCTAATTCGATGGGGGGAAGGGGTGTGTGTGTGTGTGTGTGTGTGTGTGTGTGTGTGTGTGTGTGTGTGTGTGTGTGTGTGTGTGTGTGTGTGTGTGTGTGTGTGAGTGTGAGTGTGCGGGTGCGTGCGTGCGTGCGTGCGTGCGTGCGTGCGTGCGTGCGTGCGTGCGTGCGTGCGTGCGTGCGTGCGTGCGTGCGTGCGTGCGTGCGTGCGTGCGTGCGTGCGTGCGTGCGTGCGTGCGTGCGTGCGTGCGTGCGTGCGTGCGTGCGTGCGTGCGTGCGTGCGTGCGTGCGTGCGTGCGTGCGTGCGTGCGTGCGTGCGTGCGTGCGTGCGTGCGTGCGTGCGTGCGTGCGTGCGTGCGTGCGTGCGTGCGTGCGTGCGTGCGTGCGTGCGTGCGTGCGTGCGTGCGTGCGTGCGTGCGTGCGTGCGTGCGTGCGTGCGTGCGTGCGTGCGTGCGTGCGTGCGTGCGTGCGTGCGTGCGTGCGTGCGTGCGTGCGTGCGTGCGTGCGTGCGTGCGTGCGTGCGTGCGTGCGTGCGTGCGTGCGTGCGTGCGTGCGTGCGTGCGTGCGTGCGTGCGTGCGTGCGTGTGTGAACCATTTTTTCTCCATGTTGTTTGATGTGTTTCCATCTATTTGCATTTGTGTATGTGTCCACTATTAAACACCTTGTTTTGCATTTGTGACATTTTTGCCATCTTAGGTTTTGCAAAAACATGGAACAGCCCCCCTTGAGTCGAAACCCTTTGTTGGTTTTCTAAACGGGTCTCAGCTTGAGCTGTTGGAACCAGATCTGTTCCTTTTTCGGGTTTGCACCTCCACCAACATGGAAGCTGATTGCGGGGTCCTGGAGAGGAATGCGAGGGACCTCCTGTCAGCTTCCATGTAGGCATACCTTTTTAGATCTTTCGAGTTTGGGGTTGAAATCTCCCGGAGCCTTTAGATCAACGAGCTGAGCGTTTCGGGTTTCGGTTGCCTCCCTTTGGCTTCTGGACTCCGGGTGAACGGACGAACAGGGGTCTCCCAGAGAGGCTCCAAGGGAAGTAGTTCGTAGCGGCTTTGGGCTAAAATGTTCCGGATTCGGGTCAGTTTGCCGGGGATGCCGCTGGGCGTATTTGGAGAGACCTCTGAGTTTGGGAATGGGTTGATCGAAGCCCCGTAGCTTCAAGCGGGGCGTACCTGCAACCGGCAACATGTGCTGAATGTCTACCCTCCCGATGGGGTCCAATGAAAGCCCCGAAGTTTCGATGTCGCTCCAAGGCGTGGCGTGTCGAAACCCGGCGCTGCACTGAGATGGAGTGCGATCCGACGGAGTGCAGTTCAGTGGGTGCCCACCCCTCGTTTTCAATGGTGTGTTGGCGGTTCCGTTTGGTCAAAAGTTCCCGAGCATAGAGATGTCGGAACCCCAAGCATGTTGTTCTTTGCCGGGTTCCCCGTCACCAAATCACGGGCAACTTGCAAAAGGCTGCCTCTTTTTTTCCTCCCCACGATGGTCAGCTCTACTTTCTTCCCCACAAGAAACGTCTGGACGGGGACGTGCCCTCAGCCGTCATTGTCCAGGAGCTCCCTGTTGGCGGGCTGATGTTAGGGGACAGGTAAGGATTCGCCCGAGAAGAGGTCCTTTCCGGGGTGTGGGAAACGGAGCTCGTTTGAGCGCTCACTCGAAAACCGCTGCCCCCACGGGCCCCCCCGAAAAAAAAGAAGAAGGGGGTTGGGCTCCTCTTGGCTTCCCTTCAACCAGAAACCTGGACTTCAACATGGCAGAATCCGACGAAATGTCCGAACATGGCTTCCATTCCGTGGAGCTATGGTGACATTGCCCGCGAAGCCGGGAGGACATGAAGTAAGAGTGAAGCAAGTGGCTGGGATATGGCTGTGGTTCAAAAATAGGCACCCAAAATGGCACCTTGGTAAATGGAACTAAAGACTAAAACCTGCGCTTTGCCCTGACTGAAATTTTGAGCCAAACCCATGAGGTTCCTTCTCAAATGCCTGCGCGGTATGCCAGGCGCCGATGTCCGCGTCGGGACTCTTTTTGGCTTCAAGTGCAGGCTTCCTGTGATCTTTGTCCGGGGGGCTCCATCTGATCGGGTTGCTTATATGTATATATATATATAATATATATATATATATATATGTTTTTTCAAAAGGTGTGTATGCTTGTCTTCGCTATTCTTGGTATCCTCCCGCCCGTGTTTGATCTTCAGGTGGGCTTGTGTTTTTTCAAGGACCCTTTTCACCTTGGTTGTTGAAGGGAACCGCCTCAAGGAAGACCGCCATTCTGGGGTCCCCGTATGATTGAGACTCAATTTCGGACGTTTCGCGAGTCGCGAGTTTTCGCACCTGAGGCATGCGCCCCGCTCTGCGGGTACGGTCAGAGAGCATGATGCTGTCTTTAACAGGTTTCTCAAAATAGGAAGAGGTCCAATTCCCAAGGCCATGGTTTCCATTTGTCTTCCCTTCAACATTTCACCAAAGGGGGGCATGCTTTTCCAGCATGTTGAGAAACCCAGATAGACATTTTGGACCACCCGCCCCTTTCTCCAGCCCCTTCACTATTTCAAAGGGATAGGGCCCCTGTTTGAGAAGCATCCGCATTCGCTGGGCAATCTTGCGAGTTCGTGAGTGGCCCAGGGAATCAGCTCGCGAACCGCTGTCAGCTTAGGCATCGAGGCCCATGGGAAGTCTTGCGGGTCCGGCAAGAATGTACCCACTGTCTTGATGGAAGTGGGTGGGTGCGAGCCCACCACTTCGTCGCAGTTTCAATGGATTCCACCAGGCAGATGCAAAGAATAGAAAGCCACCCGTCGATTGAACAATTTGAAGTGGATTCCACCAGTCAGAAGCGAAAACTGCAGATTTCTCCCCTGTAACGGGCCCAGTCTCAGAGCAGAATACTTGAACCGGAAGCAGACACGTCGATGGGCCTTGAGCGCCGTCTTGATTGCCGGGGCGAGGTTTGGCGCGAATCGGTTTCCGGCCGATAGGCCAAGAAGGGTTGGGCATTTGTGAAAAAAACGTTTGCACATGCAGAAAAGCATGGCATTTGCAGTATTCTGCAAGCCATTGGAGCTGTAACACTACATCCCTGTGAGCACCACTTTCGAAAAAAGCACCACCCGCTGGCTTGCCCTAACGCAAGCCAAAAGCATATCTTGGAAAACTGGAATCGGACCCAGCCCGAAATGGTGGGTTTTCTGTTCTTTTGGAACCCCGGGGGAAAGAAAAAAAAACATGGCATGGTTGCTGAACTTGCTGGTGCTCAGCAGGAAATGTGACCTCCTGTATCCATCCCCTATGTATGGTTTCTTTTCAGGGAATCCCCAAATTCATTCCCTCATTCCCTGCTGAGCACCAGCAAGTTAAGCTGCAGTTTGACTTCCGATGCTCAAATCGCCCAACCCAGAAATCCGATGCTCGACTCGACCCCATTGGCCATCCATGTTTGAATTTTATCTTCATTTTTTTTCTCAGCGAAGAGTTGGGCTGCGAAAGGAGAGGACGATGTATAAAATTGAAGCCACAACACAATTCCCTGAAGTCCTTAAAAAGGTTGCTTTTTGAGGGACCCATTCTCAAAATTAATTTGGGCAACCTAGCGGTTTCCCTTTAAAGTGCTTCGAGGATCACTGCAGGATGCCACTTTGATTCACCCAACAGAATGCTGGGTGTTCCCGTTGGTTGCTCTTCAGGCAAAGTCCAACAAGAGGTACCCTCCATAGAAGACGCACCCACGTGAGAGAAAAAGAGAAAGAGAGGGAGAGAGAGAGAGAGAGAGAGAGAGAGAGAGAGAGAGGGAGGAAAGAAGACCGTGGGGGTTGGGTCCAAGAATGATTTCAAAGAGAATCCACTGATCGTAATGCTGTTTCCCCAGTCAGGGTTGCCCTCACATACCCTTTGCACTGTGTTAAAGATAAGTCCACTGATCGTAATGCTGTTTCCCCAGTCAGGGTTGCCCTCACATACCCTTTGCACTGTGTCTATATAAGTCTGTTTTCTTTTGAGGGTACCTGTCTTTTTTCAAAAAAGTTTTACAGGCAAACCAAGAGGAAGCCCAGATTAGAGGACAACCCGTGCGACCCTTGGTTGGTCCTTCGGGATAATTTTGGTTGCCGCTTTTCGAACTCAAGGGCTGCAACCCAACCCAGCTAAAGGGCGTTGGGTCGAATTTGTTTGCTATTTCTGTTATTTCCGTTGATCGTCTTTTGTTCGGTTATGTGTTTCTTTTTGTTGTGGGGGGGGGGGGGAGGAGTTCGATTTGCCCAGACCTTATGCAAAAAGATGTCAAGCGATCAGAGCTTGACCCTCCTGACCTCCTGACTTCGCCACATAGGGAAGTGGTGGTGGTCCTTTTGGTTTGCCTTCTCACCAAGATGAAAGGGTACCCTCAAAAAGCTCACAGATGTAGCAATAGAGAGCCGGACCACAGATTGTACCCTTGTTTCCATTTTACAAGGGTTCCATTTTTGTGTACCTATTTTTTTTGACCCACACCCATATTTGAGTGGAAAACCAAAGCTTCAAACCTTTTTCGGAGATGGAGATGGAGAGGAGGAGTCTTTCTGGACCTCTCAGCTCGCTGATCAACTCGGCCAGTACGTCATTTGCCTTCCCAGCTGGGTGCTAAATGGGCCACACATGAAGCTTCCCTGAAGAACACCACAACGGGGATGGATACACACAAAACCATACACATATATATATATATATACACGCATGAGTCTGAAAATAGGGTGAAGGAGTTTCCCCTGGAACCCCCTTCAAACCCACAAATAAACGGGCATCCAAAAAAAGCACAAGGCCCATATTTGATTGATCGTAGACCATGACTCATTTCTTGGAGACCAACAAATGCACCCGGCTCGGAGCTGAAAATGCACGGCATTTTCACCGCTCAATCGTCTGTGCTGAAGGCACAAGACTGCAGCAGCATGAGGTGAAAAAGATGCTTGTGTGGCAGGGATTTGCGGAGGGTCAAACTCGAGGGTGGTTTTACCCTGCCGGCTTGCAGCATCTATTTCTCCCTTGTGATGCGGGGGTTTTGAACTTATTCGCGGAAGCCCCCAAACACGGGAAACGCCACAAAAGCGCAGGGTTTCGCGTCAATCGCGGCCCACAAGGACAATTGTCCTCAAAGGGAAACACTCCTGGGTTCCTGCTTTTGGGGTTTCGAAAAGTGGAGAGCTGCTGCAAATGCAGGGGTCATCGTGCAAAGGGTCAATCTTCCTGACTGCTGTGGAGGGCATTTCGTCCGGATGATTGGCACAGACCCAAGCTCCGATGTGGGTGTGCGTTAACATGGGGTAGGGTGGGGTGGGGAGCATGCTCTCTTTCTCTCCTTGCAAGGGCAAATTGAAAGGAGCGTATCAACATGGATTCTCTGACGGGGAGTTGCAACCGGACGAGTTTAAGAGCCCCAGCGCCCCTTGTCAGGTCCCTTTGACCGTCCCCTCCCGACCCCAAGGGATACTAGGTCCCCCAGTAGTGCCCTTTTACCCTCTTGTGAGGGAAGGGTTCCCCTACTAAAATAGACTACAGGAAAAAGTTGGTACCCTTATTCTAGCCTCTCAAATCTGGAGGACCTAGGATATGACCTTGGATTCTTTGTGGCCGAAGACAAATTCCGTCCGACCTGTGCCATTGCCATCGCCGGGTTCAGCTCGGGTTGCCACCAGCCATCAAGCCTGCGGATCGCGCTGAATCAGGCTGGGCTGGGCTGCGCTCGACATGGCGTCCGCTCGCGAAAAAAGCGCCTGGTACGCCCGTTTTACCATGGGGGGTTCTAAGGTTGACCCCATATGAATGAAAATTTCCCGTTTATGACTTTTGGGGGGTGTTCCCCTCCAAAAATAAAAAGGTCCGATTCCAACCGCATTTCAGGGAGAAGCACCCCCCGAAGACACTGGTTGGACTAAGACGTCATCCTGGCCGTAGTCGGAGCCGAGAACCCAAGATCACAATGCTGAACTGGAGCCCAAGTTGAGCTCCAGTGCGACCTGGTTTAGACTGGGTCTACGACCCGCTTGGGCACCTTTCCAAGCCGAGACTTCTTTTTTTTTCTTTCTCCTCTTGGGCACAAAGCTGAGAGGGTCGCTACAATGTTCAACTCCAGACCTGCGAATTGCTTCTTGTGGTCCTTCTCAGATTGAGCCGGTTCCCTTTTGAACTGGCTTCGGGAGAGGAGCCGGGATCCGAATTTGCTTCTCAAGGAGCCTTTCGGAGCTACCAGGTCTGGAAGGACATGGTAGAACATAGAAAAAGAGTGCCGATCCTTCTTCCTACGGGAAATCCACAGGGGGTCTGGTAGAAATCAACCAAGAGAAGGAGTGTCGATCCTTTTTTCCTGCACAACAGAGCCACCGGGGGTCTGGGCGTTTCCATCTTGGAGGGAAAAAAAACGTCGGTCGTGATCCTCAAGGACGGTCACTCCCCAAGCTCACTTCAAAGGCTTCACCAGACTGGGCCGCATCCCTTCAGATCAGATGTCTATAAGGTTGACACGACCGGCAAATAGTGGCGCCAAGAAGGGGGTAAAAGAAGGGTCCATAGGCCCCAACTAAGCACGACAGCGTCAGAGTTGCCATATTTCATGTCATATATGAATTCATACATAAACCCCTTTTCTGAACCCTAGTTTAGTCTGGGGAAACCTTAGTCTGGGGAAACCTTTCAGACCAAGGGACCCGTAGGTACGCCTAAACGCTCGCGCCTGCAAATCCACGGAAGGCATCCAGAGCTGGCGGCACAAAGACTCCGCTCCGAAAAAGGGATCTTCTTCCGTGCGAGACAAACCTCTGAGCTTGTTGTTCGGGCATGAAGAGCTTGTTGTTCGGGCATGAATAATAGCGCGTCTCGCTCCCAAAAAATCGCTATCCCCCTTAGAAGTACCATGGGGTCTAGACACGTTCATAGGTTTCAAAGTCATCCATGAACGCTCGAGGATGGCGCGCAGCTCGTTCCTGCCAGTGCTCCTGGTGGCCGCGCTGTTTGTGGTCCCGGCCTTTGTGCCTTCTCCGGCACCCCGTGTGTCACCTCATGCGGCAGCGGCAGCAGGCGCAGTGCCGCTGTTGCTGGTGGCACAGCCAGCTTTGGCCGAGGCAGGGTAGGAACGTCTGTGTCGTGTGAGGCAAAGTCGGGTTTTGTTGGCTTGCATGCGAGGCGCTTGCATGGTCAGCAGCTTAGCCGGCTTCTTGCTATGATTCGTTGCAGGACTACATGATGCCCCCTAGCTGGCCTTTCGTGGGAGTTTTCATCCTCCTGGCGAGCGCCCTCCTGGTTGTGGGCAACTTCATCTTCCCGGGCAAGAGGTGAGAAGACGCACGGTTTGAGGATGACAAGCTGCGCCAAAATCAAGGCCCCTGCCGGTCGACAACGCTGGCGACGTTGTCTGTTGTGTAGGTTCTGGCTCTGTTTTTAGGCCTCTTTGACGCCAAAAGAAATCCAGCAAGCATGGCAAAAAGAAGAATCAGAGCGAGAAAGAGAGAGAGAGAGGGAGAGGTGCGAGAGGTGCGAGAGGTGCGAGAGGTGCGAGAGGTGCGATAGAGAGAAAGAGGGAGAGGAAGAGAGAGACTTGCAGAGAGAAAGAGAGGTGCGAGGCGCGATGTGCAGCCTGATGTGCATCTTGTGCATGTCTTGCCTTGTACAGACGCCGTTAGAAGATCGGTATGTGATCTGCTGTCGCTAGTGCCTGACTTTTCCATTGATGTGAGTTGTAAGTCGTGTTACGTGCAAGTTTGCCACCTCAAGCCATCAATCGGGCAACCCGGATTGCTTTGCAGCATCAGGCCGGGATTCGCAAAGGTCGTCGCGTCTTTTTTGTCGCAAGGGTTCAGGGATGACGAGGCGTGACCAAGCGTCCACAGGGTGTTGTGTCAATAGGAAATCAGAGAGTCCGCGAAGACTTTTTCATGTGGCCCTGAGGATGGCGCGCAGCTCGTTCCTGCCAGTGCTCCTGGTGGCCGCGCTGTTTGTGGTCCCGGCCTTTGTGCCTTCTCCGGCACCCCGTGTGTCACCTCATGCGGCAGCGGCAGCAGGCGCAGTGCCGCTGTTGCTGGTGGCACAGCCAGCTTTGGCCGAGGCAGGGTAGGAACGAATGTCGTGTGAGGCAAAGTCTGGTTTTGTTGGCTTGCATGCGAGGCGCTTGCATGGTCAGCAGCTTAGCCGGCTTTTGGCAATGATTTGTTGCAGGACTACATGATGCCCCCTAGCTGGCCTTTCGTGGGAGTTTTCATCCTCCTGGCGAGCGCCCTCCTGGTTGTGGGCAACTTCATCTTCCCGGGCAAGAGGTGAGAAGACGCACGGTTTGAGGATGACAAGCTGCGCCAAAATCAAGGCCCCTGCCGGTCGACAACGCTGGCGACGTTGTCTGTTGTGTAGGTTCTGGCTCTGTTTTTAGGCCGCTTTGACGCCAAAGGAAAACCAGCAAGCATGGCAAAAAGAGGTGCGAGAGGTGCGAGAGGTGCGAGAGGTGCGAGAGGTGCGAGAGGTGCGAGAGGTGCGAGAGGTGCGAGAGGTGCGAGAGGTGCGAGAGGTGCGAGAGGGGCGAGAGGTGCGATAGAGAGAAAGAGGGAGAGGGAGAGAGAGACTTGCAGAGAGAAAGAGAGGTGCGAGGCGCGATGTGCAGCCTGATGTGCATCTTGTGCATGTCTTGCCTTGTACATACGCCGTTAGAAGATCGGTATGTGATCTGCTGTCGCTAGTGCCTGACTTTTCCATTGATGTGAGTTGTAAGTCGTGTTACGTGCAAGTTTGCCACCTCAAGCCATTAATCGGGCAACCCGGATTGCTTTGCAGCATCAGGCCGGGATTCGCAAAGGTCGTCGCGTCTTTTTTGTCGCAAGGGTTCAGGGATGACGAGGCGTGACCAAGCGTCCACAGGGTGTTGTGTCAATAGGAAATCAGAGAGTCCGCGAAGACTTTTTCATGTGGCCCTGAGGATGGCGCGCAGCTCGTTCCTGCCAGTGCTCCTGGTGGCCGCGCTGTTTGTGGTCCCGGCCTTTGTGCCTTCTCCGGCACCCCGTGTGTCACCTCATGCGGCAGCGGCAGCAGGCGCAGTGCCGCTGTTGCTGGTGGCACAGCCAGCTTTGGCCGAGGCAGGGTGGGAACGTATGTGTCGTGTGAGGCAAAGTCTGGTTTTGTTGGCTTGCATGCGAGGCGCTTGCATGGTCAGCAGCTTAGCCGGCTTTTGGCAATGATTTGTTGCAGGACTACATGATGCCCCCTAGCTGGCCTTTCGTGGGAGTTTTCATCCTCCTGGCGAGCGCCCTCCTGGTTGTGGGCAACTTCATCTTCCCGGGCAAGAGGTGAGAAGACGCACGGTTTGAGGATGACAAGCTGCGCCAAAATCAAGGCCCCTGCCGGTCGACAACGCTGGCGACGTTGTCTGTTGTGTAGGTTCTGGCTCTGTTTTTAGGCCGCTTTGACGCCAAAAGAAATCCAGCAAGCATGGCAAAAAGAAGAATCAGAGCGAGAAAGAGAGAGAGAGAGGGAGAGGTGCGAGAGGTGCGAGAGGTGCGAGAGGTGCGAGAGGTGCGAGAGGTGCGATAGAGAGAAAGAGGGAGAGGGAGAGAGAGACTTGCAGAGAGAAAGAGAGGTGCGAGGCGCGATGTGCAGCCTGATGTGCATCTTGTGCATGTCTTGCCTTGTACATACGCCGTTAGAAGATCGGTATGTGATCTGCTGTCGCTAGTGCCTGACTTTTCCATTGAGTTGTAAGTCGTGTTGCGTGCAAGTTTGCCACCTCAAGCCATCAATCGGGCAACCCGGATTGCTTTGCAGCATCAGGCCGGGATTTGCAAAGGTCGTCGCGTCTTTTTTGTCGCAAGGGTTCAGGGATGACGAGGCGTGACCAAGCGTCCACAGTGTGTTGTGTCAATAGGAAATCAGAGAGTCCGCAAAGACTTTTTCATGTGGCCCTGAGGATGGCGCGCAGCTCGTTCCTGCCAGTGCTCCTGGTGGCCGCGCTGTTTGTGGTCCCGGCCTTTGTGCCTTCTCCGGCACCCCGTGTGTCACCTCATGCGGCAGCGGCAGCAGGCGCAGTGCCGCTGTTGCTGGTGGCACAGCCAGCTTTGGCCGAGGCAGGGTAGGAACGTATGTGTCGTGTGAGGCAAAGTCTGGTTTTGTTGGCTTGCATGCGAGGCGCTTGCATGGTCAGCAGCTTAGCCGGCTTTTGGCAATGATTTGTTGCAGGACTACATGATGCCCCCTAGCTGGCCTTTCGTGGGAGTTTTCATCCTCCTGGCGAGCGCCCTCCTGGTTGTGGGCAACTTCATCTTCCCGGGCAAGAGGTGAGAAGACGCACGGTTTGAGGATGACAAGCTGCGCCAAAATCAAGGCCCCTGCCGGTCGACAACGCTGGCGACGTTGTCTGTTGTGTAGGTTCTGGCTCTGTTTTTAGGCCGCTTTGACGCCAAAAAAAACCAGCAAGAATGGGAAAAAAGAGAACCAGAGAGAGAGAAAGAGAGAGAGAGAGAGAGGGAGACACAGAGAGAGGGAGAGAGAGAGGTGCAATAGAGAGAACGAGGGAGAAGGAGGGGGAGAGGTGCTGAGGGAGAAGGAGAGCGAGTGGAGCCCGATGTCTTGTACAATGGTACATACAGGAACTGTGGCATTAAGTGAAGACTTGCATAGTTTTGTCTGAATCCTCATGTGCTGCATCAGTATCATGCGCATGCTCGCTTCCGCTTTGACTCAAGCATCGGAGTGACAGGGCATGTAGGGCCATCAGAGATGCGGGGGACTCAGCATGCGTGCAGGTGGCACATCAGGGGACCCTGTTTCTTGAGAAGATTCCTCCTACACCGGTCCAACTCAATTTGCCTTTTGGGCCGACTTATTTGTATTGCTATGTCACCCTTTTCGCTGCCTATGTGATGGTTACAGGTTGGCAGGGCTCGGGATCAGCCTCTAGACGAAAACGGGCAGTTGCCCTATTCTAGCTTTTATGAGGGCTTGGGGTATTGCCTCTGTGAAGCAGGGTGAATCGCTGAATCAGCGAGAGAGAGGAGTGGCACAAGAGGTCGCCATCAGTTGGTAGACATGGGCTGCTGAAGCCAACACGGGGACTGGTCCTTGTATTTCTCCTTCCCTTGGTAGTTTTTTTTCTTTTTTTTTCTCACCTCTCGGTTGCCAATGTTTGCTGAGAGGTAGCTCTTTTGGTAGAGTTCACTTACTCCCTGAGTGTCGGGGCTTACTTTTCGGGAGGACCATGCTAGCGGTAGAGAAAGCCTTCGGACTTTTCTGGCCCTGCTCAGCAACAGTCCGCTTCACTCCGGCGATCCTGTCCCAATATGGCTGTGGGTCAAAACCAATGGTACCATTTTGGGGTAGGTGCACTACCCACCAAATTTGGTCTATTTCTAGTGGGGATTGGGATGTTCACTGGGGGTACGGGCTTTTGACCCATGGCCATATTGTTTTTTGGTGTTCCTGGTGGTTTCCCTTTAGAAAAAACGACGAGCCACCCATTGGGCCCATAATCCCTCAGCCGTTGAAAGTTGTCACTCTTTGCAGAGTCCCAGTCAGATCCGTGTGGTCAGGTTTGCGGCTTCAAAAGACGGAAATTCCACGATGGGGTAGACAACCAGTGTTGAAGTCCCTTGAGCATGGGTGTTTTTCAAAATTAGGCACTCAGGTGGTTTTTTGTGCTGGTTCCGCCTGCCATCCAAAAGGGGTGCCCCATGTTGAGAAGCTGCAACGTACGGAGAACCCCCAACCCGCCAGAACCCCTGAACGATGAGTATCAAAGCTAAATTTCAGATATGGCCGGTTGACATGAATCCCCACCTAAATAATTTCAACCAAACCTTTTAAAATTGACAGCAGCGGAGTTCTCAATGGGCGGTTTCCTTTTGGTTTCGCTTTGAACACCAACCAGAAAGGCTCCACCACATTGAACAACCTCCATGCATATGTGCCATTTTTTGGGAGTTGGTACCCCTTTCTTGTCGCTTTTAAAGGGAGGCCAAAAGGGCACCCGCCATTTTGGAGGTCCCGAAAAAGAAAAGACACCCACTTGGAGGGCAGTTTATGTTGAAGTCATTTTTGATGTATCCAATCTAGGTCCCTCAGTAGCGCCCTTTTAAACCCCATTTTTTGGGGAGGGTTCCCCTACTAAAATAGACTACAGAAAAAAATGGTACCCTTATTCTAACCTCTCCGCTGGAGGACCTAGCAATTTAGAGCACCCAGCTATAGGGAACCCAGGGAAAGCACATGGGTCCCACCATTGCCAGGGATCTCAGCAGCATCGCCCAGAACACGCCCGGGGCCACGAGGATTAATGGTCCCCGTTCCATGGGCGAACTTCAGTCATGGGGCCATGGTCCGTTGGTGTTTGGTTGTAAAAGTCTCGTGTTTCTTGATGTTATTGCTGTTTACTATCACTATGTCTATTTCTATTGCTAATTTATATTCCTAATTGTTGTTCCGAACTACTATTCCTAATTAGTATTACTAAGCAGTATAATGATCATTATTATGATTATTCTACGGTTCTGTCGCTGATATGGTTGTTGTGATTGGTCTTCTTCTGCTTCTTATTCTTCTTCTTCGTTTAGTTTTTTGCAGGGGGAACACAACTTTTGTTTTGGAGGGGAAATAGAACAGCGTCGAAAAGACCAGCGGATTCATAAAGCCAGCAACTTCTTAGTTGAGAAGTGGATGGGCCCACTGACTCCACGCACGCCCAAATCGGCTTTTCACTTACCCAAGACGACGGTTCCCTTTCTGGCCGTAAGGCGTGGGGTTCTTTGTACTGGCTTTGTCTCGTTTCTTTCTTCTTCTTTTTTTGGGGGGGGGGTGGGAACCCGATGTTTGTCTTGGTTTCGAAGGGATGTCAAAAGGAACCAAACTACTCTTGGGTTCCCTAAGTTATAGACAACCCCGTATCTGACTTTGGAGAGGGTTGAAAGCGGTTCCCGTCGAGATGGCCGAAGAAAGCGCGGTCCGCCCAGCTAACCTCGGGACGCCAAACTCGGTGATCCTGAGAAGCGCCGTTCCTTTACCGGTGGGATGTCCCCACATTCGGGGAAATGCCTGGTAATCCACAAGCTTTCGAGGTGACCGGGCAACCTTTTCGTAGGACCTTTGACCTGTGGCATTTTGGGGGAACAGGCATATTTTCCGACCGACTGGAAAACATGCTCGTCTAAGACTGTATCTCGACCGGCCGTAGTGATGCGAATGGAAGCAAGCAGAAATATGGGTTGCCCTTGTGGCCAGCAAGGGCACCTTTGTGCGTTGGGAGCACGGATCTGGGTGGATGTTTTTTGGCGGAAGCAACATGAACTCCGACGGGGACCACCAATCCAGCAGGTTCAAGCAAAAACTCGATCCTGGCATGAACTCCCACTGAGGTTCCTCTGGCAAATTCCCACTGAGGGTTCCAGCTAAGACCTGGGGGAACAATCCGATGGTTCCGCCGAGCTCGGGAGTGAGGCTGGACCCGGATGACCCCTCCATCAAGGGCAAGAGTTGGGAGGCCGTAGAGAAGGCCGGGCGCACACGGCCAGACGCTGGTGGTGGACCGCTGGGGAAAAAACCGGCGAGCTCGTGCCACGGTCCCCCAGCGAGCCGTGCCCTTTTTAACCGGGAGGGTTCCCCTACTGAAATATTACGACAGAAAAAAAAGAGTTGGCGGCAACTTATTCTAACCTCTCAAATCTGGAGGACCTAGAACTTGTGGAAATTTCTCCACATGGACCTTGGAACTCAAGCACGTGTGGTGTTCCTCTCTTTTTTTGGTGGTTCCCAGCCATTTGCTCGGCTTTTTAGGTTTTTGGCGTTGCGTGGGGGTTTCCGTTCAACCCACTGAAAGTCTAACTGTTAGCAGGGATCTGAGGACAGCCCTCTTTTGGTGTCCCTTTTAACCTTTTGGTGGAAAGGGTATCCTCAAACAACACGACCCCATGTATCAAGGAACCAAGCGAAACCCAGGAAGATCTCTAGCCCAATCCCTTGCGTTGTTTGGGTGTTTGGCACACTTCCTGAGTTGAGTTTGCATGGGGCTTTGCTTTGGAGAGCAATTTGCCCTCTGAACGATTCTTGCCATACATGTGTGACCAACCTGATTGTGCCTTGCCATGGGGTTCATATATGTATATGTGTATGAGTTAGTTTCATGTGGCCGCGAGCAAAATCGAGTGCTCGCGCCGTTTCCTTACGGATGTGGTAGCCTGAGGTCTTAGCTCCGAAAAGCTGTGAGCCAACTCATTCCATGGAAGGGTCCAATCGCTCCTTGTGAACGATGTGGCGATGATTCTAGGTCCCCCCAGTAGTGCCCTTTTTAAACCCCTGTTTTTGGGGAGGGTTCCCCTACAAAAAAAATACTATAGAAAAAAGTTGGTACCCTTAAACTAATTTCTGCTGGAGGACCCATGATTTTTAAGAGCTATCACCTCAAAAGTGGTTGGTGGACCTGAGTCCCCACCTAAAAGAGGACCGCCAAAGGGTCCCCCAGCGAGATTAACAACCATGTGGCTGCGGGTCAAAGCCAAGGGGATCCCATTTTGGGGTAGTTGAATTCACCACTCATTTTGGTCTATTTTAGTGGGGATTGGGATGTTCACTGGGGGCCATATTCACCCAGGTGAGTTGCAAACCTTGCACCCCAGTCGGTTTCACTGATTCTCCTACAAGCAACAGGAGTTCGCTCGGGCGCCAGGTTGATTTTTGTAGTGGGTACACAAAACAAGCCACCACTTGAGTCACAATCAAAACCCGGGTAGATGAAGGTTAGTAAGGGACGATCCCAACCAGAAATAGCTGCGGCCGCCTTCTAAATTCCTTACATGGTTCTGGGTAGACCATTTTAATATCGGATTTTGATTGCCACTCAATCACAAACTCAAGTTGGCAAAATCGCTCTAGCCCACTATACTTATATGGTCCAGGAGCTTCGTACGTAACCCCCAGATATAAGCAGAGTTACACTGCTTGTTTACCTAGCCAGATCGTCTAAGGGCTGGCTTGCTTGGATGACCCCGCGCTAGGTGATTTGTTCAATCTCGCCAGTTCTCGGTGAAGCCACACGGGGCTGGGGATAATTTTTCACCGCGGCCACGTCCCCAGGGTTGGGATGGATCGCGCACGGACTCAAAGCAAGCGCGGGATCGCGCGCCGTTGGCCAGACCTTGCGCCAGCGGGATGGCTACATCGCGTCCCTCAATGGCCCCGGCACCCGGAGATGGGCGCCTGGGGCCCTCTGGGTTTCAAACCAAAGGTTGGTCCGCTGGCAAGAGGGAAATTGAAGGGTTGGAAGAGAGGGTGGTTTGAACCATGGTTGAAAGAAGTGGCCCAACCCTCTCAGGTGGCTTTGAGAGAATGCCAACCGCCGGGTGAGCGAACCTCGAGCTTGAAGTAGGGTAAATCCCTTTTGGAAAAGTGTATTACGTGTAGCCAGGGAAACGTGCAAGACCACCTACCTCTGGCAACCCCCAATTCTTCCATTTGCTTGAGAATACTTTATTGTTTTCCCCTGTTGGTTTTAAAGGGAATCTGTCACTACTGGACATATGTTTACTTTTTCTTGCCAGGGGGCTTAAGCAAATGGCAGAAAGACTGGGCATGAAATCGAAAGATTTCGTCCGAGACCGGGTCTTTCAGGGAAAGGAGCTCCGCACGCTTCCTTCCGGGTCGAAGTTCGACCGGTTTCTTGCGCTCTTGTGTGTTGCCTCCCTTTAAAACCGACTGGGGCTTGTTTTTGCGCTGAAAATGGGAAACCAAAAGGAAGAGCCGTCCATTTTAACCCCACCCCACTGCATTTTCTTTTTTTTTCATTTTTTTTTTTTGGGGGGGGGAGGGAGGTTACCTATTTTCGCACATGCCCATACTGCCGGTGGGTCGCTGCAGCCAACTTCCGCCGGCTTCGGCCGGGGGTTTCCCGCGCACCGCTGGCCGACCTCTTGACGCATCTTGGCTCAGCCGGCCGGGGTGGATCTCCGCTCACCGAGGAGCACGGGCGCTTCTCCAAAGGAGGGAGATGGCAAGCCGTCCGCTGATGGGTGTTAACGCGGAAAACAGGGAAACCGCCTGGGGGAGTTGGTGCCTAAGTTTGTGAGAAACTTCAGGTTTTGGTTGGTCTGAGATGTGGCAATGATCTATTGAAATGGTGCAAAGACCATTTGAGTATGTCTTACGCACAGAGGACCCAAGAAGGCAGGGCTTTCCCTTTTTCCTTTTGGGTGGCCTTTCCAGAAAACGGGCTCTCGAGCCACGAGCACGAGATGGTGTCCACTACACCTGCACTGGGATGTACGCCACGATAAGGCTATATACCCAAATGTCCCTGAAAGTGCCCTAAAAACAGTTGGGTTTACAGGGAAACCATCAGGCCATCTACTGGTCAAAAGGCAAACGCCCGGATTGGTGAACTGGCTTGGGGGCGTCCATTGATTCATGTGCAGTCGAAACCCCAAAAATCAGGCTCCGCTTTTTCAGTCTCCACGTTGGAGTAAAGAGATAAGTCATCCTCCAATCACAACCAGTGGCCCTAGTGTCTTGCGTTGCTAAAAGGGCGCTTTTTTTTGGGGGGGGGTTCGAGGGGCACCTTTCTGCCGCTTTGGTTTTTCAACTGAAGGATTCAACCCCGCCCCCTTCTTTCTCGTCGGCTCCCCTGGTTGCAGCTGAGTGCCGGAACATGGTGTTTTTTTGCTGTTGGTCTCTCTTCAAAATAGGCTTCAAGAAGGGTACCCTCAAACGAAGGCATACCCCAAAAAAGTCATGTATCAAACATGTATAACCATATACAGCTAGCCAAAACCACATATCCCCAGTTCTACATACCCCACGTATATAGATACATCGATGTGACCCGGGAGTACAAGCCATGTACATCCGATGTGGTGCCAGCTAGGAGAGCGATGGAGTCCTCCAACGAGGACGTGGAGCTGCTGCGGCCGAAGGACGGGGTAGCTCAGCTCAGCTCTCGTTCACGTGATTGGATGCACTCACTCGAGTTCTTGGAACCAACATGGACCCCCCCAACCAACATGGAACCTGACAGGGGTACAGGGGGGTACTTTGGAAGGAGAACTTGGTCTTCCAGGAAGTCCCCGAACGTCGGGTTCCCTGTTCATTGGTGGCAAAGTTGGGCAAAGGCCCGGGCAGCCCCCCTCCCCTTGAGGCCAGCGACAACCACACACACACACACACCCACACCCACACCCACACCCACACCCACACCCACACCCACACCCACAAACACAAACACAAACACAAACACAAACACAAACACAAACACAAACACAAACACAAACACAAACACAAACACAAACACAAACACAAACACAAACACAAACACAAACACAAACACAAACACAAACACAAACACAAACACAAACACAAACACAAACACAAACACAAACACAAACACAAACACAAACACAAACACAAACACAAACACAAACACAAACACAAACACAAACACAAACACAAACACAAACACAAACACAAACACAAACACAAACACAAACACAAACACAAACACAAACACAAACACAAACGCGCACACACACACAATAGTGGCTTTGATAAGGCTAGGCCTTCGCCGTACAGGTTGTAGGGCGCTGGCAGTGAGCCCCATGTTGCTTCCCTTATTTGCTAGCTCCCCCAGCCAGGTGCCCTTTCTCACCACTTTTTGGGGAAGGGTTTCCCTACTAAAATAGCGTACAGAAAAAAGTTGGTACCCTTGTTCTAACCTCTCTACTGGAGGACCTAGTTTGCTTGCGACCTAAAGTCTGTTACGCCCCTCGCGATGGAAACAACTCCAGAAAGAGACGAGGGATGGCGCCCCTTCGATGGTTGGGTCAGGATTCCAGCCCAAAGCGTGATCACCTGCTCCACACACCCAGCTACGCGGATTGTTTGACAGGGGTCTTCGGGATGCTGTACACATCACCTTTTGGCCATCTGTCCATTTGCTTCCCCATGTAACCAATTGTTAAAAAGATACCCTCAAGGAGAGCCAGAAACATGTTTCCATTTGAAGTGAATTACATCCAACACACCCAACAGGAAAAAGGACAATGATTTGATTGGGTGTTATGAACCAACTCCTAGGCCATTTCCAGCTCAAGTACTCCAGTTGCGCTGTTTCACTTGGGTGAAAGATGGCACGATTCCCTTTGGGTTTCAACACCCCCTTTGCTTGCCCAAATAAAGGGAATTGTGCCATCTGTTCACCTTGGTCCCAGGTGGCCCCAAACAAAGTCGCAAGCAAGCCAACCACTCGTGGTAAATTACGGTGACTTGCTGCTGCTCAGTAGGGAATGCTAGGTCCCGATAAATGAGGGGTCCCCTTTTTCGGAAACCACCATGAAAATGTGAATAAGGGTCACTCCATTTCTCATTCCCTGCCGGTTTCGCACCAGCAAGTGGTGCGAAATCCCCACATTAGCCAGTATTGATTTCCCACTCAACCCTACAAAGGGTATCTCATGGGGGCTGGGGAGGGGGAGGGAGCCCAAACAAGCCCTCATTTAAGGCCTCAAGGACTCCCCCTCCCCTTCCCCCCCCCCAGCCCCCATGAGTATCCTGCTGATGGAGCCCCCTGCCTGCCTCTTGGCTCCAGCGAGTCCTTTCGCCCAGGCGGCCGACCTTGCGCGGTGGCCGCGGCCCACGGCGTGGGCGGCGCTGTCCTTGGCTTTCGCGGGCGCCGGGTGCCTGGCGCTGGCGCTCAGGCGGGGAGGGCGTTGAACCATCGACCCCATGGAGGGCTGCCGGGAGGGGGGGCTCTCGTGCATGAACCGCCTTGTTGAGGGCTTATCCCGGGCTTATCCAGGCCTTTGGGTATGCATGACCAAAGGGGCGGGTGACCGGCGGGGTGGTGGGATCACGCGGGGTTTCTCCAACCACTGCGTTACTGGTGGGAATCTCCCTTCAAAATTTGGGGGCTTAGTCATTGGGGTCTTCTCTCTTTATTGAATCACGGTGGTCATTATTTCCCTAAACACTGGGTCTACACTAAGGGGTTCTTACGGCGAGGGTAATGGGCCGGGGCGAATGTAGAAGTTGCGGACTGGGTTAGAAAATCTAGGTTACTCACCACGTAACTGGGCCTACCACCCAAGCGGCAATGATTCGGCGATGTTTTCGTTTTTTGTTGCGCCCGGCTTTGCTCAACGTAAAAATATCAGGGTTTGCTCACGTTTTCGTTTGAGAACAAGTTACACGTGGCCCTCATACATGGGATTGGCCTCCGTGACCTTTCAGATCCTGGCGTTTACTTGGGAACCCTGGCATTCAATTTGGTTCAGGAATGCGGAGACAGGGGGCGGGTGGATAAAATGGCTCCCGGCTTTGGACGTCCGTTTTGGTGGCGAGCTTCAAATGACATCATCTACATACCGTGAATGGCCGTGAGCACAAATGTTGTAGATTCGAAATGAGTGCCTCCGACACCTCCTCCTCTTTTGCCCAGCTAAGATGTAGTCTAGTCCCCTGTGACCTCCTCAAGGGGTTCCCCCCCAAGAGGAGAGTCCACTGAACATGGATGGGTTGGCAGGGGGGCCAAGAAAGGCAGCATCTCAAATGTTACCCTTCGAAAGAGGCGGTCTGAAATCTGACTCTTGAAACATACCCCCCCTTCACAAATCTCACTTCCCCAGCTAGTGGACTTGAGTCACTTTTTGGGCCTGGACCATTTCCGGGGACAGCCGCAAGTTTATGGACTAGTTTATTTTTGGGCTTGGACCTTTCAGCGGAAACCGCAAGTTTCTGGTCATTGGCCAATCCACTCGATGGGAAGTGAGCGTTTTCCGCTCAGGCCCATGCTGCGAGCGGGCCAGGAGCCGAAGCCTTTTCCGCGCGTTCAGTGGATGCCTTTAAAGGGGGAGGAGACCAACTAAGAACCTTGGTGGTCCCTGGTAAACCGCAGTTCTGTACCGGGTCCTTCCCGGGCAACCACAGACGATTCTATTGCTTTGGTTGTTCCTCGTTGATTGCCAGGTACCATTGGGCGTTCTCGCAATCCACGGTTGAATATAAGTGGTGTTCAAGGGGTGCCCCTTTGCATGACAAAGTCAGGGTATCAAACACTTGAGAATCAAGCAATACATATTTTTGGGGCTGGCGGGCAAGAGCTGAGCCATCGATTTTATTGCCTCTTGCCAATTCCTACCCGGCCCATCAAACTACTCAACAAATAATATTGCCCTAAACTTTCGAGGGTCATTTCCAATCTTTGTGGGTAGTTCGAGAGTCCAGGCACTCATTCTCCTGGGTGAGATTGACCTAAGTGCCCCTTTCTTACTATCATGTTCTTCTCTTGGGGTACTCCAAGTTCGGGACTGTCGGGGAAACCGGCCAGTTCGTGTGAGGCCAGTTCGTCTCTGCTTAACACCCCACAAAAGGCCCTCATCACGCCGCGAGCGTCCAATACGGCCCAATGGCTCGGGGCAAGGCTGGGATACTTCTTACATGGTACCGGTTGCTTGAAGCAAACAATCGAAGAACCCTGTTGTATCAAGGCCTAGCTGCATGATGTGATTTAATCATCAGGGTCTCTGTTGGAGTTTTCGTACCACGCCCCCCCGCCTCCGACCGACCCGCAAAGAAATGGTCTATTTCTATCTGAATCTCTTTGGCGCTTTTTCAATCCACCACAACATGGTTGTTGTTGGGAAACATTTTACATTTGTGCTTATTGTGGCTTAGTGGGAAATCCCCACTTAACTGCTAAAAAAAATGAAAATGCTCCCCTTCCAACGTCAACCAAGACAAAGTCCCCCGCTTCTCAAGGAGCCTCGCGAGCTTTTGGCCAACAGCCAGACCGGCTTCTACAGCTCTCTGGCGCATAACACGAGTTGGGGTCCGGTCTGACTCGAACGCAACCCACGTGGCGTGAACAAAGAGCGCAGCTCGTTGTGGTGGCTGGAGCAAAGAGCAGCACTTTCAACCTTTGAGACCTTTAAACTTTGAGACTGCAAACCTGGCTTCACACTTGCAGCCTTTCACTAATTCAATCAGACTTTTTTGTGTGTCGCATGTTTGGTGGCTGGAAAGCTGGAACAGTACGCACGAGGCACCTGGCATTGAACTAGATCGAAGCTGTCCGAACGGGGGCCGGAGGACGGCGTGCCCTGTGGTCTAGAAGGAGCCGAGCCCCCCCCCCCTTGCGGGGCGAAGACCTCTGAGCCTTATGAAACAGGGCCGAAGATGCACCGGCCGGTCGCCTCAAGGAAACTGCAAGGTTGTGAAAGACCAAGGGCGACTGGGGTTCAAACCATGAAAACAATGGTTGGGTTAGTTGTGCCATCATTATTTACATCATCTAAGTTTGGTCCCAAGGCCATGCTTTCGGGATTGTGTTTCTTTTTTGTAATTTTGGGTTAAAACACTTTCATGCTTTCCTCTTCTTCTTCTTCTTCTTCTTCTTCTTCTTCTTCTTCTTCTTCTTTTTGCGGTGGGGACAGGATGTTGGGGCTTACACCAGGGATGGGCCATATAAACACCTATGGTTACACGATGGCACCCGCAGCAATTCATTGCCAGATCTATACTTGTGAGACTTATCACGGGCTATATATATAACAAATCCATGTTGGATCGAATGATTCATTTACATGGACCAAATAATTGGAAGACGGAGATACCACAGACTAGGTGTGGGACCAGGATGGGCCAATGAGGGGCCAAGAATATAGTTTATGGTGGATATGGGTGTCATATGTTAGGGCTTTTATATTGGAATGGGCTATATAAATACCCATGGAATACACGATGACACCTACGCCAAAGCCATTACCAGTCTTATGACGGAGTATACAAAATGCGTCTATGACGGATTAGAATTACAATAGGGTATGTAATATATGAGTGGATAGTCGTTATTAACATGGCCAAAGAATTTTGGAGGGGCACGTGCCATATGGGAGGATTTTGATGGGCTAAGGACGCGGCGACGCTACGGGATTTGCGCTGGGCTATAGGACGGATGTGACATATTGGGACCTATATGATGGGATGGGCCATATGCATATCTGTGGGTGATTTGACGGTATCCACAACGAAATTATGCCAAGACCTATGACGGCATTCAGATAATGACGTGGTCGCGACGGCACTTGACAGGTTACACGACATGTTGGGGTCTAAACGCGATGGATTACATAAACGAATCCATGACGTGATTAACACGGGCCAAAAAGAATTGGAGGAGGGATGTTATGGACGATGTGGGGGGACCATGACAGGGCTAGGACGGGACCTGCGACGGGGTACACGACGGGACGGGGGGCAACAACACAGGTTATGATCAGGATGTGACATGTTTGGGCTTACATAAGGGGTGGGCTATATACACACGCCCTTTGGGTCCCAGTCGGTGTGATTTCCAGTCGGTGGTTCAGGTTGGTTTTTGATGGGCAACCAGGGAAATCCGAGTTCCATTTTTCCGGGAGCCCTTCCTTTCGGCTTGGCTTGCGGCTTGCGGACGGCATTTGAACCCCGGTCCTTAGATGAAATGGGACACCACCGGGGGTTTGCCTCAGCACCGCTTCGGCTCACCCATTGGGAAGCTGACCTCGGAACCAGAGCGCCAGAGCTCGCCTGGTCGCCCGGCGGTCGTCAGGTTCGGGCGGCGACTTGGTGAAGCACTTTCAGATCCAGCAGGAGGGTTTGGACTCCGACGAGGGTTGCAACCCAACGAAGCACAGGGCACAGTTGCCACGAGGGGCGCTTCCAAGCACCGATTGAATTTTGGGGGTGCGGGTGCAAGCACTCCCAAGCTATGCCCACCTTTATTTCTTTCTTTCTTTCTTTCTTTCTTTCTTTCTTTCTTTCTTTCTTTCTTTCTTTCTTGTTTTTCTTTTTTTCTTTCTTTCTTTTTTTCTTTGGGGGGGAGTTCTCGGTTTGAAGCGCTCATCGGTAGCTAGGGAGTTGCACCCCTTGTCCAGCGCATGAATCAGCCGCCAGGACCGCGTGCCCGTGGCGGTGATTGACTTCATCTGGCCGGGCCTCAACGCCGCTCGCTGCAACAATTCCGCAGAGACACGCCACGGCCGCAGGGTTGGCTGCAACATTTGGCTGTGGGTCAAAATCAATGGTACCATTTTGGGGTAGGTGCACCACCCGTTTTAGTCTTTTTTGTGGGGATTGGGATGTTCACTGGGGGTACGGGATTTTGGCCCATGGCCATTTGTTCAAAAAACCAGGAAACCAACAGATTCTTTTTGAGCCATGGTTAAAACAAGCCAGCTTCAAAGGACCTGGCCTTGGCACTTAAGGCAATCTGGGCGTGTCTTTTTGTAGGCCCCCCCCCCAAAAAAAATGCGGGTGTTCCTTTGTTTTCCATTTAAAAGCACCAAACAACGGTGCGCTCAAAAAGACAGACCTGTTTGAACAACAGATGTTCTTTTTCGGTCTGGCCTTTGGATCATCGTCGAAAGGGAGGCCTGAAAAGAAATCTCTCCCGAGGAGAGATGCCAATGACGCGTAGGTTAGCGTTGTTTTTTGTTGTTTTACTTGGTTGGTTCTGTTTATGTGTTGCTGTTTGTTTACTTTATGTTTCTAAGAGAATAGTGATGATGAAGATGAAGATGAAGAAGAAGATGATGGTGATGATGATGATGATGATGATGATGATGATGATGATGATGATGATGATGATGATGATGATGATGATGATGATGCTGATGATGATCATGATGATAAACATTCTTTACTTTCTTTCGAGAAACCACCAACATCACCATGTGTTTTCTGAATATGTCGTGGGTGAAGGAACGGTTGGGAAGTAGATGTGCTTGTGCACAACGATGCTGGCATGTCATTTTTTAGGGTACTTGTTCTTGGGTCTTTTTGAGGGGAAACCAAACACAGGATCGGACAAATGTTGTTTGTTCGCAACCAGGCTCAGATCCTGTAAGGGAATGACGAGGAGATTGTTCAAACAATGGGTTGAACAGGAGGTTGGCCAACCCTGACCAGTTCGCACTTTCTGTAAGCGATTGCCCTCAATTAAAAGTGACAAAGGCCATTCAACCATGTGGGTATGTCTCAAAGCAGCGAGCTGGGCCCCCCAAACGACCCAGCGCGCTCCCCCCAAAGACGACTTTTCACCCCCCATTCCGCGAACCTCACTTCCCGAGTCCCAAAGTCCAGCGGAACTTTTTATCGAAACGAAGCGAATTTCTCAGGTCGAGTTTCAGGAGGGCGAGGGCACTGTGACGGCCCAGTCTTTGAGCGACTACACCTTCGCACTGCTCACTGGTGAGTCCCCTTTCGGTGGCACGAGCCTTGGCTTCGCACGGGTCGGTCTTTCTTCTTTGGGGGACCGTCCCGCGGAAACCGATGCCCTGAATTGTTGAAGTCGGAAGCTCATCCCTTCCCCCGAAATCGGGCCCCGATTTTGAAATCGGGCCCCGAATTTTTCGCACCTGAATGTAGCTCCAGGCCGATTCGCCAGTGATATTCAGGCCAAAAGAAGCTCAGGTGACATCCCCAACAGCATGCGGTGCTCTTTTTAGTGCTCGCACCACTCCGCAGAACCTCGTGGCACCCTTGTGGAACCCTGGTGGAACTTTACCTCAGGGCCGCCCCGGACCACCCTGGACTGAGACCCAAAGCTTTCAGCTGTTGGGGAAAAAGAGGATCATGTTGACCATCAATAAACCCCTGCTGTTGTTTGGGTGCCTTTTTTTTCTCTTCAGAAGTGAAGAACTCTCACAGCCAGGGACACCCCCAGATAAATCAACCAGGGGGTACTTCATCCGTCGGAAGTACCTTTGGACATTCGCTGGAGGTCATAGCAGGTTGCCCTCGCTGCTTAAATTTTAGGCTCACTCTTGGCCCTAAGAACCTTAACAGCCCCTTCACCCCGCCTTCAAAGCCCTAAACCAAAAGCTCCAGAGCTTTCGAGCGTTCGCTGCATTTCGTTTGGTTTCTGAGGAAGGGTGAGGTGAGGGTGCCGGCAGGAGGCGCGGGGACTGGGGCCACTGCACGAGTGGCTTGAGGTTTTCTCATCAAACTGGTTTTTGAAGGAAAGCCAAAAGGACATCGTCGCCGGCCCAAAATCAATTTTAAGAAACTCCTGGTTTAGAAGCCATAGTCTAACCAGGGTTGCCCCAGCTGCGGGCGAGACGAAGTCACCCGATACGGTCCCCTGCTTGGGGAATTTGTACTCTTTGTTTTTGCTTCAGAGGGGTTCCTTGTTTGCGGTTGTGATTGGGGCCATTTGTTTTCAGATTCAACACCATGAAGGAGGCTGGAGGGCTGTTGCCATCTGGGTGGGATGACTCATGCCTCCAAACCTGGGTGTTTCTCAAAATGGCGGACCTCCTTTGGTCTTTTGCTTGGTATGTTTGGAGAACAAAGACTCAAGTTTGTCAGATGACATCCTTTCCCAAGCCCTTCTCCATAGGTGTGAATTCCAGTTGAATGTTAGTGTCTGGTTTTTACAACTCGACCCATACAATCGAAGTTGAGGTGACACAAGAGAGCTTAAATCACTACAAACATCTTCCGATCACTTCATTCGGTTTGTTTCCTCACTCCCCGAGTTCCAGTTATCATGCCTGGTAACGACCATTGGGCGGTTGATCAAAAGGTCCTTTACATGGGACGACCATTGGTTGGAAACACATGGGAAAATTACGTGATGGTCAAACTGAGCGCCGAAGGCCCCATTTCACCGCTTTTTACATGATGGTTTCCCCCTCATGACCTCAAGTCAGAGGTGAAAGGTTCAGACCGTCTCCCAATCCACAGAAAAAGGTGCCTTCTTAGGGGGGCGTTTGTTTGAGGGTACTTCGGGGTTGGAATTTCAGCGGAAGCCAATAGGAAAACGGTGATTCTGCCGCGGTCGGCCTCTTTTTGCACAAACCCATGCATTCGGGACTTGATATATACTGCAAATGGTTTGAAATAGTTTGCTCCTCAGAAGCCGAAAGTCTTTACACAATCTTGTAGTACTAGTACCCATGTAGTAATTGTTCCACATCTTTGCAGTTTGCTTTGTGTTATGAGACGCCCACGGTCGCTTTTGCCTTAGCCTTGTCTCCTTCTCTGAGGGCGCTTTGCGCAGTGTTTTGCAAATAGAGGAAGGACACTCCTTCCTTACTCCAAATACCCGGTTTTTTTTTCAGGTTGTTTTTTGAACAACTTGGTTTTCCACAGTCAACACCTCCTTTTTTAAGTAGAGGGTCGACATCATCCCCAAACAAAAAGCGGGTATTTGGAGTAGGGGGTAGGTTCAACAAGCCATCCCTGGTCCAAGGGAGCGAAAGGAGGCTGTTTCGACGTACCCGGCCGGGGGGGGGGGGGGGTTGGGGATCCACCTGGATGCTAAAAAATGGATGGGGTCTCCTCCGATAAGATTTTTTTTTGGTCGAGGCTGACAGAATACGCAAAAGATCATGGTGAATATCTTATGCTCCGTGTACCCTCGGAGTTGGGCCGAGATCGGGTCGAGTCCATTCAAAGAACTTGCCAGGTCATCACAAAGATTAGCAACGGTCAATATTCACGTAGTCAATAAGGGAATCGCATTGACCCTCACTAAACTGCCGCTAGAAAGTTGGAGGCTGCCCACCAAAGTCCAACGTCATTGGGGGGCAACATGCATATTGACCGCGGCAGATGCTAGTAAAACGACAGTTATGAAGTGGGTCGAGCACTGGAGGCATGATCATGTTTGTGGCTAGCTGCTGTTCGATTGGTCCGAGTCTGTGATGTTGACTGTAGGGCTTCTCAAATTCGGAGACCGAGGTTGCTTCCCTTCACCTGTCTTGTCTTGGCTCCCAGCCATCCCGTCAGCCTTTTAGTTTTTTAGTGTTTAGTGGTAGTTTCCATTTAACCCACTAAAAGTTAGTCACTTTTCGCGGGGGATCAGAAAACGGGCAGCCCAGTTGTGAAGCGACTTCTCACGGCAAACCACGGGGCCAGCAGATTCCTTGGTTCTTGGACCCGGATCCTTGGTCCGGGGTCATCGCAGGTTGTTGCAGCGATCAGCTGAACTGGGGCGAGTATGTGGCATACACCCGGAAGCAGGCGGGGCTCATGTGGGTGTGGCTCAAAATTGATGAACTAGGGTTGCGCAGGTTTTAGTCTTCGGTTCCATTTACCAAGGTGCCATTTTGGTACATGTGTTTGAGCCACAGCCATATTTGTGTTGTCTCAGAATAGGAATTGGGAACCCCGACATCTCGGTCGCCTACAAATCGACCTTTCAACCCTTGGCCATTTTTGTTCGCAAGGGACCCCCAAGGTGAGGCTATTTTTCCTGGGGGCCCTTTGGGTGAGGCTCCCTTTGGAGTCCCTTTGGTTTCCCTGCAAGACACCCAAAAAACAAGCGGGGCTCTCTCAACAAATACACACCCATTTGAGGATACGTCGACATGTGCTGACTTGTCGATGGTTTTTTGGGAAGAAGGGGACGAGGAGGGGCGAGCTGTAATTTTTGGCAAAGAACCAGCAAACTGGTATGTCTCAAAATACGCGTACCCCAAAAAGTCTGCCAGTCCTTTTGTTGTCCCTTTACACCAAGCGCAAGAAACAAGGGCACACTCACAAAGCGGCAGACCCATGTCTGGGGGAAACCTTCATTACGCCTGGTGAGTTTGGTGCTTCCATCTATCAACAAGCAGCCAGATGTTTTTGCCCCCGGGGTAGTAACCCTACTTAAGCGGGTTTACAGAGGGTTGACTCGGGGGTCACCTGAGGCAGGATGCAACTGGGGCTTCACCGGCGGCTCCTGGACCTCTGGTGGGCAATGTTGACCCGGATTCAAGCAGAACCTAGCAGATTTGAGGTTCTCATTCGCCAGTCTGCCCTTGTTAATTACTCTCATGGTCCAAAAAGATCCTGGTTGGCCCCCAAACGGCTGCAGCTGTGGCTCCGGTGATTCCATTGCAAGGCAAGAAGACAGAACCTACGAGGCTGGCTGAGGTTTGTGTAGCTTTATACTTTGATCCAGGGTCCATCCACATCTCCAGCAGAAACGACCCCCAAACGCCGGCCTGAAACAGCGCTACCGCCCAGGCTTCCAAACATGTCCACGCAAAAACAAAAAACCTTTTTGTTTTTTGGTCCGGAAGGGAACTCACTTTGGCAATCAAAAAGCGATATTTGATAAACCGCCCGCTGCAACGGGAAATGGTTTCAGGAGCGGACAACCCATTGCCACATTGGAGGACGTCCTTTCCAGGTTGCAGCTTAGTTTGCAGGCCAATGGAACATCTTCGGTGATGAGGGACTTGTGATACCACATCTTCTAGGCTTCCCGCCCGGTGCACTCGCCGCCGGCCGTGCTCGCGCTGAGCACGTCGCTCCTCGGCTTCAGGTGTGCTACCTGGCGGCTTTGGTGGCCGCGGGCAACGAGGCGGCAGACTACAACAGCGGGCTGAGCCGCTTGATCCCCCCGGACAAGTGCCCCTTGGACCCAGCGGTCGCGCTTTGACGGAGGGCCGGGAGGGGGGGAGGCTTTGCTCAGGGATTCTTCGGGGGCAAGCTCTTGTTTGGGCGTAGCCCAATCAACACGGAGCCTAGCTGGATTGTTGAAAACCCTTTTCCTTTGACAGGCCGGGCATTGACGCCCCATAGTTTAGGGCAATATCCAATATTCAAATCGTAGATTGAGGGTCCAGGACGCTTTTTCTCAAATGTTGGGTTGTTCTCGAAACCATCCAAAGATCTCTACAAATTCGGAAGGCCAACCTGGTATCCTACTTGTAAACACGGCTCTAATCTGACCCCTAGGTGGGCTAGACCGAAGCTCACCCATGATGAATGTCCTTGTCAAGACTGGGGATTGCCGTATTGCCACTTTGTGCATGACGTGTTCTAATCAGGCGAGATGACCTTTCAGAAACCACCCACTTGTTTTCCCGACGAAGCAGGTTGACACCAAGCTGTGGTCTAGAGTCTAGAGGGTGGGCCCACGCCTGACAGCAACCACCGACCAATGCTGACAAAAAGTTGCCCAAGACGAAGTGCGCAAACAATTCCGCGTTGGCATGCGATATATTTGAGCAGGTTTGAGCAGGCAATTTCGTAATTCGGCCAGGTCCAAAAGGAAGATAGGGCAAGGAGCGATCTCTGTGTGTTGCTACTAGAGAAATCCTACTATAAACCGTTTCAAGCACCAAACGGACTGTTTTAACCCCCCCTCCCCCTCCCCCCCAAAGCCGAAGCTTCGGATTCGTCGAGGCGACCACGACGAGTACGAGGCCGGGTTCAAGCGCTCGCTGCTGGGGCTGCTGGCCGCCTGCTCGGTGGACCCCACGCTGAAGGAGGGCCAAGGCGAGACTCCAGCGGCTCAGCATGTGGATAGGTGTCCTTTTGGGTTGTTTTGCTAGAAAAACAGATGGCGATTCCTGGTTTGCCCGGTGGTTTAATCATCTACCAGGGCCATCTATTTCCCCTAAAAGGACACCTATGATACTGTGGATGGTTGCGAAATCCATTTCGCACCACGAACTGAAGCCATGGTTGCAACCATCGTTTGTTACGGTATTTACTGGGAATCGAATCATTCCAGGGGTTGTTAGGTGGTGCAGGATTTCGTTCATCCACAGTATGTTTTATTCATTTCCCCTGTCGCTTTCAAAGGAATCTCGCTTTGAATTTTGACATGTTTGTTTCTCTCGTTGTTCTTTCTTTCTTTTTTTTAACATTCTTTTTCTGAGGCCTTAACCAAAGGTCCCCACAACTTTGGGGTACCCTTTTGCACAACAAATAGAGGACACTTTGAAAGTCGCCCGGGTTGGTAAGTGGTTAGGGACCTCGGTTATTGCCCACTTGCAAGCAGATGCTCTCCACTTTGATTGGTTCTCCACTTTTCACTACATTTGACGCTCCGGAGTGGTGAGAACCATCCAACGGAATAGATGTCTTCTAACATCTAGTGGGCTACAACCAACTCAGCTTGCTAAGCACTTGCCAGTGCCATACCTGAAGCACACCTTTCTACTCTTTTGCCCGTCTGGGTTGAGTCGTTGTCCCGCAACAACTTTTGTACGGGATCCGTCTCGCTCGCACCAAGCAAGCAAGGAAGTTGCAGTTGCCAGCATCTCGCCACCAATCATAATTTGGTCTCGCGGGTCCCAAGCAAGACTTAAAAAGAAAAAAGGAAAAACTGTTTTTTTTTGTTTGAGGCCGGGAGAGCTTCCGCCCAGTTGCCTGATGCCAAGCTTGGGGCGCTCGTTCCGCCAGGCCCCGTGCTGATTGTGGCCAAGAGCAGCGACGGCCACGACCCCTCCAAGCCCTCCCCGGCGCTGGACTCCGCGCCTCGGCCGATGCGATGCGAGCCGAGCGGTCGTAGAGCGTAGAGCGGCGTCTCCGTGGAGCGGCTTGGGATATGGGCGGCTCCCCCCTTTTTTGGTGGTTTTAGAGAGGAAGCCAAGAGGCAAAACACCATCTTGCTCTAGAGAAAGGACACGGCCATGTGAAATTTATGACTTGGAACCTCCTAAGTGGTTGGTGGACAAGTTCATCCCCACTAAAGTTTGATGTCCACTGTTTCGGGCCCCTCATAAGCATTCATGTGCATTTGAGTGTTTCTCAAAATGGGATTCGGAAAGGCCCTTTCTTTTGGTTGGGTATTTGAAGGAGACCAACAGGAAGCATTTGGGGCCACTATTTTGAGAAGCCCCTATTTTACGGTTGCAAGGTGCACTAAATGTGGACCAGAATGCCTTTTAAGGCTCAAAATCACAGGGTTGCACTGTGCCTTGAAAGATGACCAAGCCACCAGGGCGGAAAATATGTTTGCTTCCGATGGGGAAGTTCTGTCATTTGTTCCCTGACGCTCCACATATGTGATCTTTGCTCGCATCTGGAGATGCTCGGTGTTTTTTGGGCAAGTGGTAAACGTGAACTACTCTTGTTCAAGAGGAACTATATGGAGTGAATCATATCCTTAAAAACAGTGTTGCCCCTTTTTGAGGTCTTAAACCTTCCAATGGAGATGGAGCCTCTAAAACTTCCCTGTCGAGGCTGGGAGCTTTTTTGGGACAATAAAAAGAGACAAAGCGGAAACCGAACCCTCCTTGCGTTTCTTCTTTTTTTTGAGGGGGAAAGGTGTATCTTCAGACAAACCCAGAAGTCTGGGTTCCAAAAAGGCAACTGGAGTGATAAATCCCGCGGCTTTGCGCGCTCAGGATGTGAAGCTGGAAGAGGGCTCTTTGCGCACCTGCCGCTTCCGTGTTTCGGCTCCAGGGGATTGGAGCCCCGAAATCAGGCTCCATTTGCTGAAGGTGTTCTTCTATTTTCCCTTGTTGGTTTTCAAGCGAATCTATCACTACTGGAAATATGTTTTTTTTTTTCCAGGGGGCCTAAGCAAATGGAAGTATCCAACAGTCTACCAAGCATTTGGGAGGGACATTGGGAGGCGCACACAACCAGGGGACTCTGATTTTCCCATGCCGCATGTTGCGACAAGAGGGTGTCTTTTTAAATGGGCCGTTTCAATCCGAAACCAAGCGAATTCCGGGGCGTTTATGAACCCAAAGCACACCGAAATGGGTTTCTGTCGGGACTGCTACCCATGAGACCTCCACATTCGGGAGGAAGGACCTGAAATGCGCAGCGAACATGATTCACCGCCCATGGCCTCCCCGGGGCCATGCTGCCGGCCCTCATTCGCCACAAAAATGGTGGTTTTCCTCGCTGAATTTCTCGCGTCGGCCGGACACGGCAGCCATATTTTGTCGCAGCTCACGCGCATTTCAAAGACCCAGAGAATGGCAGCGATGTTCTTTGGTGTCCCTGTAAGCCATTCCCCAAAATTTGGTTTGGCGCCTCTGGTAGTTGGCTTCTGAGTGGACACCAATTGCCGGGAACAAGGACAATGGTTCTCCACTGTTGTCGTTTGCATGTTAGTTTTGTCACATGTTCAAATTGTGGCTCCTGCTTGTGCCAATTGGACACCAACCAACATGTGTTCTGCTGAGGCCTTCATTTACCAGGGTTTGTGGCTGGCTTACTTGCTATTCTGCAGACTCCCCATATCCACAATGGCGAATGTCCAATTTGCTCAGTCCAAATGAAACAGTTAGACTCTGGAGGATCCTGAGACGACTTCAAATGGGGCCCAAAGATTGACTGCCGTTCCCATTCAAACGCCACCAAAAGAGAGCTAGCAACCGAACAATTGAAAAGAGCAAGAAGTTCGACTGGACATTCGCCAGGCTCCAACTTCAACCAGTCCCAATTTCAATCCCACGATTCCCCCGCTGAGAACCATCACTTTCCAATACTTGAAGGAACCCCTATCATGAGCTCATTTCTCCCCGTGAACTGTTTTGTTGAGGAATCTCCCGAACTTCGCAAGTCTGCCGGAAGTTCGGCTCCCCTCACGGAGTGCCCGCCGCGACGTCGAGGCGACGGCAGTTCGGGGAACCCTGCAAAGAACGGCATGGCGGTCACGGAGCCGTCGGCCTGCAGCGAAGAGCCGCCAGTGGCCGCATGGCGAAGCGAGGGGCTCGAGTCGAACGGTACAGGTGGGGCAGGTGGGGTTAGGGTGGGGTTCAGGTCCAAGTGGGATTTTGGTGGGGGGGGGGGGGCAAATACAGGTGGGTCCAAGGCTGGGGTCTTCCGGTGGGTTTACCCATCCCAACGAAACCGAGCCGCTGGTTGGCGCCCTGAGTGGCGATCGTTTCGCAGGTACCGCGTCAGGTTGGTCAAACGGTAGTAGCAACCCCAGAGAATGGTAGTATCATAGGTAAGGTATATGTGAGGGGGTGCTTTCGTTACCTACAAATGCAGCAGATGTGTTGTATCTGACATGGATCCGATGGTTTTGTCGCCCCTTTTTTTTGAGACAGGACAAGCCCAAACAGTGGGCCTTTGGTTTTGTTTCGGCCGTGTCAGACGGAGACGGGCCTCCAAAGCGGTTTGGGCGCTTTGGCCGAGGACTTCATGCGAGCCGGCAACAAGCTCCAGGGTCAGGTGATGGTGGCGCCTCGATCACAGCCAAACCAGGGCTTCCTCCGCCCCCCGCCCCCCATCTGGTTAAACCAGCGCTTTCCCCAAATCACCAAGCAACCCAAACACCGGGGCAACCATGTGATGAGAAGAGGGACAACTCATCTAGGTCTGAAGATCAAGTCACCTTAGTACCTTCCCGCCTTGGCAAAGACGTCTACCGAAAGTTCATGTGGCGCTTGCCATGTGTAAGGCCCAGTCTTCACTGGCGGGGTAGCAGGAAATGAGATGCAAGGGGCGGGTGAGGATATTTTTTGGGGGGTTGTTTTAAAGGGAATCAAGAGGAAGCCGCCAAATTCAGAGACGGCTGCGGCTCAAGAGCATGAGGTGCTATTTGGTAAGTGCCACCAAACACTGAACACCCGCGTAACCCTAGCTCTTTAGGTTTGAGCCGCACTCAGGTTACTCACTTCAAGACACACCCAGATGCCTCGCCGCCCCGTGGGCAAACTGTGGTCTTTCTTGTTCCAGGCTCGCCAAAAACATCCAGCCGTGGTAGCAAAAGGGTTCATTTGTTGATCACCCCAAATGTGGGCAAGAACAAGGAAAAGCGAGACCTTTGGATTGGACGGCAATTTCGGCTAAGTCCGAGCTTGGTAGCCGCAAGCTGAACGGTAGATGTGACTGACTGGACTGATATAGGCTGGGTTTAAAGGGACACTAAAGGGAACACCAACGTTTTGCTGGTCCCCTATTTTGAGACACCCATTTGCTAAAAAGAGGGGATGGTTGTTGGATCTGACCCTACGCGTCATGCCCCATTTGAGAGCCAACCACACTGGTTGGCTATTGATAATTTCAGGAGGTTCTCTGGCTTGAGGGGATGATCATGAGGCCAATTTGGCTATGAATTTTAATTCGGGATCCTTTGGTGGACAACGTTTAGGTGGGGATTTATGTCCAACGACCACTTTTGAGGGGTCCCCTTAAAATTCACAGCCATATTTGTTTTGTATGACCTTGACAGCCGCAAACCGCGAGACATGTGTTGGGGCACCGGTAGAAAACGGATTCCTCGTGCATTCCAAACGAGTCAAAGAGGGCTCCAGCCGCTTCAAGGACATCACCGCCGCCTGGATCGGTGGCTACATCTTGGCGCACAAAGGCCGGGCTGCAAAAAGCTCGTTGTTGGTTTTGGCGGCCAAGTGAGTTCAGGTAACCCGTTCAGGTTGGTGGATTGAACTGGTTTGGGGAGCTTTGTTCCCCTCCATCTTGAGGGTAGATGAGAAACCACCCCAAGCTTTAAACCACCGATCCAGCTCCAAGTCAGCGAGAGGGAAGCTGAGTGGCCAGAGCCGCGTGGCTAGATTCGCCTTGGGGCTGGTTTTAGCCTAGGATATTTCAACCAAGTGCTCCCCCAACGGCTATAGGGGAGGGACATCGACCAATTGGCTCAGAACACAAAGCGGTTGCTCAGTAGAAACTCGCACGCTAGAAGGTGGATGAATGATCAAAATGGGGACGCCTTTGTGCTGGGACCCATTGACCCCATGTGACCCCGCCCATGTGCATGCTTGTTTGGGGGGCCATACTGTGCTCCCTTGCATGTGAGCTTGTAATGGAGTAACCCAGCTTATCTGGGGCTCTGGGTATGTCTAGAGGCGCGCCCACAAAATGTGTGGCTCTTTAGTTCTCCTTCGACCGCCCAACAAGACGACCCAGCCGGAGGAACTCCGTTCACCATTGGGCAGGCTGCGGCGGAGTGGACGGAGGTCAGGATGAGAGGCTGATGACCACTATGCCGGAGACTTGCTCTTGTTGGTGGACAGGGTCAGGAGTCACCTCCATTTGCCCCGTTTAGTTTATGAGCAAGTCTCAATGTAAGTAATTAGGAGTGTGTACGTTTTATTTCCACTCTCATTTTCCAAAACCTACACTCAACCTTCTTCATGTTTTAAGCGTATGTTTTTCTAGTTTCGACATTGAAGTCGGTTGAATAACTCACTCCCTGAGGTCCTGGACTTTGGGGTCACTTTTTTTGCGAAGACGATATGAGTGGAAGCCAAAAAGCTCAAAAATTTTGGACGCACAGTATTGGCCATTGTAGGATGGTTCTTGTTGTAATTGGGGTTGCACTAAAGCTTATATATAAAACTTTGTCAGATCCATCTCAGTAAAATGATAACTCAACGGGTGTTGGGTGCCGATCAAATGGGGCTGTCTTTAATGGGGCCCCCCAAAATGGGTTATTTCCCGTCGATTTGGAACAAAGAGGAACCCTCAGGAAAAAACCTTCCCACATCTCCTCTCCTGAATTTCTAGGCTTGTTTCATGAAGGGGCAACGACTTGCGCGACCTACAAGGGCGAGCAACTTATGCAGCATTCCTTGGGGTGCCCTTCCGTATACTTCCCTTTTTGAGTGGCTCAAACATGGCTAGTTTGCCAATTTGGCCGGAGTTTGCGTGTTAAAGGTTGATGCTCAAAGCAATTTTCACGACCATTAGGAGAGCGCCTGGCGTTCCGTATCCCAGATATGGCATGTAGAATTCACAAGGGAATTGCTAACATTCGGCTATTGTTGGTGTCGCTGACGCGCAGGTGGTGTTTGGGTATGTGTCCACGTTGATAATGAACAAACAAACAAACAAACAAACAGACAACACAACTCCAAGTGGATTCAGCACCACCATTGTCAACCAGGATTTACCCTAGGTGTCACGACGGTTTCCCCCTATTACCCTACTCGATTTCCAAGGCGCCTGGACTTTTTGGGTCAACCCACTCAGGAATTGAGACCAGCAATCAAGAAGATGCCCACTTTCTCCGGGCAAACCTCTACACGAATCTTATTTTTGTTTCAGGTTCATCCCGTTGGTCACTTCCACTCAGGAAGTGAGACAAAGAAGAGTCCCTTTTTGCCGGGCGAACTTGTTTTTTGACCTTTTCTGTTTGAGTTGGCGAGCGGTTGTAGCCGAGCCCCGAGGAAGTGATGGCGGGGGCCTCGGGGCCTCGTCGGCTCGTTGGGCCGTACCCGACCCCGCAAATGGCTGGGGGGTGGTCCTTGGGGTGTCCTTTGAAACCGCAAAAAAGGGGGGGCGCATTCCAAAAAGGAGCTCGTCTCATTTGGGGGGGACGTTCCCTTCCTGTTAAAAAACGCGAAAAGAGGAAGGCGCATCCTAAGAAGGCACACCCATACTGCCGCCAATGCCGCTAATGGTCACGTTTTCAGCCGCAATGGCTGCCCATTTGCCTTGAATCAGCGCGTGATGAAACAGGTGGCTTCTCCTTTTTGGGGTTTATCACTGCTGTTTCGGGATTCAAGAAGATGTGCCCTCTTTGGGAGAATCCCGTGTTTTCTGCGCGGCTTTGAGATTGCGATTCTAGGTATCAAATTTGAAAATCGATGGCGTTGATAGGAGCCAACATGCAACCAGCGCCATCCTTCAACCAGATCGAGATTGAGGCCAAACGAAACACACATTGACGAATTCGTCGAATGCGCGGCTCTGATGCAGCCTTGAAGGCGTTTCTCACTCCCCCTCCCGCGTGCAAACAAAGCAAAGTACACCCAGAATGGGGGCCACCCCGCCGAAGCTTCCAGGCGAGTCGCCGTAGCAGATAACCAAGGGGAATAAATTTGATAGCTCCCTTTTTTCCTTTTTAACTTTGCCCAAGGATTGCGAAGAAGCCTGGCTCAATCAAGACATTCCCAGGTTTCTAGCCACTAACCCCCCCCCCGTTGTGTGCATGATTGCTCGACCATGTTGCGATCGTTTGCCTTTGATGATGTTTTGGCAGCGTTTTGGAGAACTTCAAGCAGCAAGAACCTCAAACTTTGTGTTTCAAACAGGTGTGTCCGGGCGAAGCAGGTGACCCACAAGAGCACAGACCACGGTTTTTCGGACCCAGGTCTTGAGTTTCTTCATGTCCGCGAAGGCAGAGCAATCGAGTGGTTTCGGACAGCGTGGGGTAGCGCGCGAAAGAGGACCCCCTCTTCGTTTTTTGGGAGGGCCCACATCAACCTATGCTGCTGTTGAACGTTGCCAGCACAAAGCGAGTTGGTCCTTGACATCGCCAAAAGACATCTTGGTTTGAGTTCCCTTTAAAGGCCGCCCTTTCTCGAGGATACTTCCCAAAAAATGACGAGCGCCGGGTGATGGTCGAGTGTTCCAGGACATGGGCCTGAGATGCTCGGACACTGCTCCCTTCACTCGAGAAACGGGGCGGAACTGATGGAGTTGGGGAAGGGGTTGAATTCCATTCGTTCCCTACGTGGGGTGGGGGAAATCTTGGGACTTTGCCTCATCAATCGCCTTGCCTCTATGTGTGTGAGCACTTGGCCCCGCAGGAAGGCAAAACAAACGCAGGTGAAAGAGCAATTGCAGAACGGGTGTCAAGGGGTTCTTTTGGATGAATCCACCTCTGGATTCATTCCCACCTGAAAGGTGTGGGCAAATTGTGAGGCGGGTAGGAACCGGGCGTCCCACGTTGGAGGACAACTTTCCTGTGGTTCTCAAGGGCTCCGCATTTGAGACCATAGCGATTTCTACGTTTCCCAAGTCCAGCTTCCCCAGGTTACGAACCGTGACGCAGAAGCTGAAGAGTTGCTATCACAAATTCCAACTTTTGGTTGTTAAATCCGCGCCAACACGCCCCAGCCCTCCCGCGCGTCACGCGCCAGGCCTCGCCGCTGGCCTCGGAGGGAGTGGCGTTGCTGGTGCCGGCCTACATCATCGGGGCGCGCAGGACTCGCGGCGAGCATGCCGATCCGCGATCCCCGAGCGCGATCGGCGCGCGATCGGCGGAATCGGCCGCTGGGCGGTGTGTTTTTGGTGAATGTCAAAAGGGGAGCACAGTCGGCTGAGCGTGGTTTGTGGTTTGTTGCTTTGGAGTTGGCACCGTTTGGGGGGATGGTTTAGGAAAATTCAGGAGAGCAAGTTGGCCGAAGATATTGCCCTTTCCGCTGTCTCTGCTTTAGCTGAATATGGGAGCGGTTTAAAGGGACACCGTTGGCAATTCTAAGGGTCGAGGCTTTAGGTAAGGGTTGCTAGAAGGAAATATTCTGGGGGTACCTCCCCATTCTTTCCAGGGATCCTTCTTTCCAGAAAACCTCCTGACACCTGGGAGAACGGCAGGTTTTTTGAAAAGAACGATGATTGAAAATAATGGGGAATCACCCCCTGGAAATATATTAGGTGGCGGCACGGAAGGATCCTGTCACATAAATCCCGAACCCGAAAGGCTCCCAGGAGTCCATCGATGTACATAGGTTCCTTTTCACGAGGCTCCTTGGAGTTGTTTTGAAGAGAAACTAACTCCAGTTTTGGGAGCCACTTGCAACCAGAACTTGGGATCTTTTGGGTGTTTCAAGTTAGGGCCCGCCTGGGGCGGTGTTTCAAAGAGAAACCGGGAGGAAACCGAGCCCATAATTTATTTTCTTCTCGCAGACCTGGCAAGAAGAACTCGGTTGGAACATTTGGTTCTAGGTTTTTGAGAACTTGACAGCTATAGACGGACCTCAGTGAAAACATGTGTTTGTATCATTCTTTATGTGTGTTTTTAGTGGGGGACCTTTTGCTTATCATTTGGGGGGATCTCTGAATTCTAGGTTGGAACATTTGATACAAGTTAGGAACCCTTTAAAGTGGTAAAGTAGGGGTCCCTGATTGACATTTGGGACGTTTGGTTGCGCAAAGTATATATATATACATATGTGTATACAGGGCACTTAAACCGGAGAATTCCGTGGTTTCTTTGGAAGAAACCCGGAGGCTGCCAACACCCCAAAGGCACCCCAAAGATTCCGTTGACAAGAGCACGGAGCGTTTTTGAACGGATTCTGGGTGCACCGCTGTCTTAGATCAAGATGATTTTTCGAGGGTTTGGTGTTTATATAACTTGCCCTTTGAAATCATCCAAAAGGCGGTCTATCACTTTGAGGAACCCCCATATCAGAGGCTCAGAAGGGGTCCACCGGAACCTGCCGGGGGCCGGTTAAGGTGAACACCCTTGGCTCCTGAGAAGCGGCATGGCCTTGAGCAAACCGCTGCAACGGCACAGGAAGTCCCTTCAAAGACTTCTGGGGATAGAATTCTCGAGTGCCAGCCTAGGTCCCCCCCAGTAGTGCCCTTTTACCATTTCTTTTTTGGGGAGGGTTCCCCTACTAAAATAGACTGCAGAAAAAAGGGTACCCTTATTCTAACCTCTCTACTGGAGGACATAGCAGCATTTTGTGAGCGCATCCTGCTTCTACCCGCTAGCAACCGACAAAAAGTTCACTTTGATGAACCTAGAACCTTCCCCTTGAGAATCACCAAACATGATGTGGTGGATACCCTTCTAGTATTGGTGGTTACCTGTAGTTTATCAACCTTTAAGGCACCATGAGCATGGTTGTTCTTCCTTGCTGTGACGACTGCTTCCAGTTAGCAGTACAGTAGGTAACCAAGGGAATCCACGATGTAACACCTAGAGGTAAAAAAGAGACTGGTTGCCCATTGTAGCTCACTCCCTGAGTTCATGAACTTTACACTTCGTGGGAAGACCAGGTTTGGCCAACAACGGTTTGTTGTTTTTTCTCCCAGGGTCCCAGCCATCCCCTTAGCCTTTTAGCTTTTGAGTGTTTAGTGGTAGTTTCCATTTAAACCACTAAAAGTTAAACTCTTAGCGGGGGATCTGAGGGCAGCCCAGTTTTGCCAGTCCACTCAGGAAGTGAGCTAGTGGCACAGCGCCTGGAAGCACAAGTCTAGGGGTTGATTCCTTGTCCATTCTTTTAAATCATGGTTCTTTTCAAAAACCGGATCTGTTTCCCCTGAATTTTTGATGGTTTCCCGAAAAGATTCGGATCCCTGGGTTCAGAATGGAAATGGAAGGCACCCCGAGACCAAGGGATCACCTTTCGCCAAAATTCCCCCGCGCCGGACGCAGGATCTTCGCCGGTTTCGACGGGACCTCCAGAGACATCGGGCCTGGGAACTTCAACGCAGGCGATGGCCGGGGGAAATTTGGGCGACCAGGGAGTGAGAATGATCCCTTTATGAAACGTCTCTTGTAAGCCATCCCAGATACATGTATTAATATATATATATATAGATATAGATGTCCCAGCCTTTCCAACCCATTCTTTGTAAACCCATCCTTTTGTCAACCATCCCTTCTGAAGCATGTTTTATGTTTGTTTCCACACGGGTATCTGCCTTTGAGGTACACCTTTTTCACCAAACCCTGGGTCGAAATCAGATGTGGCGCCCATTTGAGAAGTGAAAGCCTCTTGGCCAGCGAAAGTAAGGATCTCTAAGTAAACGTTGACCCCGAAGCGAAGTAGACCCCTGGTTGATTCATACGGAGTGTCCCCTTTTAGTGGAGATTCAGACGACTTTTTGAGGGGAACACAGCCCCCCCATTAACAGAGCTGGTTTATTATTCTGGGATCAACATTAGTTTAGCGCTAGATCATCACTTGTTATTTTTCGTTCCCCTTGCAGGGATGGGGGGGATACGTTCATCGAAAAATGTGCGAGGATGAGCCATTCCAAGGGCAACCTGGCCTCGCCACCTCACCTGCCTTCAATGCACCTCACTATGTAAACGTTCTCTCCACCTTGAAATGGAGAGGGATCCAGAACTCAAAAAGTCAAGGTTTCAGTGGGTACGCGTTGCACACAGTCGCCTTCTTGTTCGATGAGGAACGCGCATGGCAGCGCATGGCGTTGCCTCCAATGTCCCCAGTCCCTGGTTGGAATCTCCCGGTTTGTGTGCCAACTGTATTGGCTGGGTTAGCATACTTGATGTTACTCACTATCACCACTTGGCTGTGGGTCAAACATCAGGTAACACCAAAATGGAACTCCCGAATGGTCTGGTTCAATCTTGACCAATCTTGGCTGTTCCCAGCCATCCCCTTTGCTTCTTAGGCTTGTTGATTCAATTGTTTATTTGACCTACAAGTTTCGCAGATCAGAAACCGGGTTTGGTTGGATTTCCATTTGACCTCCAAGGTGCTTCAACCCGCGAAGAAAGCCGAAAACGGAGAGCCGAAAGTTCAAAGACCAAATTTCCCATCCCTCCACACCCCGCCGACCCGCCACCCGCCACCCGCCGCCTTGCGGTTTGAGGCAAGCCAGCGGTGAACCTCGCCGCGCCCATGACCTCGGACCTCGCCAGCGTGGAGCTGCACGGCGGAGCCGCGCAGATCAGCGCCACGAGCCCCTTCCTAGGCGCGGGGCTCAGCGCGGCTCCGCGCGGCTCCGCGCGCGCGGGGGGGGTGGGGGGAGTTTCCAGGGTGCTTGTACCCCTTTTACAGACCCCTTGGACAAATGTACCCCTGGGAGGCCTGATGTTCATATATCCTCTCCCCAAAAGGGTATACCCCTTAAGTGGGATGGAAACCAGGGAAGCCAAGGGGTATGAACAAGGGATATGTACTTCCACCCTTAGTTCTTTTCTTCAGGAAACGGGGGGGGGGGGGGAGACCGATCCCGCCTCAAAGAAGAGGTGCGTCATATTGGAGAGTCGCGTGCAGAATCCCTGGTGGCCTTGATCATTCTTGCACAGTTGATGCTGATTGACGGTCCAGCAGCATGTTTTTTGTAGGGGCGTTTTTGAGGGACCGCCAAAATGTGGTTGGGTCGGAAGGCCTCTGTAGGTCTCTGTGTCTTGTTTGAGGTTCGGCCACCAAAAGGTGGTGTCTTTTTTGAGGTTGGGGGGCCCAACAGTGGTTCGTTTGGAAGTGGGAGTTTCGCTCGGGAAAAAAGAGGTAGGTCGTTGTGTCTTTTTTGAGGGTTTGGAATTGGGAAGTCCATCTCCCCTGAAAAAGTGGTCTGTGTCTTTTTTGAGGTTGGACCACCAAAAATTGGTTGGTTTGGAATGGGAAATCCATCCCTCTCAAGAAAAGAGGTAGGTGTCTTTTACCAAAAGTTGTTTTTTTTAAAGAATCAGCTGAGGAACCCGCTCCGCCGCTACGTCCAACCTCAACAAAAAACACGGAGACCTACCTCAAAGGGATGGGCTCTTCCCGCTTCCAACCGACCATGTTTGTGTGGCCCAACCTCTAAAACAACGCAGAGACCTACCTCGTTTTTTCAGAGGGATTGTGTGTGGTTCTCCCTCAAAAATAAAAGAACCCACCGGAAAAAAAAAAAAAAAAAAAAAAAAAAAAAAACAAGTTGTTCCTTTTCCAAACCAATCGTTCTTCTGTGGTCCAACCTCAATAACGACAAACACTTACCTCTTGTTCAGGGAGGGGATGAATTTCCCCTTCCAAACCAACCATTTAAAGACCTACTACCTACCCAACCTTAAAAGACACAGATGTCTACTTCTTTTTGCCTGCAAGGATAGATTCTCAAAAATGAACACAGCCACCTCTGTTCACCAGAGGGATGGACTTTTCCCCTCCAAACCAACCACTTTCAACCTCAAAAAAGACAGAGACCTACGCTTTTTGTTTTTTGGTGGTCCAACCAAATCTATTTTTTTTCGAGAGGGATTGTGTGGTCCAACCACACAAAAAACTTATTGTTTGCCATATTTCACCCTTCCAAACCAACCACTTTTTAGTGGCCCAACCTCGAAAAAGACAGAGAGACCTACCTCTAAGTTGGTAAGGTTCGTAAAACTTTTAAATGCAGGCTTTACTCTTGTCAAACCTCAATCTTTTTAAAGAGTCCAAACCTACCTCTCTCACAGGTGCAAAACCTTTTTTGGGGCCTACCTGAAGCACGGCGATGCTCAAACCCTAGCTTGTGAGGGGTCGTTGGTTTTCAAAACAGCTTTGCAGGGACAAGCCTTCAGGAGCAAGCTTTCGAGGACAAGCTCTTTCAACGTAGCTCCCCCCCTCCCCCTTGAAAGAGGTGGGCCTGGAATGGCTCAGAAGGAATCCAGGCCTACCTCCAAAGGTTGGTTTCCTGTGAGCTTCCCCTGAAACCGAACCAGCCTGGCGTTCAACACCACAGGTTGGCTTCAACACCAAAACGGGGAAACCGCCGGGTTCGTAGAGAGACTTAGTGCACCGGATCTCCAGAAAGTCTTTGTTGTGGGAAGAACCTTTTGATTGGGTTCGAGGGGAGACCACCCAAAAACGCCGGAAAGGCCATTTCGGGGGGTCCATTTCTGAACCAAACCCACCGTGTGTCCCAAAAGTGGTTTAGCCCAAAGTTGCCACGGGTTTTTCTTTATTCGGCCGAGCAGAGGTAGAGGCAAAAACATCGTGAACGTGGCATCTAGGATGCTGTAGTTTGGGTTTCAAAGCCGTGCGAGAAAAGAAAGAAAAGGCACTCCTGTGTTGGGCTTGGGGAAAAAGGAGCCAAAACGAAACCAGTCTCCATGTCCATGACCTTTTCAAGATCCGAGTGACCCCATTTTAAAGGGTGGAGACTGCAGGTCGTTTCCAATTGTCGGGTCTCGCTCCGTAAAAGACATGAAATTGCCCCAAGTGAGTTGGAAATGCACATGTTGGGAGACCCCAAAGACAGGGCGTCCTCCATTTCCCTTCTTGGCACTTCCAAAAGTGGCGATCGTTTCCATGGAAATCGCGCCGGGACATTGCAGCAGCCCAAAGTCCAACTTGGGTCTCCGAAATTTTGACCTTTCGGACTGAATTTCAAGTTTCCGCTGGGCTTGCTGTCCCATTTGGCTCTCCGGAGTCCTTGGACTTTTGCCTGACCGCACAAGAGGTGCTGGGCTTTATGCTTCTTGTTGGGACGACCCATGGTAGTGGTGAATGCAAAAATCTGAGCTTTTCTTCCGGCCAACCACTCGGGCAGTGCATTTGGTCAGAAAAGCCTCCGGGCTTTTTCTGGGACGTCGTATTGGCGACGCCGTATCGGCTGGTTTCTTTGGCCCCTTCGGTTTTTGTTTGTTTAAAGGTAGCCGACTTTTACAAGAAAAAGTTGCGGGGGATGGATGGCTTCCATTCGGGCTCCATCGCTGGGGCTTCCAGCAGCCATAGGCGTCCTTTTTGGTTTGGTTTGGCTTGAAAATAGAGGGCGATTCGACATACCTGGTGGTTCAACCACCAGGGAAACCCATCTATTTTCCCAAAAAGGACACCTATATGCCAGCAGCATTTCGGAGGTAACATCTTTTTTTTGTTTCCATGGGGATCGTGAGGCTTCCAGAGCATCAACCAGCAGTCCGGCCTGGCCTCGGACGTGCCCACCGCCAGGACGGGCAAAAGAACCTGACAGGGGGGGGGGTGGGGGTTGGAGGGTAGTTTGGCAGTTTGGCTTTGGGCTTTGGTTTTGTTTTTCAAGATTAGTTTAAAAACACACACAAAAGGTGTCCTTTAAGACACCCAGTTGGGTGTTTGTGCTTTGGAGAGTAGTCTTTACAAGATTGGTTTCAAGGGAAATCAAAAGAACGTCATTTTGTGGGTCCCTAGCTCATAGTGCTTGGACGGTCAGGGATCCCTCCACTTCCACCTTCTTTAGTCCTCAGAAGTTTCAGTGACATCCCACCACATGTCAACTTCTGAGGGAATCCCCGTGGCCCGTCGGTTCGCTCAACCGTTAGCAACTGGAAGAGGTCTACGCGGGATTACGCTTGGAGTGGTTACCCACTGGACTTGTCTTGGGCTCCGGGGCCGGGGACTCTGGACTTTTTTTGCTTCGGGAGGGACCCGCCATGGAATGAAAAATCCAGGGGGTTCAAGCATTCCAAAGGGGTCACTGACGTTGTGAGGGGGAAAATGTGGGATGCAGATGTTGCAAGGGTTGGTGTACTTCGCAATTTGCGTCACTTGCAAACCACAGGCTGAACCAGAACCCCATCCAGTTCGAGATGGATGGCGACTACGGCTTCCCGGAACAGGCGCGGTGCTGCGGCTGTGGCTGCTGGTGGGCAGCCTTGTTCTCTTCTTGAAGACCAGCAGGAAACCACAAGCCAACATAGGGTTGCACATGTCTTCCCCCCAAGAATCGCCAGACTGAAGACCCACCGTTTTTGCATCGTTTTGCCACTTCTTTTCTAGAGGGTCCCCTTTTTGGTCCGAGTCCAGTGCAATCAAGTCTGGCCAAGGCCTCAAGCAGAGGTTTGGAGGTTTGTCTAAAGTGGCGGATCCCAGTTGCCAGCAAAAATCGGTGACCAGCCGTGGTCTTTGTTCTTTTTCAAAATGTGGGGGCTGTCCTTTTTTAGGGGGGACCCCTTAAAACGTGTGGTCTCCTTTGTTGTTCTTTTTTTCCCCAACAGTGAAAGCTTTGGGGTCTCAGCCCAGATAGGCTCCGGGGTGGTCCGGGGCGGCCCTGAGATAAGGTTCCACGAGGGTTCCACGAGGGTTCCACGAGGGTTCCACCAGGGTTCCACCAGGGTTGCACCAGGGTTGCACCAGGGTTCCACCAGGGTTCCACCAAGGTTCTACCGGGGTTCCACGGTTCTGCGAGGTGGTGCGAGCACTAAAAAGAGCGCCGCATGCTGTTGGGGATATCACCTGAGATTAGTGTGAATCCCAAAATGGGCGCCCTCAAGCAACAAAAAGACCCATGTGGTTAAAAACAAAAGCAAAAACACAACAACAACTGGCGTGCAACGATTCAGAGCCTTCGGAGCCAAGATGCACCAAGCCTCCCATTGCGTTTCTTGCTATGGTTCTGAATCAGGGCGGGAGGTAGCGTGGGATACTAGGTTCCCAAGTCACAAGTCCTTTAAGTGGAGTCCATGCGACGATGCGGTAGTGATGTTTGACCTATGCTAGCCACTCACTAACTTGGCAGAAGACAGAACGAAACTGGGAGGTCAAGGCCTGGTACAATGCCGTGGCGCTCACCCATTGGCACCCGGACGTCCAGGCCGGCGCATTTTTTTGCGGCGAGTTTTAGTTCCCCATTTGCCTCCCAACCGGGGCAACCGGGCAACACCTGCTGGGCTTTGCAGGCTTGCCCGTGTGCCTCCTGTGGAAACGGGTTTTGGTTTTTCCAGGGTACCCGCTTTTGGTGTTGGGAAGCCAGAAGGAATCCCATTTTGGGGGTCTCGTTTTGAGAAGCGGACAGTATGCTAAGGATGTGGACAATTGGATTGAGGGCCCTCTCGTTCTTGGCGTGTCTGTTATATTTATCTTTTTCAGTTCTCCGTTTTTGTTTGCTTTCTTTCTTTCTGTATTTCTTTCTGTATTTCTTTCTTTCTTTCTTTCTTTCGTTCGTTCGTTTGTTTGCTTTCTGTCGTCTTGCCGCTTTTTCTTTCCCACTTTCTGTCCTTCTTGTGTTCTCTCTTGCTGTCTGCCACTGTATCTGTCTGTCCATTGCCTGTGCTTTGCCCTTTCTTGTGTTTCCTCTTCTTCAGTTTGTTCCTCACTGGGGCTTTTGACAGCGGATTTGCAACCAAGGCAAAGGGTTTCTCTGAAGTAGTCCAGACTTGATTTTGGGAAAATTGGTCAACGGCTTTCCCTTTGGTTTCCGTTTGATTTCCCTTTGGTTTCCCTTGGGTTTCCCTTTGGTCGTCCCTGGTCTCCTTCCCAAAGTGGTCTTCCTTTTTCCACCGAGTCGAATGGAGCAACCAACCCGGCCAAGTCTTCCGAATTAAAATGAGCCGAGATCCGACCCGCCGAGCCGCGCCGACCCGAGGGCGTGCTCCGGACCCTCGCGGTGTCCATCGGCTCCGGGCCCTGGGGGTCAGGCGAGGCGTTTTTTTAGCCCCCGTTGAAGCCCGGAGAAGGTCGCTCTGGGCAGATCCGGTGTTTTTTGCGGCCCCACTCTCAGGTTTGATGATGATGATGATGGTGATGGTGATGGTGATGGTGATGAAGTTGAGGGAAGATGAGGGAAGGGAAGGTACCCATCCCTGTTGCCCTCTCAGAGGTCCGCGCGCCATGGGAAAGTCCAGTCTTGCTGATGGTTTTCCGCGGTCGCGGCTTGCCTGGGAGCACTGCGATTCACTTGATGAGATGAACATTTCCTGATCTCAGAGGACGCAGGCTTCCTGTGAAGGCAGGGACTGGCAGCTTCTGGACAGAGCATCGGAGCGATTGAGGGGGGACTCTGCCCTTTTCATGTTTCCTCTCCCCTTGTCGCCTTTTGCAACCCGTGTGTCTTCCTTTCTCCGGAGGTTTCCCTGACCGGGTTGCACCGGGTCGGGGGGAGCCCCCATTTCCAGGTGGTGAGGTGTGTTACAAACGGAGCTAACTGGACGCCCAAAATTGACGAACCGCGGGTTCTCCACGGGCTGCAACCCGTGGAAGGCATCCGGATCTGCTTTCAAGATGTGATTTGGTGTGACCATTGTGACCATATTTAGCGTGCAAGCATATTCGGTGTGCAAACATATTTTGTGTGCGAGCATATTTGGTGTATAGGTCGCACCATATTTTTGCGGGGAACACTTTCAACATTGATCCACCATCTTAAATCCAGAGTCGATTGTGGTAGTGAGGTTCTCTAGGTGCATGGGATCCAAACCCTCTTTTGCGGACACGGGCGGGCTTTTCGGGGGGGTGTATGGGGATTGGAATCCTGTAGGGTATTGGCCAAATATGTCTCGAGGTGGATTGCAATGGGCGGTATGTTGACGAAGCAACCCAACGGGAAGCCGAGCTTTGCATTGGTATTCGATGGGATGCCTCGCATCCCATCTTTCATTTCATCTCCCATCCCGACCTGTCGAGATGGGGGGAAAGGGAAGAAAGGGAAGAAAGGGGGGAAGGGGGCAAGGGGGGGGAAGGGGGCAAGGGGGCAAGATCCGGGTGTTGCGGGGGGATGTGGGGGGAGGCGGGGGGGCATGGATCCGATGGATCCGATGGAGGAGTCTGGTGGGGCAACAGTCAGATCTTCTTCCTGGTGGCCTGGATGGGTCAGGCGCTCTCTTCCAGCTCCTGGGGTGAGGCGCCGTGATCTGGTCTGGGCCGGGGGTCTGGGCTGGGGGATGTGGGGCAAGTTTCAACAAAGACTTACTAGGGGGGGGGGGGGGGTCCTTACGATTTACCAGTTGGCATGGTCATCCAAGCTAAGGATTTGTTTTAATGCGGGTGTTAAACCAGGGTTATGAGTCAACCAGCCCATGGTGTCCCACTTGGAAACTTGATAATCACCGAAAAACCTACTTGAACATCCAAGTGGGGGTTGGATGGGTTGGGTCAAGCCATGGTCGAAACGGTTGGGCAGGATAAGACGGTCATCAACCCCCTAATTGCCAGACCAGATGCCTTTTTGTGTCTTTGCCCTTTGGGTGGTTGTTTTCCTTTCAATCATCAAAGAGATTGCATTTTTGCAGGGCGTTGGATCCACCTGGCCCGATGTTGAGGCCCAGGCACACGAATGAAGTCAGGCTTTGAGGGACCGCTGAAGCGCGAATACAGAGATGTTGAGTTGCCATTATTAACCACTGCGCTCGCCCCCAGTGAGCTGGCCCCCCCCCTGTTGCAAGCTTTGCAACCAGGTTTGCTCGAACTTTTTGGGGATCCGACTCGTCTTGATTTCAATGAAGGGTTCCTGGGAACTGGGACCCGGAGCAAAGTAAAAGTGCCTTCTGCCCTCTTTTTTTCCGGAGAAGTCCCGCTGTGTCCAAAACCACCGCTGGCGCATGTTCTTTTCATCTTGTTTCGAGCGGGTCCCTTTTAAGTGAAGTACCTGAAAGGGCGCCCCAGAGTGTGATCCATCCCAAATGGTGCGAATCGGGTTTTGTCCTTTCACAGCATGCGGTTGTCTCACCAGCTGAGATGTTTCTGCAAGCACTTCTTCGATCAGTTGAACTTTGCTAAGTTCCAACATAAGCCTTGGGTTAAAGCCGGTCGTCAATAGATGCTGAGTGCCTCTCGATTGCCACGAATGCACTCTTCCGCAGATAAACAGAAGGATCCTCCCCCTTAAAACAACAGACTTGTTTCTAGGAAGGGAAGCTCCTTTGGGGTGACACGTATTGGGGGTTCCGTTGATTTACAGGGAATGCTGGGGAGGTGGCCCTACACAAAAGATTATGTCACTAGTGAGTCACTAGCCATACGACGTTTCGCCTGCGCGTTCGGGGTGTCCTTTCGGGAGGGTGCCCTCTTTAAGAGCAACCAAGAGAAAGCCATTCGAAGGGGTCTTCACTTTTCAGATAGATCTATGTACCATCGTCTATTCACGCTGGTGTTTTTGGATAAAGATCTCATCAGGTGCATTGCGGATTGGGGCCCTTGCAAACTATGACGGTCGGTTTGAATATGGGAAGTAGGCGATTTGGCACTGGCTCAGATCATGGTGCTATTCAAAACACTGCACTCCACCCGTGTGCAAAGCTGTGGTCGAACATGCTGCGGTTGGCGATGAGGATCATATGTTTTGAGGTTTGCTTGTGGTGCAGCTGTCGGAATCGTGCACCTTGCCCTTGAATCTGTCATTCTTGACACAACAGACAAACGCCTCATGTCAGAAGTCCGCGTGGCTGTACTTTGTTTGTTGCTCTGATGTTGGGTGGAAACGAAAAGCAACTACCAACGAGGACAGACACCTCTCCTTGGAGAAGTGCCGGTGTTGGGTTTCTCGTCAGAAGCCGCCACCCCTGGACTTCTACATCTACTCGAGCTTTACGGAGAACCCCTCCAACCAGTGCCTCATCCACGCCTACGACGACTGCGTGCAGTGCCTCAATGCCTGCGAGGACGCCTACGCAGGCAACGAAAGAGCGAGCGAAGGAGCGGCGGTCTATATGGCCATGGGGGGCAGAACCTATGCCTGCATTTTGGGGTGGATGAACATCCATTTGCCACCTATGTTCAATGTTCACCAGGGGTACAGTGTTTTGACCCACAGCCACATGGGGGTTTCTCAAAGGAATCGGACCCCTTTTGCGATGGTTTTAAAGGGATACCGCAACAGGAAAACCGAAGCCATTTGGGGTCCCCCCAAAAAAGGACCACACCCATACTCGCCGCCATCTAGTGTAGAGGCGATGGCCTGGGACGAATGGGGCGTTACTCAGCAAATTCCCATGTTGGCGAAGCCTTCTGAATATTGACTGCTCGAATGAGTGGGTTGTCCTATGATCTTGTTGTCACTACCTTATGGAGACTCTATAGACTGGTGTCTTCTCCAAAAACGTGTTCTGTTTTATGGGTAAGCTGAACAGTGAACTGGGCAAATCATGACGCGACGTCACGTTCCACGTGTTGCGACGTCACAAGTGAAGCTGCCTTTGTTGGCGATCTCCTATTGTGAGGCGGCGAAACTTATTATTGTTTGCGCCCGGATATGGGTGTGTCTGGCAATAGAGGATCCCAATAGATAGATTTGGGGACCCCATTGGTTTCCTTTGCAAGCCAACCAGAAAAGGGTACCGAGCCTCAGAAAAAGACACCCGTATGAAGCATCTGAAAATGTGTGTTGTTCTTTGCGTGCCCGAAAGAGCTCCAAGTGGAGAAGTTCTTGTGAATTCCTATGCCGGACTTGTCAGGCCAGAGGACTAACCGGGAACCAAATTTACCCAACCCCCCCCCCCCCCCCGCCCCAAGGAAGCACGCGAACGATTCGGGGGAAGAGCCCAACCTTTGGGTTTCTTGGAAAGCGCCTTTTGAAGAGTTGGGCATGAAAACCTTGGTAGCCCGATCTCACTCGCTGAGTTCCTGGCCTTTAAACTTTTGGGGTGAAAGACTTGGTTTGGTAGCACCTGTCAGCTTTCAACCTTGGCAACGACTAGCGAAAAGCATCACTCGGGTGCTAAGTCTTTTCGGGTAGCGGGACGCGGAGAATCCCTAGGCAGGCCATGGTTTGTTGGTTACCCACGACTCAGACAGATGCGCAAACAATGCCTATAATGCAAACCAAAGAGAATATGAGCAAATGAGTGGCGCGTCTTTTTCTAGGAATCGGACCCTCAAATTAGTGGTTTTCCTTTTCCACCAAACCAGCAGGAAGCCTTTGACCCAAATCTGGCCTTTGACCCAGGCCTTGCCTCCCACCCCAATTGGTGGTTTGGATGGGAAGTGGTTGGAGTTGAACCTGATCCTTGCAGAGGGTCTATGGGAAACACCCCAATTGCCAAGCCAGCAAAAGACCCATGAACCCCAAACCACCCATGATCTCATGGGAAGCCTCAAATGATATTCACCATCCAGTGCGTCTTCCCATTCCAAGAGGGGTGGTTTGGGGAATTGAATGCCTAGTGATTCTAGAGGGTTCATGAGAAACCCAAAGTCCAAACCACCAACAACGAGGGGGAACCCCGAACCCCAGCCACCAAACCAAACCAAGCACGGCAAGAAAGAAGCTGATAAAACCCCACATTTGCCCCATCCAGGGTGTTTTCCCGAAGAAGGGAAGCTCCAAAAACCCAATCTCCACTTCCTTGTGCTTCTTCCCCTTCCCAGCGGGAGAGTCGCCGACGTCCGCGTCCCCGTCCCCGTCCGTCCCGGCCTCGCCTCGAGGCCCGGGGCGGAACCAGCGCTACTGCTGCATGGAGCCGGAGCCTTGGATCCCCTCCGCGGGGCTCTTCCCCCCCGCCGCCGACGGCAAGGCGCGGATCCGCGGATCCGGAGCGTCGGGATCCCGAGCCGTGGGATCGTTGCGGGGGATCGATCCGAGGCGTGGGGTTTGCAGGTGGGTTTCGGGGTGGTCGACCGATCTTTGGTGCTCTTTTTGGGAAGCCCAGAGCTGGCCTCATGAGAGCCAAGCAAGAGCATAGGGCTGTCTCCTCTTCCCCTTTAAAGGGGCATGCTGCTTCCCAAAGCCCTGGGCCTCTCGGCTCGGCTCGCCTCGCTCCATCGGCCCTCAGGCCTGCATCCCCTCGGGCATGGCGGCGAAGATCTGCGGCACCAAGGGCTACGGCGACGTGCGGCGCGGCAAGCGGTTGAGAGCCTGGAAAGGGCGGGGGCGGGGGGGGGGAATCCGGTGGTTTTTTCTATCAAGTGGTTAGGTGGTTGGCGGGGAGCCAAGGAGCTGGCAAAAGAGGGAGCTAAGGAGCTACCAGGAGTTCTGTAAGGGCATGGTGCGAATTGTTCAGGTTGCATTAGAAAAAGGGGCGGGGGAACTGTTTCTTTCTTTTTTTTTTGGGGGGGGGTCCCGTATTTTGACACCTACCCACTCGGCCTTGTTTGGGGGCCTTTTTTTTTGGTTCAACATGAGACCAACAAAAAGTCGTGCGAGGAAAACATCGAGGAATCCACAAAAGCAAGGTTTGGGGTTCCCCAGTTCCCCTGGTAGCATTTTCCTAACCTTGGATCTGTCGAGAAACGAAGGTATGTTTGCTACATGATATGCGTTTGAACGCAAACAGCAGAAGAACGGCTTTGCTGCTCGTTCTAAAGCAGAAACAGGCTCTACCAGCAACCCCCCCAACCCTCCCCTTTGCCAAAATACCCACCCATCTGTTCTAGCCAATTCAATTCCAATCCCATTCCAAGCCATTCTAGTCCCCTCTCCACCCGCACATCTCTTAGGTTTCAATATGACTTGCCAAGCTGCTTTCTCCAATGGAAGCGACGGAAGGCTTCTTGACCCCTTGAGTACGCAAGTGGAAGGAGTGAAGTTTTAGTTGTTGTCTTCGAACAGCGATCTTCTCTGTCCGCTGCATTGTGTCCTTGCAAAACTCTCGCCGGAGGTTCCTGTTCTCATTAGTACCCAGAGGCAATCATCACTCCAGATAACCTGATTACCACCGACTCGCCTCACGGACGTCTCCCCCCTTTTGTCAGGCAACCCGGTAGCCCTCAATGGTTTGGATGGGTGGGAACTGGTGACTTGAACCCGCAGACATGGGAAACCGCCCATTCTCCAAAATACCGGGCTCCAAAACACCAATTCGAGGGAAGCCGATGTAAGGTTGGACAAGTAGCCTTTTGGTTGCTGGAAACCCCGATGGTCGCTGGAAGCACCGGGTTTGCGGATTTGAGCCCC